TCCAAACATCTTCTTTCTAAATATTGAAGCCAAAAAGTCATTTTACTTCCTAAATTAAGTTTGACCTTGGCTGATGATTCACATAAAAAAATCTGTGGAATACAGCTGTTTTTGTTTAAAGAGCTAATACCAGCTTGCAGTCATAAAGTTCTGGAAAAAAACGTTTACGCGTCTTCGTAAAAATCTGCCTTATAAATATGAAGGCGCATTTGCAGGAAATAACAGCCTAGATCCTAACTTTGGTTTCGCTGGTTGGAAATTTCTTCAACATTGATAACTACCTAAAATTTTTGAAAAACGCAACATTCATAAAAATCTTTTCCTTTTCAAAAGGCGCTTGAATATTATCGAATAACGGCAAAATTGGTCGCGTCTGACATTTCGTCTCTCAATACCAACGCAAAAATTAATTTAATGTGAAAAGACATGATTTCAAGCTACGTTTGTCTTCACATTTCGTTACCATAGCTACCTACTTGGGCCTTTAAGTAACTAAAAAAAACACTTCAAAATGCCCTTGAACTCTCTCCTCAGTTGCTCACTCAATGCACTATAAATGGAAAGGGTTGATGGTGCTGCTTAGGTAAGCGAAGAACCCATATGTAAGGGACACTTCTCGCGGCAACGTGAGTTCTACGCGCGCGGCTTCATTCACGTCAATCATATGTGTCGGGGGGGGAAGGAATTGGTTGATTTTTGGGGAGTTACGTAGTTTTTCAGGGGAATGAGAGGGGGGATCAGTCGTCGACAACAGAATATAAAGGGTGGAGCCCAAGCCTACAGGAGATTCACCATCATTGATTTTGCAATATAACGGTAATAAACTAAAACATCTCAAAATGCCCTTAAACCCTCTCCTCAGTTGCTCACTCAATGCACCATAAATGAAGGGGGATGATGGTGCTGCCCAGGTAAGCGAAGAACCCGTATGTAAGGACACTTCTCGCGGCAAAGTGAATCCACGCGCGCGGCTTCATTCATGTCAATCACATGTGCGGGGGGTGGAGAGGAAGGAAATGGTGGATTTTGGGGAGTTTTTTTAGCTTATAACGCCGCTGACAATATACCTAGGGCGCAGTCTCCCATGCCATGTGCGTTGCTTGAGCGTTACTTGCATTTTTTTTTTTTTGCCGTTTTTGCCGAGTTAGTTTCAGCGAAGGATTTGAGGCTGTGTAAGATGCAATAACTTCGAATCGTTGCCGGACAGATCCTCATTGGTCATTCGTTGTGATTATCCTCTACAAGGAATCAGGACGCATAGAAGTTGTTGTGTCGCATTTATTTTGCCGAAAAGGAACGGGGAGTCAAAACTATAAAAGGTGGTCAAAAGAACTTTCCGCATGACGACAACATTGACGGAACAAATTGTAAAATTTGTCAGATGCCCGATTAACAAACCTAATTCCATCGAATGTAATTATGAGCTGTGTGCACTAAAATCAAATAAAAAAAACCCCTTGCTCTATAGTTGCTGCTAAAATAACAGATATTCCTCGGAAAGAAAACAGTTTACTTTGTACGAATTCTTTGTTTAAACTGAGCAAAATTTTGGCGTAATTATTTGAACAAGTATCGGTCTATTTGATTAATTATAGAGTTTGACGGGAGGAGGTTTAATTAAGGATATTTCTGAGAGAAAGTTTACGTCCAATTTTACATAATTCAAAACAACAATTTCCCCTTACAGTGGATAATAATGATGAAGACGACATCGAAACTCAAACAGTCATGTCCCGGCTGAGTTATGATTGAAGAAATTTGCTCAAATTTGCTGACATCTGTTTTAAGATGTCCCTTTCGATTATCTTTAGTTTGGCCCCGAGCCTCAGAGAAGTCATTGAAGGGCACAGGAAATTAACCTCAATAAGAAAAGTGTAAATGAACAGAGAAATATCTTAAACTGATATCCACACACAAACAAAAATTCACTATTACATAAATAACAGTTTTGCTCTAGAACAAAATTTCTCTTTCAAATCGGCACTCTTAATCCCTACGGTATCAACGAGCGAAATTCATTTAACTAATTTACTCCCGTTTTCTCGTCACCATATTCCCACCAATGGTGTAGCTCCATTTCTGCATATAAACGCTCACCACCCACAGTTCCTCCGATCGCTCTGACGGAGGGCTGACGTTCGATACATCAGCTTTTAAACTCTTTACGGTGGCCAATTTACGTTTCAACTCAGTTGATAATACTAAATTACCCTGTTATACTCTCCCACCGACGCAGCTCCACAGTTTCCCAAGAGACTTGCACCCTCAAAGTCTCAAGCGCGGTTGCAGTCCCAGATTTTTTTATTCACTGGTCGAGAACGATGGTCTCCAACACACTTTCCCATGAGCTTGCTATGCGAACTGAAGCCTTTGCTAGGTCTGAAACAGTTTTGTTTGCTATGACCAATGTCGTGGCCATCCTTGGAAATCTCCTCATTTTTTGCGCCGTGTACCATAACCACAGGCTACGCACGATTCCCAACATATTCGTAACAGCACTGGCTGTGAGCGATATTCTGATGTCTATTATCTGTATGCCTTTTACAGTTGCAAGTCTTTTCCACGGCAGGTGGATCTTTCATGAAACGGTCTGCCGCTTTCAAGCATTTGATATCTTTGCGTTTGGGACGAGTAGTCTTGGAACTATGGCAGCAATTGCAGTCAGCCGATATTTCTGTGTTGTTAATCGGGAAAAGTATCCCTCGCTGTTTAAGAAGCAAAGAGCCTTGATGTATATTTTCATCGTTTGGTGCTTGGCTCTGGTTGGATCTGTGCCCATATTACTCTTCAAAAATGACAGCATTGAATTCTACCCTGGAAAAGCAATGTGTCTGTACAAATTTGAAAGTAACATTGCTTACTCTGCCTCAATCCTTTGCTGTTTTATCACAACACTCATGATTATCATCACGATATGCTATGTCAAAGTGTTCCGCGCCGTGTCGAGATCAAATCGTGTTTTCTCATTGGAAAATAACCTGGAACTTCTTCGGGTGAATGTGGAAGAAGCTAAAGTGACAAAGCGTTTGGTAGCAGTTGTGGTCGGCTTTGCATGCTGTTGGCTTCCTGTTTTTGTCGTTGATAACATCGACATGGCACGTGGAGAACCCACGCTACCCCGACAAGTGTACTTAACTTACAGCCTCTTAATTTATCTGAGTAGCACCATAAACCCATTCATATATTGCGCCGCAGATAAGAGGTTCAGACGAGAGTACAAGGTTGTTTTGAGGAAGATTTTTACCTTTAAGTGCCGAGACAACAGCGAGAACGGTAACGCCTAACTGAAATAGCCAGAGAAATGTAGCAGGAAATGGATTTTTCTGAGATTTTGTTCGAGGTTGTTGCTGGTAAAATCAGAAACAAAGGACTAACGGCATTATTTAATACTCATCATCCGTCAAGTGCGTTTATCTACCGAGACTTTTTGATGTTGTAACTAACCCTTTTGGCATTTAACCTGGGTGTTCCGCATTGTCAAAGCGATGTTTCGAAGGATCAAAGATTGTGGTCATATCCGAGTTGTACCTAAAGAATCTAACAAAGTGACTGAACACTGAATATGCAAGCGATCTTCGCAGTAATGAACACCACTTAAGCAGTAATGCGAATAAGGCCTAAAAAAAGGGTCATGGGCACAAATTCCGCACAGGCCTCAATTTTTTTCAAGCCTTATTTTCATTACTGTTTAAGAAGTGTTCATTACTGCGAAGATCGCTTCCATACTTATTGCTCTATCCGCAGTACACATCCGATTTTCATACATTTCCAGTCATTACTGAACACTAGTGTATCAAGAGGTACATATTAAGAAAAATTTGATGCAAATTTACAAATTTTGCAGACGCCAATAACCGACTGTTTCGGGAAAGAGAGGTTTTAAGAGAAATTGGTATTCCTGTGCATTTTTAAAAACAGTTTTATTGATGCGGTTGAGAGAAAATGTTGAAAGATTTTAAATTGTTTAAACTTGAACACACACTTAATAAACATAATGCCAGCCATCGATACATGCTCATAACATCAAAGTAAAGTGTTTTTAAGCTTAAGGAAGGTTTTTATTTAAGAGTAGTTTAACTAAGCCAAGGAAATCGTTAGGACCAATAAGAATAAAGGGAAATCACCAGGTACGGGAAAACGCGGATGACCAAGTCACGATTGATTTCAGTTTTGCATCGGATTGGTTGAGAATTTGGAACAAACACTTTTGACCAATCACAAAGCGTAGCAAAGTCAAACCAAGGAAATCGTAAAGACCAATAAGAATAAAGGGAAATCACTAGGTAAAGGAAAAAGTGGGTGACCAAGTCGCGATTGATTTCAGTCTTGCATCTGATTGGTTGAGAATTTGGAACAAACACTTTTGACCAATCACAAAGCGTAGCAAAGTCAAACCAATGAAATCGCAAGGACCTAAAGAAACAAAGGTAAATTACAACGCGCGGGAAAACGCGGGTGACCAAGTCACAAATGATTTTAGTTCTCCATCTAATTGGTTGATGATTTTGCGCGAATGCTGTTGACCAATCATTTTGCGTAACGAAGGCAAATCAACTAAAACTCGAAAATGCTCCTATTTGAACTAAAACGGAGGTTAACTAAAATGGTATCTAAATAACTTATTTGTAAGAATCAAAATCGAAAACAAATATTTAAAATAAGCGATAAACTAATTATTATTGTACTCAAGAGTCCCGTATGCTGGATACTCTACGAATTCTTCTGCGAGAACGACGACGAAAGATCCAGAAACAATTTGCCAGCAACAATAGCAACAGCACACCAAGCCACTGAAATATACAGAGAAAGAAAAACAAGTGCTAGTCACAACTGCTGCAATCTGATTGGTTGATATAATCGCTTTCCATTCAACAAATAGATTTCATATTACCTTACGTCTGTTTAGTAGCAGATCACAGATGACGTCGGAATGTGGTAAGAAAAAAAAACGTGGCACTAATGTTCCTACCACATTTTGGCCTCTTCCGTATTCTATTGCTGTACAGACCCACGAATAGAATAGAATTTATTATTTATTATTTCCTCTGTCGACTTCCTACATGCGATAGAAATCTCGAACCCATAATCTACATGTTAACTAGAATTAAGGAAAGCCACCCTTGCTTGTGACACTTGCTATTCAAATTCCACACCAAGTTCAGGTACAAGACACCGAAACCACACTGTTAGGCGGCAAATATCCACAACCAGAAACGTTGCTCCCTACCCCCTCCTCCCTCTCTCCTTCCCCAACCCCCTTCCAAGGGATTAGGTGTTCAAATGCAAAATTTTCATCGTGATTATTATATAGTTTCATAATCACCTTGAACACAAACTTCCCAAGACTGAACATAGAAAAACCCTGCGTATTGTTCTTTTCTTATTCATTTCTTCAAGGTTCTTCACTTACCTCGACAAAACACAGCATCAGCGATTCTCTTCCGAACTTGTACCAAGCCGAGTCTTCATGCTCGACAGTGTAAACCACAAATGACGCTAACAACGCAAGTGCTATCACGGGATCAAGAAACCTGAGATAATAAACCAAAAACGAACTAATTACTGCATTAAAATTCTTTTATTTCCCTTTTTTGCGCACACATTTCAAAGCCAAAAAAAAAACAAAACAAAAATGTGACATACTTTACAATAAAATCCCAAATCCTGGGAAGTCTCCAGTCGTCAAGTCCAAACTAAAGAAGACATGAGACAAAATTACTCGAGTTAAAACATCCGGGAAACGGACAGGCCTTGAAGTTGGCGCTGGACTCCGGGTCGAGAGGTCTGGGTTCGAGCCCAAGCGTGTCATTGTATTGTGTGCCTAGCCAAGACACTTCTCTACTCTCATAGTGCCTCTCCCCTCCCAGGAGTATAAATAGGTAAAAACCTGTTGCCAGGGAAACATGACGAAATAGTAAGGGGTAACTGGAGCATCAGGGGCTATGCAAACCGGGATGAGTGCCCCCGCTGATTAATCTTGTACCCAAACCTTCCACGGCCAAGCGGTTGTTTCAGTCACACGGTAGGATCTGGGTACGAGATTTCCCGCTGACTAAGCCACTAAGTTGGAAAGCAAATGAAACCTTTTTATCACATTAAATGCCAAAGGTGATAAAATCGAAAAACTCGATGCTCCATGAGAACACACCTGATTGACTAGATCCTCCCTAAATTTGGACACGCCATAAAGTATTGGTAATGATATTGTAACAGCACCAGCGAGGACTTGACCGAACGCCCAAACAAAACCCTGCAATAAAAAGATAATGAAATAGCCTAAATCACATTTCGCTTTCTCTTTAAGCTCTCGAAAAATAATTAAGAAACAAAGAGAAATGTTAACAATTAATCGTTAGAGCAACTAACGAGCTTACTTATATTTGACTTTTTTCACTCATTCATTCCTCCATTTCCCATTCATTCCATCCATCCATTCATCCATTCATCCTTTCATCCATTTATTCATATATTCATTTATCTTTTTCTTTCTATTTTGATACTCACCTTTTTGCAGCTGACGTGCGGGAAAACGAGGGTGACCTGGTTACAATTGGTCTTACGTTTGGTTTTGTGTCTGATTGGCTGAGAGAGTGGCACGAGTTTTCTGTACCAATCAAAGAGCTTAAAAAAAAACAAAAACAAAACAAGCCCCTAACCTGACTGACAAGGAATTCCAAATGCAGTGCTGATGGTAAGCCACAACAAAACAACAGCGTTAAAACAACGGGGAGACCATATTTTCGAGGAACTGTGAAAAAGGGAACAGGATAAACAGACAATTATAATTAAAAATAATCATCCATTTAATTGCTTTTGCTAAAGTGTTCTCACTGATTGGTCCACCTTTTTAACCAATCACACGCCAAACTCAAACTAATCGTGAGTCGTTGTAGTTGCATTTTCCCACGCTTGAGGACGAGATCTCATTGGCTCCTGGTAACATATTCTCTTGTTTTGATTGGTCGTTATAGTAACCATAATTTTTGATGTTACGAGATTTGATTGAGAGCATTAAAAAATAAATTAAGTTTAATAAATAAGTGAATAAATGAATAAACAAAGGAACATATTAATGAATAGCTATTCGTACCTTGCATCTCTTGAAGCGTACGAACTGGCAGTTCTATCATTGCTAAAAGTGAAGTGATGCCACCAAGAGATAAGCAAAGAAAAAACAGCGATGATAGGACCCGCCCTGAAGTTCCAAGCTGCTCGTAAAGAACTGGCATCCTGACAAAAGAAAGGAATGTAAAAAAATTTAGAAAAAAAACGTTGCACATTTTCCTCGAGGACAAGACAAACAAAAATCTGAATCCCCTGAGAAGATTTCAATACTAGCCATATTCGATTTCACAGTGGTATCCTCTACAAACTTAAGTTAATAAAAACTCATTTGATGGCCTTGGAGTAATTTTCAATAGAATGTTGAAAGTAGTCAGAGATTTTTTTGGGGGTTGTATCAATTCGGTCAGTGGTTGATCCTCAAAATTCGCACCATACTTTTTACCAATCATATGCAAAACGAAAAACAATCCCGACGTGGTCGCCCGCGTTTTTCCCGCGCTTATGGTGGTATTCCTGTTTTTACTTTGAGCGCTCATTGGCTAATAATGATGATGTAAACCTTTGTCATGATTGGCCGTTGTGATTTCTTTGGTTTTTGTTTTTCGATACTGAGTCAATCGGAAAGCCTTTCAGTGCGGGAAAACGTGAGTGACCATGTCGTAATTAGTAGTAACTTTACATCTGATTGGTTAGACAGGTAAGGCGAGATTGTTTGAACCAAAAGGGGAGCGTTAAGAATAGCAGTAAGACGTGCACGTGTAAACATCGCTGAGCCCGCGCTTGCACGCACGTGTTTCCATTAACTAAAACTTACCAAAGAAAGGTGAGTCCTGTATTAGCATAGCCGTCCTCTCTTAATAACCGTGCGATTTCAGTTTTATTAGCTCCCTCTCTCATCTTTGTAGAAAATACCGTGGAATAAAGTGTCAAAGCGCTTACTAAACTGAAGAGGAGAAAAATTGCAGTGACAAATAAGTTAAAAAATAAATGTATGGCATAATATAAGTTCTCTACGTTTACAAATGGCGCAAAAGATTTTGTTGGAATCGCTGAAGAAAATTAAATCAATTTTCACTTTTCTAAATGATTGCGCAACTCTGAAATAACTTTTAAGAAGAAATCTTAATTCATTAGAAACGAGAATGGGACAAAGAGTTTCGTTACGATAGGAAGGTTGAAATCATTGAACCTTCCAATTAACAGAGCAAGTGCTTTACCAGCAGTGGGTTAGAGGGAACTCATAGCGAGCTGCCATACATCTACGTTACCGACAAGGCGTAAGGATAAAAAAACTGTATATTGGCCAATTTCTGTGAGTTTGTTTTGCCTTACTTTGGACTGTGATGAAGTCCAGATCCATGCAGTCACAAATAAGCTGAATTATACACGTATTTTGATTGGTTGGTACTTATGATCTATTGGAGGCCAGACGCATACATGAAGTCACATTAACAACTGCACTGTTCTCATCTGTGATCTGTTACTGAACATGGGATCTTTTTGTTAAATTTAGCAATTTCAACCTCACTCTTAATCAATTAAGGATTTTTTTTATAGTCTGGGTCAATTGTCTCAACTAAAATTATAGAGATTTAAGGTGGGAATTACTTATGGCCCAAGAATTATAATTTTATCTAGAGTACTTCCTCATGCTCACCTGACTAAATTGTTACAAAGTGGAAGAAGTATTCCTAATTTGACCACACTATTCCGTCTGGACATGTATGTTGCATATGTTAAAAATAACCCTGAACCAGCACCTAGGAGAATAAAGGCAAGGATTTTTAGACAAAAAAATTAGAAACAAAAATGTGAGTTTGTATGGTACCATCGACTCCAGTTAGGAACTTTAAATAATGATACAAAAATCCTAGTCTACTAATACTGACTAAGGCAATTGCAGTGTTTCAATCAGTTATAAAATGAAATGGGAATGAAATGATGGGAAATGAAATGGGAAAATTTCTGTGACATAAGAAAAATTAATAAATTGAAGTGAAGTGAAATGATGGAAAGTAATGGAGTGGAATATAATTAAATGGGAGAAAAAAAATGAAATTAAATCAAAATGAACAAATTGAATTGAAATAAAATTATTTGAAATCATTTTTTTACCTGTGTCCCAAGCATTCTGAGAGGCTGCATCCACCCAAAGACGTAAGGTTCCTAATTCAGCTACAGGAGAAAAATAAAAGAACTACAACAACTTCAGTTTCTAAGGACTAATTTTAGGTTTCAAACCATTTGATGAGTTCATTATAATCATCAGGTAAGAGCCTTCTTTTAAAAGTTTAGCTTTATTACAACAAAGCTGAAGGCTTTCTGTAGTGCACAGGGACTTCCAATCACAAAGTCAAAATACTACATACATCATCAGCACTACAGACCCATCAGTCAATAAAAAAAAAAAGTAAAGCCTTTATACAGGCCCAAATGGCCCATGGGGACAGCGCTTAACTCCAGTTTCCTTAGCATGAAGCAGCTAGGGGTATTGCTACTTCCCCCTAGATGGGATGCTAATCCATTGCAGGGTTACCCCCAGCATATTTGTTGGTACCCATTTGTACACCTGGGTGAAGAGAAGCACTTTGAGAGTAAAGTGTCTTGCCTAAGAACACAACACAATGACCCCAGCCAGGGCTCCAAACCGGACCACTCGATCCAGAGTCAAGTGCACTAACCATGAGCCCACTGTGCCTTTGCCAATAAATAACAGGATTGTTTGCTGCTATATTTAACCAAAAAGCTCTGGTATCTATGGGAAGTGATACATGCATGTGGCAAGTGAAACAGACTTTCCATTCTGCAGATTCCTAAACTAGCTCATACCCTAACTAGAGACTTCGCCAAAAATATACAATATAGAAGATGCACTGCAGCCATCATATAGCAACATACCCCAATCTGGTGTGAAGAGGTAAGTAATTCCAAATGATGCATATTTCAAAGTCAGTGACCAATAGAATGATACCACCAGTACAAGTAACAGAAGTGGCATGATGACAATGTTCACTCTTTCAATGGATGACACGGATCTGGTTATTGAGACACCAGCAAACAACAGGCTTAAAAACAGAAGGAGGACTGGTAACCACTTGCAATCCTGTGAAAAAAGAAAAAGAAATATTTTTAAATAATTTTTTTTAATATTTCTAACAATTACAGTTTTCTGGGTTTGACATTAGTAATTATTCCATAAGCTAATTAATACATGCATTTACCTTTTTAGCATATAAAATAAATAGTTTCCATGTTGCCATGAGTCTGCATTAGTATTTAAGATCACAGTAAATGTCAAAAAGTTGTAAGAACTTAACAACACACTTGGCTGTGCCTCGTATGTCATCATTTTGTGTTTACCACATTTTGACATTATCTGTGGTCTGCTAATTGTGGTCTGCTAATAAGCAGAAAGATTTAAAACAGATTTTTTTCAAATGTGTTTAAAAGTGCATTTCCAACCATATGGGTGCCTGTTTTAAGAAGTTAATGACATCTGTAAACCAAGTAACAAATTACTAACAAACATCACCTGTAAATGATGCCAAATATCCTGGCTTTTTTCCAATGATTCAGGCAGGTGATAGGAAATAGAGTGAAAGACATAATAAAAACACCAGCCAACCACCACAGCATAATATGACCTGAAATACAATCAGGTGATCATCTTTGTTTAACAACAAAACAAATAACAAAAGTCATCAAATTGGTTATTACAAGCCCTATTTGAGCACTGATAGGACAGTGTACAAGTCATGCTTTTAAGTGAAGAGTTTAACTGGATAGTGTACAAGTCATGCCTGTGTGGTTCATGTGTGGTTCATGTGTACCAGCTCTTGTTGTGCATTTCACCAAGTTAACTGTTTTTTTGTTTGTTTTTATAATAAAAATGTATAACCCATGGCAAATTTGTTTCCGAAATTTTGTCAAAGTTTTGATTAAAGGGTACCAGGACTTTAAGTCATTCAAATCTGTCTGAAATCACACTTGTAATTGACAAAGAGAACTCTCACTTTGTATTGCACCAATTAATTTGGAGATTCACATTCCTTCCTCCTCTGCACAACCCATGGGCATTTGACTGTTGTCCATGCCCAGGGGGGTGGGGAATCAATACCATGCCTGGGTGGGATTAGTAATTTGAACCAGAGGAATACACATGTTTAAATTTTAAATAGGAGGAGTTTGAAGGTAAAGAGGCCACCTTCATAAGCAAAAGGCTTAGTCAAAAATTTTCACGTCACAGAATGATGAATACAATGGAAAAACCAAACAGTGGCATCAAAAGCTAATAGATGAATTTATTAAATTCTGCAACATTTGTAGATCGCACAAAGAATCCTTCAGAAGAAAATTGTGCTTGAGAAAGGAATTTGAAAAACTCAACAGCCAAGACAAGTTGTCACCACAATATCGATCCAATATCAAGTTAACAAAATGGCTACATTGATCATCACTAAACAGTAAATTACTCATTAAAAAAAAACACACTTACGCAATGCAACTAACAACTATCACCATCCATCCACCACACCATAATGACCAGGGTCCCAGTAGTGCTCGGAATGATTTGACTGGAGCCCTTCTTGTATATCGACCAACAGAATACTCTATCAGAATCACTGGTATTGACCACAGACCAAGAAATAATAACCACACCAACAAAAAGTGGAGTCCGCCTACAAAAACAACATGGTATGTTACATAATAGTGATATCACATAATTAAACCTAGAGGGGGGGAGGGGTTTTATCCTCTACACCTGCCACCCCTCCCTCCCCCCCCCCCAACACCACCTCCCCAGGCCAGCTGATTAATTTACCACTAAGTTCCAGACCCAACCCTGACCATCCCCTTAAGTAAAAAAAGTAGTTGGATATGACCAAACTTCCTAGAGCTCGGCATGGATTATTAATTAACGATAGAGTTCGCGTGATTCCTCTGAGCAAAACTGTTTTTGATGAGAAACATCTACAAGGTTGTGACAATAAGCGATAAGGCTATTGGTATTCCATGGACGAATGGATTGAATGGAATTTTGTAAAACGTAAACAAACAGCAAATGGACACAACTGGTTTGCTTATTTTTCTACCTTTGTCTCCACTGTTATTGGCAACTATCCTTGGAAATCTCCAGATATTTCCTGTTCCTATCACACAGCCCAGGCACGACAAAACAAGGCCCCATTTGCTTGAAAACGTAAGGGAGCCCTGCACCACACAAAATGATGGAATTCACAAAATTATATAATACTGAGAAATTTATACTCCACCATGGGACATCACGTGGAATAATAAACCAATTTTCCAAAATTCGTCACCTCATTTTGATAATTTGAACTTGTGCTGGAATCACTGCGTAAAAGCGGACGATTTTCTCCGTCAGACATACTTGAGACACAAATCTTAATCAGGAAATTAGTTCATGAAATCTGCATCGACCAGTTCCGGGAAAACAATGTGATAGTCAATTCCGAGTTCCAGTCCTTCACGTTAATCACGTGCAACGCCTGGCATAAAATCACGTTTTGTAATTATGTAGTATCAGCTGATAATTATTCATTCGATAAGCAGTGTTTTACTTCGTAAAGATTATGATAAAAAGGAAAATGTCGAGCTGGTTCTCATTTTGGAGAGTGCAGACAAAGCTCGAAGAATGTACCGGGCCGTTCTCTGTTGGTTGCAGCGATTTTATGTGTGCAAAAGATGAATCTACAGGTTTTTCTACTGAAGGTGGTAGCTTTATACGTTTCTTTTACCCAGCGGAGAAGACGGCTGGAACATTGGATGAATCGAAAAGATGTTTTTGGATTCCTCGTCAAGAATACGCATCAGGGCTTGTAAACTTCATGAAACTTCCAGGTTGGGTTTTAGGAAGATTTTTCCACTGGTGTGTAGGTAGGCGTACAGCTCTCAATTTGATTTACTACTAACTTAAGGTTGAGGTACTCGACCGCATAGCTATTGATTGTAATGCAGGGGGTTTTACCTTCCTAGGGAGGGGGGGATGCGGAAAATAAAGTAGTCAAGACGTGCACTCCATAGTCTGAACGTGTGCAGCGAGAATCCACTTAAATGGGCTATAGTCAGCTTGTGAGCATTTGCAATGATCAATAAATCCACTTATTGCGATATTTTTATTACTCTAGGTAGCTTGCAGATCCCTGCAATATACAATGCACCACTTTGTAAACCTGCTGGAGAGGACCAGTTGTTACCTTGTGTTATTTTTTCACATGGCCTGGGAGGTAACAGGTTAATCTACAACACTTACTGTTGTGAGTTGGCATCCCAAGGATGTCTAGTGGCATGTGTAGAACACAGGTGAGCAGTTATGGCTTTATTTGGTTTTTTGTGTATGGGCCTTTCCACACTAGCAAAAAATTGTTTGTTTAGGAAAATGTTCTGTCACCACCAACATTTTACAAGTGTGAATGGTTCGTCATGACTTGACAAATAATTGTTTTGGCCGAAGCACAAATCTTCAAACACACTGCCAACAAAATTTGTCCCATAATCATGATAACCTTTTTAATCATTTGTTATTAAAGCTATGACCAGCATGTAATTGAACTGAAATTAGTTTATTAGAAAGGCAAAAATTGTCTTTTGTTGCAAAACTCGGTGATTCTAAAATTTTAAAATGAATGTTGATGAATCCTGGAAATTGCAGGTGGAATCCTCTGCCAAACTATGTTGGCTGGTCTTATGAACAGATCAAACGCTGACAGAATTGACAGCTTGAAATTTTTAATGTGGACAAAAATAAATGCAAATTTGTTATGACAAAATTTGTCCTTTGATTTTGATGGGACAGTTTTTACAGTTTTGTCCACTAGTGAGGAAAGACACAAAAAGAAAGTTTCATGTAATGAAGACAAGTATTAGCATTGAAAGTTAATGCATTGATACTTATTATGCAATTGAAAGCATTTAATAGAGAATGATTCATCATTAAGATGGGACAATAAATGAGGGGTTCACATGACTTTTGCAGTAATCATCAGTTGATTTTGTGATCTGACCCAAATTAAATATTGAAAACAATTTTTTATTTTAAAACCAGCATAAAACAAAATACATAACTACAAGGTTCAGGAAAATCAACTGCACAATCTCTATAGTTTATTTTCCAAGGCCTTGCACCTGACTCCACTTATAATTGGACATGAAGATTTTTTTTCTTTTTGAAAAAACACTAGAGATGAATCAGCCTCTGCTACATACATTCTAAAGAAGAATGATGGAGATGGGAATATGACAGAGGAATGGATCCAGTACCACCATCTCCAAGAAAGTGATAATGAGTTTGAATTTCGAAACAGGCAGGTGTGTTTATTTGTAGTTTAGATTCATTTCATTTTGATTTTAAGGTACAAACACAGTTTGTACTTCAGCTTATTGGCTCATTCTGACAGAGCTTATCCTGATTTATGAAGCATTATACGATAAAATATATGGCCAGGCGTTATGGATGGGAAGCCAGTTATCAGAGGATAATGAATGGCATCTGTTAAATTCCCAGATAATTCCTTGTGACTCAATTATCCCCTCAGCTACTATGTAGAGAGAGGCACTTTTAAAGTTAAGTGTCTTGTAGATGAATGCAGCACAGTGACCCAGTTGGTGCTGAAACTGAGATCTGTTGACACAGATTCCATGGTCCTTACCATCAGGCCAACTCTACTATTTCTTTAAACACCACAATATCACTCTTAAAACTGCCTTAACAAGGAAATATACTTCATTTTTGTTCATTAAAACAGTTATTTTTTTCTTTTTATAGGTTCACATCAGAGCAAATGAATGTGTAAGAGCCCATAACATTCTTGAAAACATTCAGTCAGGACATTTTCCAACAAATTTGTTCCAGGAAAACTCTATTTTACAACAGCTCAAGGTATTTGAGGGAAATTGGCTTTGTCCATTAATTTTATCCTTGTTCCTTTTATCTTCAGTCATTCCATCCATTAATCTATTCAATGGCACCACTTATTTGAAGGAGCGATAAAGCCATTCAGCAAATAAATCACTGTGCTTTGGATAATCGAAGAATTATGTTTCCTTGAAAAGCAATCTAACCAATGTATTTCAAAATTTCATATTTGTTTACATTGTAGTTTGTGGCTAATCAAGTCGGGTAAAAGAAAAATATTGATTGCTTTTTAGTTGAGTGGTTACCTCTGTTTGACAACAAGAATAATGCTAATTCATAAATTGTGTCTCCTTTGTCTTTTTTTTAAGGGAAGGCTGGACTTAAAAAGGGTTGCAATGGTTGGTCATTCATTTGGAGGTGCTACTACTGTCCTATCTTTGGCAAAGGACAAGCGATTTAGGTACTGTGTTCATCACAAGGATAATAAAATTAACTCTGCAGTCTCAGACACTTCTGTGTTATGTAGTCTAAAAAGATTACATCATGCATAATAATAAAGCTTTGTTAAGATTGGCATTGGAATCAAGCTTGCCTGTGACTTTATCCTATGCAAAATACAGAGCCTCTTAAAAATATTTTTACCATCATCAACACCAAATAAAAACCAGATTTATGGTAGTTCAAAATTCCAGTTTATCCAAATCTATAAGTGTTTCCAAGAAAAAAAACCCTTTTCATTAAATGAATTTGTTACATTCAAACTTAGAGCAACATTATCTTTCAAGTTTTTCTAAAAAACCATAATTAAATAAGATCTGCTAGGTCAATCTTGATCAATTTTTTTTTTAATTATTTTACAATGACAATAAGATTTCCATTACGTCTTTCTTAATATTTATTGTAGCATATTTTTAAATTGGGTAGAGAAATTTTCTTACTCAACATAGACAATTTTTATTATTAAATTGCCTTTATTCAGTCCATTTTAATCTATCTTCAGTGAAATACAATGAAACCAGCTTGTGAGTGTTTGTCAATAATATTTAATTGTATTTAAACAATCAGCCAGTAGGTATGTAACCTTCAACTTCATCCAAGTAATTTTATTGACTTAGTTAATTTCTCAACTCATTTATGTTCCAGGTGTGGTGTGGCTCTTGATGTGTGGATGCTGCCATTAGGAAAAGGGATATTTAGTTATGATCTTGATCAGCCTTTACTGTTTGTCAATTCACAACAATTTCATTGCTGGGACCAAAACGTGGATCCTCTTAAAAAGTTTATTAGTAATAAGCCAGGTTTGCTTTCTTATCATTGTTTATTTTTTCCTCTTCTTCGAACTAATTTCTCTATTTCTTGGCTCGAGAGCAAAGTTTTACCTATAAGAGCGCATCTTCATTGTGTTTAATAAGACCAAAACACAAGAAATCACAACAGCCAATCAGAGCAAAGAAAAATAGCTCAAGGAGCCAATGGGAACGCAAAGTAAATGAGAGCAAACTGTCCAAATCGCGGGAAAATGTGAGTGACGAAGTCGCAATAAGTTTTTAGTTTTGGATCTGATGAGTGAGAAAGTGGTGCAAATTTCTGGAACAATCACAGAGCGAAGTAAAGCAAAACTAATGCGATCCTGAATTACTTTCCACACTCGATTGAAAATTGGTCTTATCAATGGAGTGAACGAAATAGCTTTACTAAAATCAGGTCTTTTAATTTTATTCTTTGCAGAAACAAGACTAATCATAGCGATAAGGTAAGAAATTTACTCAGTACAACTATGAATGATTTTCTGCGGAATCGTTCTTTTTGTCTCGGTGCTACTGACCTTAGTGAAGTGAAGTTTGAAAATGTTTGTTCATGGAGATGTCTTCACACCTCTGACTTAACACTTACCTTTGTAAGCGTTTAGTATATATTCAAAGCCTTTCTAATAATTTCCCGTTCATCAGTAAATTTCTTCTTGACGTCCACACTCAGAGAGTTTTTTTTCATTTATTTTTTTTGGTGGCAGAAAACGGTTTCCTAAAAAGCGTTTGTTGTGGACTTAAACAGACAGCAAGAAAAATACTTTTTGCCAATGTTTAAATATGCTAACTGTTTTCAGAAGCCGCCCTCGGACAACTCAGGGACTTTTTCATTTATCGAAAATGGTGACAAAAACGGTTTCCTAAACAGGACAGCTGGTGTACTTAAACAGATGGCAAGAACAAGACTTTTTTGCCAACGTCGACGTGTACTAACTGTTTTCAGACGCCGCCCTCTGACAATTAAGGGCGCTTTCCCAGTCATTAGTCCAGGCTGTTGGTGTAATGACATTGTGGACGGAAAATACCATATTTTTATTTGGTCCTTAAGTGTGAAGGAGACCGTCTGGACGGATTCATATGATGAATTGAAATTTTATGTTTCCTTTTCCTTAAATATCAACTCATTTCTTGTCTTACAAAAGAGCACACACGTCTTTCTTCGCCAGGTGGACAAGACATATGAACCAATGTGACATACCGTCAGTTCTGCCACCATACATACTGTACTGGACCTCACTCGGAAGTAAACTTGATCCAACCACAGCCGTGAAGCTTAACAGACAAGCTATCTGGGCGTTTTTGAGGAGACATCTTGGTACGTAAGCGATAATTTATCTAAGTATTAGAGGTAGATCTCACTTTCTTTAGTTTATTTTAAACTCACTTATCTAAGTATTAATGGAAGATCTAGCTTTCTTTAGTTCGTTCTAAACTCACTGCTTGAAGAACCCTCAGGTTTTAAGAGAGGGTCTTCCGTTTACATTCCATAAGTTCTATACGCATGCGTTAATTGGTGATGAACATAACTGGTTCTGTTGGGTTTTTTTTTTGTGTGTGTTTTAAAATGTTCAGCTTTGAATGTCATTTACATGGTGTTTACTGGAAGACAAACCTCAGGGTGGTACCCATAGGATACTTATATATAATGTAAAAAATATTCGGGGGTATATAGGGCTTAAGTCCCTTGGGGTTAGGGCGTAAAACTTCTGGGGTATACTCTGAAACCCTTAGGGTAATACCGTACTACTCAAGGGAGTTAACAGTAAAATCTCCGGGGGTATGCCCAGGTATCCCTCTTGGCTTCTTAGACTGTGGCAAGAATTCTAAGATGTAAAAGCACACAAGTTTAAAGTTTCATATGTCTTTTTCTTCCAGATATTGGAAATCCACCGTTACGTGAACCCATTATTGACGGCGGGGAAGGGACACCGGAATATATCATTATCGGTCCAGAATTTACAACTAAAGAAGAACGCAAGAAACTACACATGGCACAGAGTTCATTGTAATACTTTGAAGGAAATTATCTCTCTTTCAAAATCAATTTTTCTATCGGTATTGAAGTTGTATGCTTCAAAATGTGACATATTTCTACGCTAACACCATTCATTACTTATTCTCACCTCTATCTAATCAAATATCAGAAGCGAAATATTTTGAAAATAGCCGGCATTATTTTTAAGTTTACGAAAATATTTTGGTAAACCTGTCTTTCTCTTAATGGTCCTACAAACTTACAGAAACGCTCTTACTTTGAAGAAAACTAATCACCCTCACAGCGTAAGTCTGAAATGCCCAGTTTGATTAATAAGAGAGTTTTGAAATACTCGATAAGTATTTGAAATAGTCAAAAAATCCTAGTCTATTTGTTACAACATGCACTTCTGTGAAACACACAATTTCAAATTTGGCGTCTTCGATGTAAATTTCCAAGAATCAATACTGAAACACTCAAGAAAAAAGGTATTTACGCTACTCAAATATTTACAGTAGACACGTACACTGGTTGCACCTGTTTTAATACGCGCAAATATGAGGAAAAGATATTCTGGTTGGTTTCACACCGAAAACATCTGAAAAGTTTCTGAAGAAAAGCTTGCTAGCCATCCATCTGTCTTACGAGAGATAATTACAACTAGAGTGGTTCAGTGGCCAGACTTCATTCAAATACGCAAAGCAAGTAGGGTAAGTACATGTCAATCTCTCAAGCCGGTGGAAAACGGAATCTTTACCGCCGATAAATAAAAGATCTTGTTTTTTTTTTTCTTGGTTCTACCATAAAATTAAATATTTGAAAAAGCGATTGATCATAGCCCTGAGTAGGTCGGTAAACCCAAACGAGGAAAACATAAAATGCAAGCCATCGGGTGGTGAAGTTTGTTAAGAATGTTATTGAGCTTCAGTAAATATTTCATCATGAGCCACTTGTGATCTCAGCTGATGAGAACATCAGTTGTGCGTTAGTAAAGAAAGCCAAAGAGGGTTGTTAAAATAATATTTCTTGTGTTATTCTTGAAACAGATCGAAACTTAATGATCAGAGAGCGTTAACGCATTGTGGCACCACAAAGGCACAAGGCTTTTCCTCTCGTTAGCGACTAGCTTTTATCTTTCTCCTCTGTTAAGTGCCTCATTGTTTCTGAATATTCAAGTAGACCAGCCTTCTCGTCGAGCGGTAAATCTTGCTTCAGTCTCAGTCTCAGTCTCCATAATATTTTGGTGCCGGAAACGAAGAATCTTGCTAAAGATATCCTTGTATTCTCGCCCCAATTGCTTATTCATGACGCCATATATAACTGGGTTGATGGTGCTGCTCGTGTAAAGCAGGAACGCGTAAGAAATGTACACCCCCGCGGCCAGGTGTCGTCCCCACGCATGGCATCAGTGGTGTCAATTACAAAAATTGGCAGCCAGCAAGACACAAAACCGACCAGAACTGCTAATAAACTCTTGGTCACTTTAGCTTCTTCAACATTCGCTCGCAAGCGGGAAAAATCGCTTTCTTCCGAGAAAACACGATTTGATCTTGAAACTGCACGGAACACCTTTGCATAGCAGATGGTTATAAGTGTTAAGGGGGCTGTGATGCTAACAAATTCTAAAAACAATGTATAAACAATGTCGCTTTCGAAAGTGTACAAACACATCCCTTTCCCCAGCTTGAATTCAAATCCACCTCTCTCAAAGAAAAGGGGAGGCACAGATCCAACGAGAGCTGCGAACCACGCACAAGCAATGTACAGACAAATTTTTTCCTTCTTGAACAACACCAAGTACCTTTCTGGTTTTACAACGCAGAAATACCGGCTGATTGCAATGACTCCCATGCAATGAATTGAGGCCACCGCAAACGTGAGAACTGCGAAACCATTAATTCGACAAAACGTTTCACCAAAGATCCATCGACCGTGGAAAAGAGTTGCAACAGTAAAAGGCATGCAGCACGAGGAAATCAGAATATCGCTCACAGCCAGTGCTATTACGAACATGTTGGGAATCGTGCGGAGCCTGCGGTTTCTGTACACGACATAACAAGTGAGAAGATTCCCAAAGAAAGCCAAAACGTTAATCATGGCAAACAAAAGTGTTTTGGTCCAAATTGAAAATTCAGACCTTGATGCAAACTCCATCTTTTTTTTAGGCCGCACTTTCCGTTCTGGAGTTATAGAGGTGAAGAGGTATCGAATATAGTTTACGATTGATGCATTGATAAATGTGTCATGGTTGTCCTACATCAAAGCCAATATCCTTCATAAAATGTCAGCTGCCCACCTTGTCATGTTTTTGTTAATCCTATCTTTTAAGGACATCAATATATCCAGCACTGAAAAACGAAGGTTGGCACTGAAATATCTATTATAAGTGAGAGCTCAAGTAGTGTAATTTCAATAAACTTGAATAAATTAAACCAAGTGAAATTTGTCAATTTGCAACTTGTCAGCAATTTTCAAATGTCATCATTTTTTCAAATCTCAATGTATCTGTCAATTCCACATCAGTTTTTAGGTTACGTTATTTTAATTTTAGGAGAAATGTCCCAAACTGTGCATTTTTTTTTTATAATTGATTCTTATGTTTAGGTTCTGCACTTTCCTCTATTAAGGTTTTAACAGTTACCCAATTGCATTTAATTTCACAAAATCAGTAATGACAGTTTGACAAAGACGTTTGGAAATTTTCAAAGCAGATATGAGCCCAAGACGTAAAAATTGGAATCAAATGAAAGTCAGCTAATTCAGCTTGTAATTAAAGTCGTCGTCAAAAAAGGGGAAATTGTCACATTATGAAAATTGATGAAATCAATTAAAAGCTGCTGCTTCCGATTTGCAAGGGAATCAATACGGGTACAACAATTCATTGACAGTAAAACAATATGCGTTCCCTGAATATGCGTTCGTATTCAGAGGAAGTCGTACGAGTAGAAAAGATGTTTCTGTTTTGATGACAATTTGTGCATCTTGTATGAAGTGCACCAACCTGAATCACTTGAATTCAATTTTGTAAAATCCCGGATGTACTCGTGTTCACTCTAATGATGTAACCTTCGAGTATTATTCTTTTTTGTTCGTTTTTACTTTATCTTTTATTTTGAGTTAGCCGTTTATTTACGCTTGCTGTTCTTGATCGTTACTTGCCCCGTTTGCACAAAGACACCCTGTAACGTCTGCGTGAGAGAAAGAAAAAATTTTCACAAAAAATTAATCACGAATTGTTGTCGCTCAAAAGCTCCTGGGATAATACACAGAAGACACTACTACAGCACTTGCACCTGTTATGTTTTTTAATTTTTTTTCACAGAGTATCGATTAGCCTTATCTTGCCAAATCAATCACAACTATTTGCTTTGTTTCAGTTGTTCTTGGAAGAGACAGTTCTAATTGACCATGACGCGTTTTTTTTTTCTCGATCGTTGCACCCAACGATCGATTACACAAAACGGCATGGTACCTGGTTACTCGCACCTGTGTAGGGGATTGGATCATTCTCCAGCTGTGCACCCCATTTTTCCCGAGATTTTAAACCTTGCATGTTCTGAGGCTGACATCGCTTAATCAAATTCACAATAGCAAATGCTGTCATTCTCAAATGAGCGCCACACCTTGAGTCAATAAGCCCCTCGCTGGCCCCTCTTAACTTTGTCAAATAATTGTGCTTTTTGAAATTTAGCCGGTTTCAGAGCGAGTATAAGCACCCTGTTCTATAAATAATTTATTTTATCTTTATCACTGGAGATTAGTGTCGAGGCTCATATCCTTACGACACTAATGTTCAGTTTGCGAATAACATCTTTGTATAAGAAACAAAATACTTTGCAGCAATACAGCAATACTTTTGACAAACTATGAGTGCATGTAGCACCTTTTAGTGCTGGTTTGTTGCTCTTCAAAGCTAATGGCTTGGGAAGGTGTCAAAAACTAACAATGAGTAAAGGGGTAAGTTTCTAAAGAAACTGCGGTGCTGCGTCGGTAGGAATATATCAAGTTAATTTGGTTTATCAACTGAGTTGATATGTAAACTGGCCACCGTAAACAGTTTCCAGAGCTGACTCTCTACAGTGGCCAATTTACATTATCAGCTAAGTTGATAAAACCAAATAATATTATTCTGTTAAAGCTAAAAATCCTAACTGGTTAAGGAACCGGTAGTACGGAAATAGTTGACAAAAGGTACATGCTGTTACCTAAAAATCAACGCAATGATTTTATCTACCCCCAAATGTATTTAATTTTCTCGCCGAAGTAAAATTAATTTCCTGTTTTTCAAACTTTTCAGAGTGCAATCATTTTTTTAATTGGTTAAAAACAAGCAAATTCAGTTACCATTATCTTTTAATTCCCTTCCGGAACGCATTAGTATTTCTATTCGAGGAAATTCAGTTTTTCATTTTTGAACTCGTTTACTCTGTCGAGGATTAATTTTTTCAGAAAGAAAAAAAGAAAAGATTTGCATTTTATTTTCAAAAATGTTGACACCAATTACTTCCGTTGCCGCTGACTCCACCTTTTAACTCAACAAGAGAAAAATTTTTGGTAATGAGTTTGGCTTCAAAGTTTTACCGCTTTTCGTTCTGGTGATCGAAATCTATAATGAAAAACCTTTCTCTCGAACTTGCTGCACGGGCTAGATCTCTATTTTGGATTGAAACAGTTTTGTTTGCAGTTAACGATGTTTTGCCTCTCTTCGATAATCTTCTCACTTGCTTCGCCATGTACAGAAATCACAGGCTCCACACGCTTCCCAACATGTTCATAATAGCTCTGGCTGTAAGCGATTTGTGATATCCACCTGTTATATGCCTAATACAGTCACAAGTCTCTCCTACGATCGTTGGGTTTTTGGTAAAAGATTTTCCTCCATCCAAGGTTTTGGAGTGTACAAGTTTGCAGTTGTTTCTCTTTTTACTAATAATTGCGTTATAATAAATAATAATTGCAGTAAGTCGATATTTTTGCGTCGTGAAACTGGAAGGTTTTTAGGAAAAAAAAAATTTGATTAATATTGTTATGTGTTGGTGTTTGGCTTTCGTTGGATCTGCGCCTCTATTCTTCACATTTGAGAGCGGCAGATTTCAGTTTCATTCAGGTGAGGCAATGTGCTTGATCACATTCGAAGATGACACAGCTTTCATAATCTTTAGCAACGTTTTTTATATAGCCACTCCTTTCGCCATCATCACGGTCTACTGCGTCAAAGTATTCCGCGCTGTTTTGAGATCAAATCGTGTTTTCTCACACAAAAATAACCCTCGGCGACACCGGGCGAATGTGAAAGAAGCAAAAGTGACATAGACTTTAGCAATGGTTCTGCTCGGCTTTGCATCTTGTTGGCTTCCACTTTACATTATGGATTTCATAAGCAAAAAAAATACCTTAGCACGACATGGGCATCTTGCCATCGCGTTTTTATTGTACTATTACTACGTTTTTATTGCTATGAACAAGCATTTCAGAAGATAGTGTCGGAAATTCTATAAATACGTAAAATCCTTCGCTTCAATATCAGAACATTCATAGGTAAACTAAATGGCGCCATTTGGTGAGGAAAGTCTCATAAAAACTCATATAGCCTACATAACAGACTGCTATACTTATGCAAATATATTAATGCGACTTCACAGGTTTGTTGTTTTCTGTGAATGTAAGATAAGAAAGATGGCAAAATCTGATCTTATCGGTCGAATAAGAAGACATTTTACTCGTCTTCCCAGAAATGAGGGACAAAAATACCAACAAACAAAGAACTCCGATTTCAGAGTTTTGTTTGGTTAAACTTGGCTAGAACGTGGTTAAACTTAATCCAGACCTTCGGATTTCTTTACTTTTGTTATTAGTTGCTATGTGTAATTGTTTCTCTTATCCTGTGTCTAAACTGTAAAACTGAAAAACTGACTCGGAAAATTAAAAGAAAAATATTTTGCAAAGTGTGAAATGTTGTGTTGATGTAACATACTATGAAGGGCTTTCCTTACACCGCTTCAAATGAGTCTGTTTCCATCGCAGCTTTGACAATAAATACTACCATTCTATGGCAAAGTGTTCCGCACAGGAAAACTTGCTCTCTTACCATCTAAGAATTTCGCTATTGATTCCATTTTTATTTGAACCAGCTTCTCAACCTAACAATGATGAATGACGCGTCTTTTCGTAATATTCGGTCCCAGGTCTCTTTCTCAAACCTTCCGGGTTACTTGATCCAGTGCTGTTGTTAAGCTCACATGTGTTACTCTGGGGGAAATAGTTGAATGACATACACCTTATCTCCGAGAGGCAATAGACCATACACTTCCATGACGATGTCACGTGATATTCCGTGTGAATCACGTGATTTGTCAATGCTGACTGCACACCAGTTTTTGTAACGGGTTGGTAAAACAAAGCATCTTTATAAGGAATGGCTCGGTTTTCTTTGATGTAGGGTGAAAATAACATCAGAGATTAATGAAAATATAGCACTTAAAGAGTCTATATCACCAAGTAGTATCCGTATTAACGTGCGTCTGTTCAGTAAAAAAATCACTGATGACATCAAAATGTTGTAAAAACGAAAAAAGAGCTAAGGAGGTGCAGCCGAATGTGTCACTGATGTTTTAATTTTTTATTTTCTTAGAAACTCGTTTTCGGCATTGTTCTCTCAAGTTCTATATTCTGTTTTATCAGTCAATCAGTCACAGAAAATCAGCTTTAGTCAGTCACTAAGATTTGTACTAATAGCACTAGAGGGGTAATATGCCCTAAGAATTATTGAGAAGAAGTCTACAGTGGCTTATGATCATTTTAAAGGCAACCGATGGATTACTAACCTACGCAATATCTGGCTTTCACTTTGAATTCCAAGGCTGTCGGCTGCAGCTTATACACATAGTATCCATAGCAATGCTTGACTAGCGCCTGCACTTCGGCAAAGCAGCAGTTGTCATTCCAACTAAAGCAAACGTTCCGGTGTACAAGGCCCTCTTCCATTGATGGATGACCCCCGCGAAGCCAACCTGACGCCTGGGTTCCACAAGCCCAAGGTTCCGTGCAGGAGTCTGGCAGCTGGCGAGAAAATTAAGATATTCTAGATTTCTGTAATTCGTGAATTACCTCTTTATAAAGTGGAGGGAATAATCCAAAGCTTGTTTTTCTTTCTTTGCTTTGGAAACTGGCTATATAGGGTTACAAGCTCCCAGTTACGTTTCCGCATTAATTTCGCGCAAAAACTTCACGAGACTAGACTGTCCGACCTAATTTTTTTCCTGCAGTGGGTCAGTGAAAAATACTAGAGCAGTTTGCATTACCTATTCAGGAAACGCAATATTTCACCATTTAACTGGACGTATCTTTTATTTTATGCCTCACCCTGTCTCAACTCTCAACCTCAAGACCTCCCCTCTACAAATGCTTTTTATTCTACTCTGCCTCCTCTAACCGGACAAAATTGTAACCTTAGATCAGACCTGCACTGGGGTTCCTGTGGCTTGACTAACAAAGCGGTACCATCCACGGTTATCAATGTCCCCATCATTTTGTGCCGACTGTTCGTTATGCACTACATGACCAACTGTTCTAGTCCCTTCCATTAGGTCTCTGAATTCCGTGCACATCGCATATCTGCCTTGAATAAAAGAGAGGATATCTTTTCATATTATTTTAGTGAAGGTAAGTAAGATGAAGTCTGTACTCGAGCCTACTGGCCCATCCAACCGGAGCTTATCCCGGTTTCCATAGCATGTAGCGACTAGGGGTATTACTACCCCCTACCCCCCTTCCCCTGGATGAAATGCTAGTTCATCACATGGTTACCCCTCAACATTTCGCCAGGCTTCCCGGAAAATTCACCGGTACCCATTTGCATTCTGGATAGACACACACAGTAAAGTGTCTTGTCCAAGAACACAACATATCGACCAGGCCAGGTATTGAACCCAGACCTCTTGACCGGGATTCCAGTGCACTGACTTTCAGGTGTCTTTGTCCACTGTGTCTCCCACATTGTTTGAGTAGTTTTCAGGAAAAAAAACTCGCCCAATTTGGGTAAAAACGTTTTTCTGGATACTAATTCGTGTAAATTTGTCAATACATGTTATTTGCAACTCAAACACACCGCATGCTTTGCGATTCTGACTTTATTCGAGAAATCCGTGAACACGAAGATGTATCAGATATAAAAGACGCAACGATAAAGTCACTAATTTAAAGAAAAGGACTGATCGCAGGACATAACTGATAAACTAAATTCTGAGCGTTGAATTCATTCTTGGACTGCCTAGCAGAGTTTTTCATTAAAAGATCCACGCCTGGCTCTCGCTTATGAAATGGTGCGGTTCTTTTACTTACTGCGCAAGTTCAAAACAAATCTGTGATAATCAGCGCCATGTTTGTTGCGGGCCACACAGTCAATTGTCCACTTGGTAGTATTCCTTTGAGCAGTGATTGACAGATTCAGTGTCAAGTCGGATGAGCTGTTTTGAAGGACGACACCATTTTTGACCCAGGTCACAAACGGTTCAGGATAACCGAAAGGCTCTGGACAGACCAGAATTATAGAAGTTTGGTAATAGGCATCCTGCACTGAGTGTTTTACTGGCTTGTATTTCAGAAAGGCTAGAATGAGGAAGATGCTCTTATCATCTTTTTTTAATCGCTCTACAAAGCCGACCATTTACGTTCGTATTTAGTAACAATCTTACTGTAAGTGCTGTAACCAATGGCTTCGGAGAGGGATTAGGAACAAACAACGAGTGTTGTTTGTCTACTATGACAAAATGGAAACGGACGAGGCTCTTTTGATATCCATTATTGAGCCATTGACCTACAACTCTTCCTCTCCTCCCTCCCTACCAACTCGCGGTTTTCTCTCCCCCCCCCCTCTCCCCAGACATTTAGCTATGGAGAAAGAACTTGAAGTAAGGTGCGTCAATTTATGAGCATGTGGACAGCTTTCTACAGATTTAACCCTTAAACTTTCAAGATCTGATGGTTAATGCTCCTCTCTCGCTGCTACATTTTTCCGCGTGATTTATTTCCGAGAATTTCGTGTTAGATCAAGATTACAACTCCTTCCTGATAAGTTTGAATATTCTCATTACCTGTTTGCTGGATATTGCATGGATATTATAGGGAGAAGTTACATGAGAAGCTCTTCTGAGAGTTGAATTAAGAGGTTAAACTCTGAGATACCTCTGCTTTCTGAATACACCTCCACCTCGCACAAAGTCAGAAACATCCTACTTCCCATCAGTCTGATATTTACGTATCGTCCAGTTTTTCTCGGTTTGCAATAAAACGAAGCTTTGAGTGAATTAGCCATCGAGTACAATCCACCACACCTCGGATTCAAGTTCCCATTATCTGCCAAACTATCACCTGAGGGATAAAAAAAACTTCTTTTAGAAGACTTTGCTGATCGTTGAAGTCGAAGAAGTGCAGTAAATCAAGGTTAAAGCTATCCTTAAAGCTGGCCCTAAGGGAAACAGTGAGGTTGGCTCCTTGAGGGAAAATAAAACTTATTATTTTCCGTAGGGCCATTCATTAAGTGTTTTAATTTACCTTCAAACTTTAAAGAGTCACTGAAAAAATATAAATTTCTTGACTCGGGGTGGCACACAGTTTTGCCGAGGTTTTAAGGTCCCCGACGTGCTCACGTGCGAGTCGAAAGCTCAGGTTATTGTTTCCCTTGGGAATTAGTGAGTTTTGTTCGCCTTAGGGAGTAAGTGACACATAGCATGTGACACGTTCTCCTCCAATAGGAAAACGTATTTGTGTCGGGAGGTGTAACAAAAGAGTTTATCTACATAACATGGCCACCATGCTACTCGTAAGATAAAGTTGATGAAATTTATCGTATATATCTCAACATAAATTTGAACCAAATCTATTTATTTTTCTCTCTTCTATTTATTTAGCGTAATATTTATCAGACTGGGGCAGTTCAGTTGCAAGCTGGTTTGAATGTGGGCCTTAAATAGGCCGAAATTATGAGATGAAATTAATTACATTTTGGGGAATTTTTCGCTTACCGACACGAATTTCTATGTTGGAAAGCCTATATCCAACTTCTACTCTGTTGACTATGAACACCTCTGATACGTGCTGACTTGATCCCAGATCCCCACGCCACCAGGGATTCGTTGTTTGATCTGTATGTGTACAACTTGATGAGCTCCAGATACCGTCAGTATTTCCATCCACTGCTCGCACAGGGTAAGCATTAGCATAGTCAGAGGACTGAGATGCTGACTTGCTCAAAGCAAGGTTTACTGATGAAGTACAAACAAAAGTCACCGACTGTGCTGATAGAAATAAAATTTCAAAGCTCACATGAACCCACTCCTAACAGCTTCGCTAAAGGTAGAACAACTCAAACGTCCATAACCAATAACTTGGATATAGCCTTGATCTCTTCAAATAACGGTCGTGATTAGTCAGTTTCTATTCGCCGGTAATGTTAGGTCCTTCTATTCGGTACGTTTGGTACGTTTGTTATGTAAATGTCGTGAACAAGTCGTTTGTATGGTGCCACTAGTTGTTGGTATCTGCTGAGAGGGGTCTCTACTAAGTTAGTGAACCACCTCTCCCAACTAGATTTACAACACTTGATTGAGACCTCACCCGACTCGGCTCATGACTTCCGCTAAGGTTGTCGAAACCTCAGTCACCACTACCGACAACATCCTTCTACGGCTACTCCCACCCGGACGATCAGACGGCAGACCCAGATGCCTACCCTGCTACCTCCCTGCCTCCTGTTTCACCTGCCTACCCTACTTACCTGCTAACCTCCTTCACACTCTCGCTCCCATACTACCTGCCTATTTAATTATCTATCTCCCTACCAACCTGTATGTCTTTCTTTACCCAACTATTTATCTCACTAATAGAGGTTCAAAAGAAGCTCTGGTGCTGCGTCAGTGGGAGAGTAGAACAGGCAATTTAGTGTTAACAACTGAGTTGAAAACGTAAATTGGCCACCGTAAAAAGTTTAAAGGCTGACGTTTCGAGCGTTAGCCCTTCGTCAGGGCGATCCATTATTTACCTCACTACCACACTTCCTACCTTTCTCGCTATTTTTGTACCCACTACCTTTACATTTCCTCCTCCTTCCTATTTGCAAGGACGAAGTTCAGAGCCCACCTGTTGGATTAGGATTAACTGACACCTCACAGATGGCCAGCTTCTTGTTGTTTCCCGCTATTTGGATGTTCACATACCGACCTTTGATACCTGGGGTGCAAGAGAAGGACTTTTTCTGTGAAGAAGTCAAAGTGTATGGTCCTCCACACTTTTGGTTTGAGTTTCCTTCATTATCAAGATTGTCGCCTGGGGAAATAATAAAATGTAGAGTTAGTAGACAGAAATAAAGGATAAAACTGACTTTATCTCTCCTCGTTTCATGACCCTTTTTATAACGCGTAGGGACATAACGTTGTTATTATTTAGTGACCAAATAGTAAAGAATCAATGATTATATGATTCACACCATGTTCGAGCATCGGAGAGGTATGCACTCACGCTCTAAATAAGACCCCAATTACTCCGCAGGTATTAATACTGTCCTCTCCATCTAATATACCGATGGGGCGACTAAATGTTACATTCTGGGCTACGACTGGTTTAGGGAACTCAAGCCACTCTCTCATCCAATCAGATTTAAAACTAATTAGTCCTTCGCGTTCTCACGTGGTTGAAACTATCACCCCGGAATCCTATTGGCTTCTCCTTCTCTCCTTTGTGTAAATCAGCCACCAGAAAAGAAAAAGAAAACTTTTGGAAGACTAAGATAATGTCTGGTTATTGCTCTGACGAAGGGCTATGCTCAAAACGTCAGCTTTTAAACTCTTAACGGTGGCCAATTTACATTCTCGACTTAGTTAATAATACCAAATTACCAGATGTTTTGTTCTGACTTGAACCACTCACCGACTCGTATTTCAAAATCTGTTAATCCATCTGCACCGGCTATAATGTCTACTACATCGACAACGTAACTCGTTCCCAGATCTACACGCCACCAGGGGTCCGTGAGAAGACCGGTGACTGCACACCTTGCTGATGTGCCTTCAACAGCCAATGCAGCTTCTGAATCGCAAGGAAAGGCCATGTTTGCAGGTTGTCTCAATGCCAAGTCAGCTGTGTTTAAAATTTTATAAAATAGTTTGTTACCTTCAGATTCTCAATTAAACTGTTAGAATTTTAAGCCGACGAGGGATTGGTACGAGAGAGTTTTATTTTGGCACCAGTCTCCTTGCTGTGAAGTGTCATTGAAACAGACAGGAATTGGTTAGTACAACTTATCTCGTTTTTTAGCATATGCTAACAATAAAATAAAGGTATTTGGGCCTTATAAGATTAAGAAAGAGAATCTTTTTAAACAGTCTAAGAAGTTTAACTGCTAAAAAAGCCAAACACTTGTCAACAACTTCATTACTTTTTTCCTATTCAGAAATGTGATAGCCTGGCAAGGTCATCGCGTTTTTTCCTCAGGCAATATACTATACTCTCACAGAACTTCTACCCACCCAGAAAAATAGAATGTACAGGAGAATTGTTTGAACAAATGGGGGGGGAGGGGGGGAGGGAGGATAGTGGAGGGAGTGAGGGGAGGGGGAGAGGGAATGGTCTAACTTTCCATCCAGGGTGGCAGTTCTGGGACGTTTGACCTGAAAGGCTTAATTTCAGCCTTACAAAACTCACAAAAATTTTGTACGACATGGACTATTTTGTTTGTTTTTCATTTAGGACTCTTGAGACGAGCCACGAGATATGCAATGATTCTCAAATGTACAGCACCACTCATTTAAGGATGGCAAATGTCTTTCAGATATAGTCTGAGAAAGTGTGTTTACAGTTAAATACCGGGCCATTTGTTGTGGATTGCAGCATTTTTGTTTGTACACACCTGCTGTTACATTGGAGACTCCTATCAGCAAAATCAATATCCCTGTTTGTATCATCACCTGCGTTTGAAAGTCAGAAACTATATATTTAATACTTAAGACCTCTTCAGATGTTAAGAATTTAAAGAGAAATTTTTCTAAGGAAGTGCAGTCAGCTACTTTCTAGGAGGAAATTAACATAGTCATTGATTAAGAGTAATGGAATATTTGATGACTGAAACTGTGAAGATGAAACTCAATTTTGTTCAAGCTCTTGAATCTAGACGTTTAGATATTAGCTAGATTGCTCAATGCTCGTATAACTACGGCACCACGATTAACTGTGAATTAACTAATAGAGATAATTCAAGCGCGGGCTTCTCCAACCAAATGCAAAGAGAAAAAGTTGACGAAAGACCTCTTGTTTCAGGCTTAAACTGCCCCGAAAATTAATGACAGTGACACGATTTTGTCGGGTTAAAATCCAACTGGTTGTAGTAAATACAGTGATCAGAAAGAAACAGTTGGACAGGTGTACTTACGCTTAAAGAATTCAATATGCGATGGACATCGGTAGACATAGCTGTAAATTTATAAAACAAATGGTTCTTTTGACGCCGATCACGAAGACTAGTAAATTATGTGGTACTTTTCTTCAAATAGATTAGCATGGGGAAGTTATCTAATTCCAGGAAAAAAAAACTTGAAAATGATTACACACTTGGTAAAGGAAACAATTTTTTGTCTTTACGCGGATCTGCCATAATTTCGTTCGAAGGAACATGGAATGAGCTGACCCAAAAATGTGTGTACATAATAAATAATACCTAACCCTGACGTCCCAAACTGATATGGATTCATCACAACGTAAAATTTTTAATTAAATTATAGCAAACATTTCAGGTTTATTAATTATCATCGGTAGACATAGCTGTAAATTTATAAAACAAATGGTTCTTTTGACGCCGATCACGAAGACTAGTAAATTATGTGGTACTTTTCTTCAAATAGATTAGCATGGGGAAGTTGTCTAATTTCAGGAAAAAAAAACTTGAAAATGATTACACACTTGGTAAAGGAAACAATTTTTTGTCTTTACGCGGATCTGCCATAATTTTGTTCGAAGTAACATGGAATGAACTGACCCAAAAATGTGTGTACATAATAAATAATACCTAACCCTGACGTCCCAAACTGATATGGATTCATCACAACGTAAAATTTTTAATTAAATTATAGCAAACATTTCAGGTTTATTAATTATCATCGGTAGACATAGCTGTAAATTTATAAAACAAATGGTTCTTTTGACGCCAATCACGAAGACTAGTAAATTATGTGGTACTTTTCTTCAAATAGATTAGCATGGGGAAGTTGTCTAATTCCAGGAAAAAAAAAACTTGATAATGATTACACACTTGGTAAAAGAAACAATTTTTTGTCTTTACGCGGATCTGCCATAATTTCGTTCGAAGGAACATGGAATGAGCTGACCCAAAAATGTGTGTACATAATAAATAATACCTAACCCTGACGTCCCAAACTGATATGGATTCATCACAACGTAAAATTTTTAATTAAATTATAGCAAACATTTCAGGTTTATTAATTATCATCGGTAGACATAGCTGTAAATTTATAAAACAAATGGTTCTTTTGACGCCAATCACGAAGACTAGTAAATTATGTGGTACTTTTCTTCAAATAGATTAGCATGGGGAAGTTGTCTAATTCCAGGAAAAAAAAAACTTGATAATGATTACACACTTGGTAAAAGAAACAATTTTTTGTCTTTACGCGGATCTGCCATAATTTCGTTCGAAGGAACATGGAATGAGCTGACCCAAAAATGTGTGTACATAATAAATAATACCTAACCCTGACGTCCCAAACTGATATGGATTCATCACAACGTAAAATTTTTAATTAAATTATAGCAAACATTTCAGGTTTATTAATTATCATCGGTAGACATAGCTGTAAATTTATAAAACAAATGGTTCTTTTGACGCCGATCACGAAGACTAGTAAATTATGTGGTACTTTTCTTCAAATAGATTACACACTTGGTAAAGGAAACAATTTTTTGTCTTTACGCGGATCTGCCATAATTTCGTTCGAAGGAACATGGAATGAGCTGACCCAAAAATGTGTGTACATAATTAATAATACCTAACCCTGACGTCCCAAACTGATATGGATTCATCACATCGTAAAATTTTTAATTAAATTATAGCAAACATTTCAGGTTTATTAATTATCATGTTTTTGCTCCTTGTTACGAATGTTTAAAAGTTTCTTCCCTCTATTTCATACAAAAATCTACAAAAACTGTTTCTGATACTTGAATATCTCATCTTTGAATTTTGACATACTGAATTAGTTTTTTCGACAAAACCTATCTGTTCTGTTGTAATGCAAATCAAGCAGGTGCTAATTATAGTGATGAATATAAAAAATGAATAAATAGAGGCAGGAACCCATCGTGGGATCCTGATAGTGGCTAAAAAGAAGATTTCGTGTCTTTACTTTTGGCAGGGGATCGTGTCTACCGATTTATGATTAATTTATCAAGAAATCTCGCATGCCCTTGAATTGAAGTAAACCCATTTGAAAGGAAGAAGTAGCTATATAGCAGAAATGTTCCATGTAAATTTTTACGATTGCCTCAGTTAATTTGAAATAAAAATAATATTGAGGTCGTTGAGGTTAACGATTTTCATAACATGATTTTTTTGACCGATTTTCATAACATGGATATATAGAGACTTTGCTTTATAGGAAGTGGTTCATAGCTACTGATCACCCCTAAAAAAGACGTGTTACGAACCTGGGAGAGTGAATGAGTCAAATTTGTCAAAATTTCTTCAAACCATATAAATATATGAATTGAAAACTAAGAGAAATTGTACTTCACGTACTTCACTATCATCTAGCCAGGTGCAAACGTTAATGACGTATGCGTATGCGTGTACATTGCGTGGCAGAGGGAATTTCCTGACACGCACTGAGGAACTCTTAAGCATCTGTTACGTTTTCCAAATTTCCCGTGTGCTTCATATTTCAATGAATGCACATCTAACATGTAAGCCAATTGTAATTTGGTCTATATTCAATGTCAGGACAAAATCGAAAGTTTCTTGTTTCTCGACTATATGACCATGGGGTCCTGTAAGCGCACCATGACGGCGACGGCAACGAGGAAGTGGCAAAACAGAACACATTTAATGAGCAAAACAATGGCTCAGCGCGTGCGTTTTAAAACTTTGCAAAACAACAACGTGAAACTACCAGAATTTGCGTGGACTGAGAACATACGTACGTACTTTATTGTTACCTCCCCAATGGGGCTTTTCAGGAACAATTATTTAAATTACTAAAGTTACTAATTACTACACAATTAAAATTAATTAAATTTAAGAAACATTTACAACAGAACAGAAACCCCATGGTAAATTAATTAGCTTTATAAGTGCAACTCAACACCACGAACTGTTATGTTGAAGTTGAGGTGTGGCGCCATAAGAAGCTGGAAACAAATCCAGCGATCTGCGAAATTTTAACCCAAAATGTAAATTCATTTTTTGAACGACTTTTTCCACAGCGCTGCTGTTCTTGCTGCATTCAGTCCCTCGTATCTCAATGATAACTTATTGGTCCGATTTTCACGCGGACATAGCATTGCTGTAATTCTACATATTTTATGAATTTTCTATTTTAAATAAAGGGTGAATTCGCATTGGTCAATATCTTGACGAGGTTCGGAGTGTCAGTGGTTTAGAAGCTATCGATCAAGCTACATCGAATTCGATGATAGTCTTGCCTGTTTGCGAAATACTTCAGATATGAAAATGGTTGAGTCAAACTAAAAATCATCGCCAAACATGTTAGAAATGATCCCCTGCTTCTTGAACATTGTTGATTAATTGTTCAGGTCTGTTGAGGGAAATAAGTCTCCCTCAGTCCTCGATGATTGGGAAAACACAACTGGATGTCAAACATCTCAATCATGACAACTGAAGCAGTTAATTCTTTATTTATTTTAAAAATTTTTTCTTCTTGTCTCCGTTAAACGTCTCCTCAGTTCTTCTTTGCGTTCCCCTGAATGCGTGACATAGTATATTGTGTGACATTCCTGTTAATTTATGATGCAGCTTCTCGTCAGAAAAAAGTCCACTTTGCCCCAGTCCTTTTTTTACGTTCCCCCGAATACATGACATAAAATTGTGTGACATTCCGGTAAATTATGTAGCTGCTCGTCAGTGAGATTGAGAGGGAAAAGTTAAGCTGTGTTTCCTACACAGATTAGTTCACACATTTTTACAACTTGCGATTAGTTACACATAATACATTTGTGCCAGAATTATCATGAAATAAGCTCATCATACAGGTCGTTAAGAGAGTTAGAGTTGTTTACCTCGTCTATTGCGTTTTGAGGAATCGATCTCAAATTATGACAGCTGCATAACTCAATGGCTTCTTTTTGATGCAACATGGACTCCAATCATCATTCCCGGATGGAGAAAGTAACGCAACACTAACATCTATCTCGAGAATGTTAAAAAATGGTTATTTCATCATCAGAGGTATTGTATACAAAGTTTCCCAAATCAAAAACTACCATTCCAATCTCCAACTCAACGAAAATCTGAATTCTATAGCATAAAAGTTATCAATTTGGAGTAAGCAAAATGTATTTGTTATTTAAGGAATCGAAGAAACAAGCCTTGTATTGCCTTTTAATTGTTTAATTGAACCTACAAAACAATCTTTCGTCAAAATCCGCGGGATAGCGCTGTAAAGACATGCTTTACACAATTTCTTCTAAAACCTTTTAATGAGTATCTAATTGCTTGGCTTCAATTGTATATCATTTCGTTAATTGCTAATGGCATTAGTGAATTTCAAGGGAACAACAGATAAGCATAGGAAAAGAAATTTCAATTGTGTTTAGTTCTCACAGCAATATGATCGAACTGGTCTTAGTCCGCCAACATAACCATTCGTGTCAACCCAGATTTCATGCTGGGAAACAGTTTATCTTTCATCGAGAAGTGAAAACCTCAGTCGCAAGTCATCGTGAATATATGTTTTAGTTTTCGCTGTAATTATGACGAATTGTCAACATTGTTTAGAACTAGAAATGGCTTTTTAGATCAGGAATAATCAATGGAATCTCAATGATGAGTTTTTTTACTGAGATGCTGAGGGATGAATGAATATGTCGTTTACATTTTCTTTATATCTTTACACACTAACATCATTATGCATATTCTCCACACTGTTCTCCATTCATTTCCTAAGCTACTGACAAGGAGAATTTGTTTAACAATCATGAGCTCTGTCAGTGGTGATCATTTCCTTTATTCTTCTGACCTTAATATGTGATTCAGGGCTGATACTGTAAGGAGAAATTAGATGCCAGTCACTCTTAGGGGTCAAAAGGGAAGAAGAATTTTGGAGTGGGCACATTACTAACTTTGATTCGATATTTTTGCGTCGTGAAACCTGGAAGGTATCGTGTGTTGTTTGCGAAGAAAAAAAATTTGATTACCATTGTCATGTGTTGGTGTTTGGCTTTCGTTGGATCTCTGCCTCTATTCTCTACATTCGAGAGAATAGAGGCAGATTTCAGTTTCATTCAGGAGAGGCAATCTGCTTGATCACATTCGAAGATGACACAGCTTTCATAATCTTTAGCAACGTTTTTTATATAGCCACTCCTTTCGCCATTATCAAGGTCTGCTGCGTCAAAGTATTTCGCGCTGTTTCGAGATCAAACCGTGCTTTCTCACACAAAAATAACCCTCGGCGATACCGGGCGAATGTGGAAGAAGCAAAAGTGACATAGACTTTAGCAGAGGTTCTGCTCGGCTTTGCATCTTGTTAGCTTCCAGTTTACATTATGGATTTCATCAATGTCAAAAGCAAGGAAAATATCTTCGCACCACATGGGTATCTTGCCATCGTGTTTTTATTGTAACTGAGTAGCACCATCAATCCCTTCATATACGGTGCCATGAACAGGCACTTCAGAAGATAGTGCCGGCAATTCCATAAATACATAAAATCCATCGCCTCAAATATCAGAACATTCATAAGTAAACTAAATGACGCCTCTCGTAGTCTCGTAATAACTCATATAGCCTAAATAACAGACTGATTTACTTATGCAAATTTATTAATGCGACTTCACAGGTTTATTGTTTTGGGTAAATGTAAGATAAAAAAGATGGAAAAATTTGATCTTAGCGGTCAAATAAGAAGACATTTTATTCCTCTTGCCAGAAATGAGGGACAAAAATACCAACAAACAAAAAACTCTAATTTCAGAGTTTTGTTTGGTTAAACTTGGATAGAACGTGGTTAAACTTAATCCAGACCTTCGGATTTCTTTACTTTTGTTATTAGTTGCTATGTGTAATTGTTTCTCTTATCCTGTGTCTAAACTGCAAAACTGAAAAACTGACTCGAAAAATTAAAAGAAAAATATTTTACAAAGTGTGAAATGTTGTGTTGATGTAACATCCTATGAAGGGCTTTCCTTAAGGCGCTTCAAATGAGTCTGTTTCCACCGCAGCTTTAACAATAAACACTACCATTCTATGCCAAAGTGTTCCGCACAGGAAAACTTGCTCCCTTACCATCTAAAAATTTCACTATTGATTCCACTCTTATTTGAACCAGCTTCTCAACCTAAGAATGATGAATGACTCGTCTTTTCGTAATATTCGGTCCCAGGTCTCTCTCTCAAACCTTCTGGGTTACTTGATCCAGTGCTGTTGTTAAGCTCACATGTGTTACTCTGGGTGAAGTAGTTGAATGACACACACGTCATCTCCGAGAGGCAATAGGCCATACACTTCCATGAAGATGTCACATGATATTCCGTGTGAATCACGTGATTTTTCAAGGCTAACTGCACACCAGTTTTTGTAACGGGTTGGTAAAACACAGCATCTTCATAAGGGATGGCTCGGTTTTCTTTGATATAGGGTGAAAATAACATCGCAGAGATTAATGAAAATGTGGCACTTGGAGTCTACTTAACCGAGTAGTATCCGTATTATTGTGCGTCTGTTCAGTAAAAGATCACTGATGACATCAAAATGTGGTAAAAACGAAAAAAGAGCTAACGAGGTGCAGCCGAGTGTGTCACTAATGTTTACATTTTTTATATTTTTGAAAACTCGTTTTCGGCATTGTTCTCTCAAGTTCTATATTCTTTTTTATCAGTCAATCAGAAGTCAGAAAAAATCAGCTTTAGTCAGAGTGACTAAGATTTGTGCTAATGGCACAAGAGGAGTAACATGCCCTAAGAATTGTTGAGAAGAAGTCTACAGTGGCTTATGATCATTGTAAAGGCAACCGATGGATTACTAACCCACGCAATATCTCGCTTTCACTTCCAATTCCAAAGCTGTCGGCTGCAGCTTATACACATAGTATCCATAGCAATGCTTGACTAGTGCCTGCACTTCGGCAAAGCAGCAATTGTCATTCCAACTAAAGCAAACATTCCGGCGTACAAGGCCCTCTTCCACTGATGGATGACCCCCGCGAAGCCAGCCTGAGGCCTGAGTTCCACAAGTCCAAGGTTCCGTGCAGGAGTCCGGTAGCTGGCGAGAAATTTAGATATTCTAAATTTCTGTAATTCATTAATAACCTCTTTATAAAGGGGAAGGAATAACTCAAAATTCGTTTTTCTTTCTTTGATTTGGAAACTGGTTAAGACAAGCTCCCAGTTACATTTCCGCATTAATTTTGTGAAGAAACTTCGCGAGACTAGACTGTCCGACCTAATTTTTTTCTGCAGTCGGTCAGTGAAAAATACTAGAGCAGTTTGCATTATCTATTCAGGAAACGCAATATTTCACCATTTAACTGGACGTATCTTTTATTTTATGCCTCACCCTGTCTCAACTCTCAACCTCAAGACCTCCCCTCTACAAATGCTTTTTATTCTACTCTTTCTACTCTTTCTCCTCTAACCGGGCAAAATTGTAATCATAGATCAGACCTGCACTGGGGTTCCTGTGGCTTGTCTAACAAAGCGGTACCATGTACGGTTATCAATGTCCCCGTCATTTTGTGCCGACTGTTGGTTATGCACTACGTGACGAACTGTTCTAGTCCCTCCAACCAGGTCTCTAAATTCCGTGCACATCGCATATCTGCCTTGAATAAAAGAGAGGATATCTTTCCATATTGTTTTAGTGAAGATAAGTAAGATAAAGTCTGTACTCGAGCCTACTGGCCCATCCAACCGGAGCTTATGCCGGTTTCCATAGCATGTAGCGACTAGGAGTATTACTGCCCCCTACCCCCCATTCCTCCTGGATGGAATGCTAGTTCATCACATGGTTACCCCTCAACATTTCACCAAGCTTCCCTGAAAATTCGCCGGTACCCATTTGCATTCTGGGCGGAGAGATACACTGTGAGAGTAAAGTGTCTTGCCCATGAACAAAACGCATTGACGTGACCAGGTATTGAACCCAGACCTCTTGACCGGGATTCCAGTGTACTGACTATCAGGAGACTTGTCCACAGTGTCTCCCACATTGTTTGAATAGTTTTCTTGAAGAAAAACTCGGTCAATTTGGGTAAAAACTTGTCAACTAAAATTGAAAATTCAAATAAAATTTCTCAATACGTGATATTTGGAACTCATACACACCGCATGCTTTCCGATGCTGACTTTATTAGAGAAATCCGTGAACACAAATATGTATCAGATATCAAAAACGCAACGATAAAACCGCTAATTTAAAGAAAAGGACTGATCGCAGGACATAACTGATAAACTCTATTCTGAACGTTGAATTCATTTTTGGACTGCCTAGCAGAGTTTTTCATTAAAAGATCCACGCCTGGCTCTCGCTTATTTATTTATTTATTTATTTATTTAACAACTTTATTGGGTACGTCTACAAGCTCAAAATGAATGCATATACAAGGAAAGAGACAAAAAATCGATAGACATACGCCAAAAGGGTCAGTGCGAACGGGACATGGAGTCCCATGCGGGGCACTACCCTTAATAAAAACGAAAAAAAAAAAAAAAAAAAATTAAAATTATGAAAATGGTGCGGTTCTTTTACTTACTGTGCAAGTTCAAAACAAATCTGTGATAATCAGCGCCATGTTTGTTGCTGGCCACACAGTCAATTGTCCACTTGGTAGTATCCCTTTGAGCAATGATTGACAGATTCAGTGTCAAGTCGGATGAGCTGTTTTGAAGGACGACACCATTTTTTACCCAGGCTACGAACGGTTCAGGATAACCGAAAGGCTCTGGACAGACCAGAGTTATAGAAGTTTGGTAATAGACGTCCTGCACTGAGCGTTTTACTGGCTTGTATTTCAGAATGGCTAGAATGAGGAAAATGCTGTTATCATCATTTTTTAATCCCTCTAGAAAGCCAACCTTTTACGTTCGTATTCAGTTACAATCTTACTGTAAGTGCTAGTAAGTAAGTAAGTAAGTAAAGCCTTTATTTAAAGAGGGTGGCACTTAATAGCCAAAGGCTAATAAACTTGTGGCCCTCACAACTATTTACAATCTAAAATACTGTAAGCTAAAATATATATATATACAGTTAAAATATAAAATATGACAGGATTCGATTATAAGATAAAAATAAATTATTAAATTATGAAATGATGCAAAAATTGTTGTTCCTTAAAAATCTTGGCAAACATGTTCTTTTTAAAACATGCTACAGAATTTAGTTTCCTAATTTCAATTGGTGTACTGTTCCACAGTCTTGTTGCCGAAACAGCGAAAGAGCGTCCTCCTTCTGTTTCTCTTTTATATTTAGGACAAACAGCATTAGTGCTTGAATATCTAGTGTTGCGGGAGTGCCGCTTATTATTTAAAATTAAGTGTTCATTTAGATAATTCGGCAAAGTCCCATTAATTCGCTTATACATTATTGTGCATTTATCAATCTTATGTTGCTCATAAAACGGGATCCAACCTAGCTTGTTAAACAAAGCAACTGATGGTGTCATGCGATCGGCATAACAAATAACGCGTGCCGCACGTTTTTGCAATCTTAAGACCCTATGAACCGACTCTTTATCGCAATTTGCCCAAACAACGTTAGCGTAAGACATAACAGGGCGAATAATGCTATTATAAAACTGAAGTCGCTGTTTAAGAGGTAGACACGCTCGGATCTTACGCAATATTGCGATTCTAGAGGCCAACTTTTTACATACTTTCTCAACATGTTCATTAAATGACAATTTGCTGTCAATTTCTACGCCTAATAAGGTAGCACAATCCACATTACTGAGCTGTTTTCCATTTACGATTACATCTATGTCACTTCTATTTATGTTGGCCACGCGTCTTTTGCCAGTGATCGTAAGTACTTTAGTCTTGTCTTCATTTAATGGGAGCTTATTCGCTGAAGCCCATAATTGAATTTCAGAGACAGACTTGTTTAGTGATGAATTTAAGGTGGCTAAGTCCTTCACATCCGCAGAAGCGGTGACAGTCGTATCGTCTGCGTAGAGGTCCAACTGAGCACTTGTATACAAGGGCAGATCGTTGATAAACAAAATGAAGAATAAAGGACCCAAAATACTGCCCTGGGGGACTCCATGCAACATCAAAGCTTCGCTTGACTCACTCCCATTTACACGGACCACTTGCTTCCTTTCCGACAAATAAGAGTGACACCAGGCAAGCTCCCGGTTTACTATGCCGTACAGTTCCAACTTGCGCAACAACAGCTTATGGTCCACCATGTCGAAAGCCTTACGATAATCGACCAGGACCATGCTGCAAACCTGATTATTATCTAGGCTGAACAAAAGCTCGTCAATTAACTTGATTAGGGCAGTCTCGGTACTGTGCATCCTACGAAACCCAGACTGTCTGGAATATAACAAGTTATTATCCATAAGGAAAGCATATAGAGAGTTGTGCATGTGACGTTCGATTACTTTTGACACTACCGGTAGCACAGAAATTGGGCGATAATTAGAAGGATCACTGGCTGCACCTTGTTTGAACAGTGGTGTCACATTAGCGGTTTTCCAACGAGTAGGAAACTTTCCTGTGGAAAACGACATGTTGATAAGCCTTGCTATGCTTGGAGCTAAAATGGGAGCGGCAATACGCAAAAACCTGGCGCTGATTTTGTCGATACCTGCAGCCTTATGAGGACTGATTCCCTTTATAATCTGAAGCACCTGAGCATCGGTTATGTCTGGAACAGAGAAAACCACATCCGGATCTTTGCGAGACTCAACAAAGTTTACCAACTTGGACAAGTCTGATGGTGTATTACCGAGTCCGGATCTCAGATTAGCCGCGATTGAGGAAAAATATGAATTAAACTGTTCCGCAATTTCTGTAGCATTTTCAACAGCCTTACCATCCAACTGTAGCTGACTAATCCCTTTATTCATCTTTCCGGATCCTGTCAATGCTTTGATCGTATTCCACGTTGCTTTAGGGTTGTTTCGATTTTCTTCGAATGCATTCTTGTAAAACTCACGCTTTGCTGAGCGCAAGGCAAAAACAGCCTTGTTTCTCGCCTCTCGATAATTTGCCCAGTCAGAACTATTGTCCGATTGCCTAGCCACCTTCAAAAAGTGATCACGAGAGTGCAATTTTTTAATAACCGCATTGTTCATCCAGGGCGGCTGAGTGGTGTGTTTGATTCTCTTTTCACGCCAAGGACAATGATCATCGAGGGCGGAATTAAACATCTTCTCCCAAGCATAAACAACATCATCAATATCTTCGAACACAAACGCCGTCTCCCATGGGGTCTGCTCTAGTGTTCGCTTGAATTGATCCTCATTAAAAGATTTCATGTCACGGTACTTGATTCGAGAAGATTGTCTGTTTAGATTCCCGCGTGCATACTTGCGGACTACAAAGACTGGTAGATGATCTGCTAAGCCAATGTCTGCACTGATGACCAAATTTATTCGCTGTGGTCGATTACTGTACACATGATCAAGACAGGTTTTGCTTACGGGGCGGGTTATAAAATCGACTAACTGTTTAAAGTTCATACCACGCAACCCTTTGGCGAGTCTATGCTTATCATAATTCTTCCTATCCTTATAATCAATGTTTATGTCAGAGACAATGATAGTTTCTTTGTTTAACAAATGAACCCTCTCGATGAGCTCTTCGATTTTAATGTCATCATCCTTTTTGGAGGACGGTGGTCGGTAAAAACTTCCAAGAATAATAGATCGCTTCGATTTATAAGGACACACTTCTAGCCAAATTGCCTCCACATCCGCGCTTTCCAAGTCAGTTCTCCGATTTGCAGTAAGATACCAACTAATAAAAGCCATAATACCGCCACCATTTGTCTTTCTGTCCCTTCGGTGAATTATGAGCCCCGGGATTGCGTAGCAAGTGTCCGGATCGTCGGGCTTGAGAAATGTCTCACTAATAAACAAAGCGTCCAGTTGAGAACGACCTGAGCGCATGTTTCCAAGTAGAAACAGTTTGATCTGTTCAAACTTGGTTGTTGTTAAATAGTCAACGTTCCAATGGCCGATTCGTAGACCATTTTCTCCAAGTCCGAGATCAAAATATGAAGAGGAGTAATCGCTTTCGTCGGTTTCGGACAGAAATGAAGTCCTCGTTGTCGATGGACTGTATTCAGCGAACGAAGAAAAACTCCCTTCCAAAGACGATAAATCCGACTGCGTAACATCAATTGGACCAGGGTTACTGGCAACATCATTACAGAGGACCAAAATATTGATAGATAAGGCGACGTTTAGGAGTTTTAAACCAAGTAATAGCTTATGACTAGCAGGAGCTGGATCAATGGCGGATGACTTGATTCGTGTTTGAAGTCTAGAAAGGCTTACAAACGGCACACACAAAGCTCTTGCGACAACAAATCCTTCCAGGCATATCCCTAGACTGTCATCTTCCAGATTCAGTGGGTTGCGATAAATGGAGTTGAAAATTAAACTTGAGACAAGCCAAAGTGTTAGCGAGCGGCCGAGGGCCGACTTACACGCCGCCATGTGTTGACAACCCGCTGTGCTGTAACTAAGGGCTGCGGACTGGGATTAGGAACTAACAACGAGCTGTTTGTCTACCATGACCAAATGGTCAAGGACAAGGCTCTTGTGATATCCATTATTGTGCCTTTGATCTACAATTCTTCCTACCCTCCCTCCCTACCAATTCGCTCTTTCCTCTTCCCCCCTCCACAAGACATTTAGCTATGGAGAAAGACCTTGAAGTAAAGTGCGTCAATTTATGAGCATGCGGAAAGCTTTTTATGGATATAACCCTTAAACTTTCAAGATTTGATGGTTAGTTCTCCTCTCTCGCCGCTATATTTTTCAATGTAATTTATTTACGAGAAAATTTCGTGTTAGATCAAGGTAACAACTTCTTCTTGATAAAATTTGAGTATTCTCATTATCTGTTTGCTGGATGATGTAAGGATATTATAGAGGGAAGTTACATAAGAAGTACTTCTGAGAGTTTAATTAAGAAGTTAAACTAAAAGATACCTCTACTTTCGGAATACACCTCCACCTCGCACAAAGTCAGAACCATGCTACTTCCCACCAGTCTGATATTTACGTATCGTCCATTTTTCCTCGGTTTGCAATAAAACGAAGCTTTGAGTAAATTAGCCATCGAGTACAAGCCACCACACCTCGGATTCGAGTTTCCATTATTTGCCAAACTATCTCCTGAGGGATAAAAAAAACTTCTTTCAGAAGACTTTGCTGATCGTAGAAGTGAAGTTAATCAAGGTTAAAGCTATCCTTAAAGCTGGCCCCAAGGGAAACCGTGACGTTGTTTCCTTGAGGGAAAATAAAACTTAATATATCCCGTAGGGCCATTCATTAAGTGTTTTTATTTACCTTCAAATTTTAGAGAATCACTGAAAAAATAGAAATTTCTTGACTCGGGGTGGCACAGAGTTTAGCCGAGGTTTTAAGGTCCCCGACCTGCTCACGTGGGAGTCGAAAGCTCAGGTTATTGTTTCCCTCGGGAGTTAATGAGTTTTGTTCGCCTTAGGGAGTAAGTGACACATTGCATGTGACACGTTCTCCTCCAATATGAAAACGTATTTGTGTTGGGAGGTGTAAGAAAAGACTTTATCTACATAACATGGCCACCATGCCAGTCGTAAGATAAAGTTGATGAAATTTATCGTATATATCACAATATCAATTTGAACCAAACCTAGTTATTTTTTTGTCTTGCATTTATTTATCGCAATATTTATCAGACTGAGGCAGTTCAGTTGTAAGCTGGTTTGAATGGGGGCCTGTCAATAACCTGAAACGATGAGATAAAATTAACTATATTCCAATAAATTTTAGCTTACCGACACGAATTTCTATGTTGAAAAGCCTATTTTCATGCTTTATTCTGTTGACTATGAACACCTCTGACACGTGCTGACTTGATCCCAGATCCCCACGCCACCAGGGATCCGTTGTTTTATATGTATGTGTACAACTTGATGAGCTCCAGTCACTGTCAGTATTTCCATCCACTGCTCGCACAGGGTAAGCATTGTGGGAGACAGAGGACTGAGATGCTGACTTGCTCAAAGCAAGGTTTACTGATAAAAGTAGAAACAAAAGTGACCGACTGTACTAATAGAAATAAAATTTCAAAGCTCACATGAACCCACTCCTAACAGCTTCGCCACAGGACGACCATCTCAAATTTCCATAAGTAATAACTTAGACAGAGCCTTGATTTCTCTTTGAGTAGCGGTTGTGTTTAGTCAGTTTCTATTCCCCAGTAATGTTAGGTCCTTCTATTCGGTACGTTTGGTATGTTTGTTATGTAAATGTCGTGAACTAGTCGTTTGTATGGTGCCACTATTTGTTGGTATCTGCTGAGAGGGGTCTCTACTAAGTTAGTCAACCACCTCTCCCAACCAGATTTGTAACACTTGGTTGAGACCTCACCCGACTCGGCTCATGACTTCCGCTAAGGTTGTCAAAACCTCAGTCACTACTAGCGACAACAGTCCTCCTATGGCTACTCTAACCCGAATGATCAGACTGCAGACCCAGATGCCTACCCTGCTACCTCCCTGCCTCCTATTTCACCTGCCTACCCTGCTTACCTGCCAACCTCCTTCGCACTCTCGCTCTCATACTGCCTACCTATCTGATTATCTATCTCCCTACCAACCTTTATTCCTTTCTTTTACCCAACTATTTATTTCACTAATAGAGGCTCTAAAGAAGTTGTGGTGCTGCGTCAGTGGGAGAGTAGAACAGGCAATTTAGTGTTAACAACTGAGTTGAAAACGTAAATTGGCCACCGTAAAGAGTTTAAAGGCTGACCTTTCGAGCGTTAGCCCTTCGTCAGGGCGATTCATTATTTACCTCACTACCACACTTCCTACCTTTCTCGCTATTTTTGTACCCACTACCTTTACATTTCTCCCTCCTTCCTATTTGCAAGGACGAAGTTCAGAGCCCACCTGTTGGATTAGGATTAACTGACACCTCACAGATGGCCAGCTTCTTGTTGTTTCCCGCTATTCGGATGTTCACATACCGACCCTTGATACCTGGGGTGCAAAAGAACGACATTTCCTGTGAAGAAGTCAAAGTGTGTGGTCCTCCACACTTTTGGTTTAAGTTTCCTTCATTATCAAGATTGTCACCTGGGGAAATAATAAAATGTAGAGTAAGTAGACGGAAATAAAGGATAAAACTGACTTTATCTCTACTTGTTTTGATAAGAAACGCGTAGGGACATAACGTTTTGATATTTTAATGACGAAATAATAAAGAATCGATGATAATAAGATTCACACCATAGTAGAGTATCGGAGAGGTATGCACTGACGCTCTGATTAAGACCCCAATTACTCCGTGGATATAAATACTGTCCTCTCCATCTAATATACCGATGGGGTGACTAAATGTTACATTCTGGGCTACGACTGGTTTAGGGAACTTAAGCCACCCTCTCATCCAATCAGATTTAAAACTAAAATCAACCGTAAATTGGTCATTCGCGTTCTCACGCGGTTGAAACTATAACCCTCGAATCCTATTGGCTTCTCTTTCTTTCCTTTGTTCTAATCAGCCATCAGAGAAGAACTTCTGGAAGACTAAGCGGATGTCCGGTTATCGCTCTGACGAAGGGCTAACGCTCAAAACGTCAGCTTTTAAACTCTTAACGGTGGCCAATTTATATACGCTATGAACTCAGTCAATAATACCAAATTACCAGATGTTTTGTTCTATGACTTGAACCACTCACCGACTCGTATTTCAAAATCTGTTAACCCATCTGCACCGGCAGTAATGTCTACTACATCGACAACGTAACTCATTCCCAGATCTACACGCCACCAGGGGTCCGTGAGAAGACTGGTGACTGCACACCTTGCTGATGTGCCTTCAACAGCCAATGCAGCTTCTGAATCGCAAGGAAAGGTCATGTTTGCAGGTTGTCTCAATGCCAAGTCAGCTGTGTTTTAAATTTGATAAAATAGTTTGTTACCTTCAGATTCTCAATTAAGCTGTTAGAATTTTAAGCCGAGGGGGGCTTGGTACGAGAGAGTTTGATTTTCGCACCAGTCTCCTTGCTGTGAAGTGTCATTGAAACAGGCAGGAATTGCTCAGTACAACTTATCTCGTTTTTTAACATATGCTAACAACGAAATAAAGGTATTTGGGCCTTATAATATTTAGAAAGGGAATCTTTTCAGACAGTCCAAGAAGTTTGACTGCTAAAAAAGCCAAACAGTTGTCAAAAATTTCATTCCTTTTTTCCCATTCAGAAATGTGATAGCCTGGCAAGGTCATCGCGTTTTTTTCTCAGGCAATATACTATACTCTCACAGAGCTTCTCCCCACCCAAGAAAATAGAATGTACAGGAGAACTGTTTGAACAAATGGGGGGGGGGGAGGGGAGGGGGGGAGGGAAGGGAGGGGAAGGAATTAGGGGAGGGGGAGAGGGAAGTTATATGTGATAGTCAAACTTTCCATCCAGGGGGGCAGTTCTGGGACTTTTGACCTGAAAGACTTAATTTCAGCCTTACAAAACTCACACAAATTGTACGACATGGACTATTTTGTTTGTTTTTCATTTAGGACTCTTGAGACGAGCCACGAGATATGCAATGATTTTCAAATGTACAACACCATCATTTAAGGATGGCAAATGTTTTTTCAGTCTGAGAAAATGTGTTTACAGTTGAATACCGGGCCATTTGTTGTGAATTGCAGCTTATTTTTTTATACACACCTGCTATTACATTGGAGACTCCTATCAGCAAAATCAATATCCCTGTTTGTATCATCACCTGCGTTTGAAAGCCAGAAACTATATATTTAATACTTTAGACCTCTTCAGATGTTAAGAATTTAAAGAGAAATTTTTCTAAGAAATTGCAGTCAGCTACTTTCTGAGAGAAAATTAACATAGTCATTGTTTAAGAGTAAAGAATATTTGATGACTGAAACTGTGAAGATGAAATTCAATTTTGTTCAAGCTCTTGACTCTAGAAGTTTAGATATTCGCTAGATTGCTCAATGCTCGTATAACTACGGCACCACGATTAACCGTGAACTAATTGATAGAAAAATTTCAAGCGCGGGCTTTTCCAACCAAAAGAAAAGAGAAAAATTTGACAAAAGACCTCTTGTCTCAGGCTTAAACTGCCCCGAAAATTAATGACAGCGACACGGTTTTGTAGGGTTAAAATCCAACTAGTTGTAACAAAAACTGTGATCAGAAAGAAGCAGTTGGAAAGATGTACTTACGCTTAAAGAATTCAATATGCGATGGCCATCAGTTGATATAGCTGAAAATTCATAAAACAAATGGTTCTTTTAACGCCGATCACGAAGACTAGTAAAGTACGTGGTACTTCTCTTTAAACAGATTAGCATTGCGAAGTTGTCCTATTCCAGGGAAAAAAAATTGAACATGATTACACACTCGGCAAAGCAAACAATTTTTGTCTTTACGCGGATCTGCCCATAATTTCGTTGGAAGGAACATGGAATGAACTGGCCGTAAAATGTGTACATAATGAATAATATTAAAACCCTGACGTCCCACTGAGAGGGCATAATCTTTAAATTGATATACATCCATCACAACGTAAAATTTTTAATTAAATTATAGCAAATATTTCAGGTTTATTAATTGTCATATGTTTTTGCTCTTAACTACAACTGTATAAAAGTTTCTTTCCTCTATTTCATACAAACATCGACAAAAACTGTTTCTGATACTTGAATATCTCACCATTGAATTTTGGCATTCAATTAATTTTGTCAACAAAACCAGTCTGCTCTGTTGTAATGCAAATCAAGCAGGTGCTAACTACACTAAAACAAACCAAAATGAATGAATAGAGGCAGGAGCCCATTGTGGGCTCCTGCTAGAGGCCAAAAAGAAGATTGTCTTTATTTTTGGCAGGGGATCGTAAATAATGATTACTTTATCAACAAATTTCGTATGCCCTTGAATTGAAGTAAACCCATTTGGAAGTAAGAAGTAGCTATATTACAGAAATGTTCCATGTAAATTTTTACAATTAACTAAGGTAATTTGAAATAAAAGGAATAGTTTTGAAGGACCGATTTTCATAACCTGGATATATAGAGACTTTTCTTTGTAAGATGCGGTTCATAGCTACTGATTACCCACCCCTAACTTTTTACTTACAAGAAAGAGTGAATAAGTCTAAACCTCTCTTGAAACTATACAAATATTTGAATTGAAAACTAAGAGAAATTGTAATCACACGGACGTATTTCACTATCATCTAGCCAGGTGAAACGCTAATGACGTATGCGTATACATAGGAGCGTGGCAGAGAGAATTTCCGGACACGCACACGTTGTCACGTTTTCCAAATTTCCCGTGTGCTTCATATTTCAATGAATGCACATCTCACATGTAAGCCAATTGTAATATGGTCTATATTCAATGTGTGAACAAAATCGAAAGTTTCTTGTTTCTCGAATATATGACCATGGGGTTCTGGTTCTTTAAGCAGACCATGACGGCGACGGCAACGAGAACGTAGCAAAACGAAGCAGCTAATGAGCAAAACAAAAGTTCAGTAAAGCTGTCCATAAGTTGCTCTGCAACGTTTGAGCAACTTTTCAGATTTGGAGCAAATTTTAGTCCTTCGAGCAACTTTTCGGATTTGGTGCAACTTTTTTCTTTTTTGAATAACTTTCTAGCTTTTTTTAAGGCAATTTGTAAATTTGTAACTAAAAACCGCCCATTCAAGTTCTAATAATAATGCATGATTTTGCGTAAAATACCTTTTGTAAACAAAAAACACTATTCCCCTGGTGGTCTGCCTGTGGTAGCAGCCGAAGGTGGTCAGCGGATATGCTGAAAAATTCAAAATGGCGGAGCCGAGTGATTGTCCATGCTCGAGCTCGAGTGAAGATGATGAATATTCAGATCCTTTAGAAGTAGAGAAACTTTATATATTTAATAAGCATATTAGCAAAGTTTGTTTTGTTCGAATACAATCACGTGGTTATCGTAATAGAAAGCCAATACAGAGAATCAGATTTTTATGATTTGGGTTGAGAGAGACTCAGTCTTACAATATTGATGAGTCAGTATGATATAATTATGTATATAATATCTATGCAAAGTGAAATCTATTCATTAAATCTCTATTTAAGTTGTTAATCAATCTCTTAAACTAAAAAAATTGAAAGCAACTTTTGGATTTTAGGGCAACTTTTGAGTAACTTTTAGAGTTTTGGAGCAGCTTTTGAGCAACTTTTTGAAGAAATTGGAGCAACTTTTTGAGAAAATTGGAGCAACTTGTGGACAGCCCTAAAGCTCAGCGCGTACGTTTTAAAACCTTGCAAGCAACAACGTGAAACTCCCAGAATTTGCGTGGACTGACAACGGGGTTGTGTCCGCGTGTACCGGTACACAAAGGAACGAAACATTAACGAACTGCGTCACAACTCCATGTATGGATATGAAAACAATAGGAATTCCCCCGTGTACCGCTACACCAGGACAGCCTCGACAACGGAAACCCCGATGGTAAATTAATTAATTATATACGTACACACCACTAAGAAGCTGGAAACAAATTCAGCCATTTGCGAAATTCTAACCAAAAATGTAAATTCACTTTTTGATGACTTTTTCCACAGCGCTGCCATCCTTGCTGCATTGGGTACCTCGATACGACAACTTTTTGGTCCGACTTTTACACGGACAGAACTTCGCTCTAATTTTACAGATTTTATGAATTTTCTATTTTAAATAAAGGGTGAATTCGCATTGGTCAATATCTTGACGAGGTTCCGAGTGTCAGTGGTTTAGAAGCTTAAGCTATTAGTCAAACTACACCGAATTCGATGGCAGTCTTGCCTGCTTGCGAAATACTTCAGATACGAAAATGGTTGAATCAAACTAAAAAATTATCGCAAAACATGTTAGAAATTATTCCCTGCTTCTTGAACATTGTTGACTAATTTTTCAGGTCTGTTCAGGGGAGAAAGTCTCTCTCAGTCCTCGATGATTGGGAAAACACAACTGGATGCCATCATCTTCCCTTCAAACATCTACAAATTTGACAACTAAAGCAGTTAATTCTTTAATTAAATTTAAAAGTTTTTTTTCTTGTCTCCGCAAAACTTCTTCTCAGTTCTGTTTGCGTTTCCCTGGATGCGTGACGGAATATATTTCGTGACATTCCTGCTAATTTATGATGCAGCGTCAGAAAAAAGTCCACTTTGCCCCAGTCTTTTTTTTACGTTCCCCCGAATACATGACATAAAATTGTGTGACATTCCTGTAAATTATGTAGCTGCTCGTCAGTGAGGTTGAGAGGGGAGAGTCAAGTAGTGTTTCTTACACAGGTTAGTTCACACATTTGTGCAACTTGCGATAAGTTACCCATGATACATTTGTTCCAAATTCATCATGAAATAAGCTCATCATACAGGTCGTTAAGAGAGTTAGCGTTGTTTACCCCGTCTATTGCGTTTTGAGGAATCGATCTCAAATTGTGGCAGTTGCATAACTCAATGGCTTCTTTTTGATGCAACATGGACTCCAATCATCATTGCTGGACGGAGAGAGTAACTCAACACTAACATCTATCTTGACAATGTTAAAAGAAATGGTTATTTCATCATCAGAGGTATTGTATACAAAGTTTCCCAAATCAAAAACTACCATTCCAATCTCCCACTGAACGAAAATCTGAGTTCTATAGCATAAGAGTTATCAATTTGGAGTAAGCCAAATGTATTTGTTAGATTTAAGGAATCGAAGAAACAAGCCTTGTATTGCCTTTTAATTAAACCTACAAAACAATCTTTCGTCAAAATCCGAGGGATAGCGCTGTTAAGACATACTTTACACAATTTCTTCTAAAACCTTTTAATGAGTATCTAATTGCTTTGCTTCAATTGTATATCATTTCGTTAATTGCTAATGGCATTAGTTAATTTCAAGCGAACAAAAGATAAGCACAGGGAAAGAAATTTCCATTGTGTTTAGTTCTCACAGCAATATGATCGAACTGGTCTTAGTCCGCCAACATAACCATTCGTGTCAACCCAGATTTCATGCTGGAAAACAGTTTATCTTTCATCGAGAGGTGAAAACCTCAGTCGCAAGTCATCGTGAATATATGTATTAGTTATCGGTGTAATTATGACAAATTGTCGACATTGTTTAGAAATAGAAATGGCTTTTTACATCAGGAATAGTCAATGGAACCTCAATGATGAGTTTTTTTACTGAGATGCTGAGGGATGAATGAATATGTCGTTTACATTTTCTTTAACCCTTGACACCCTAACATCAGTATGCATATTCTCCACACTGTTCTCCATTCATTTCCTAAGCTACTGACAAGGAGAATTTGTTTAACAATCATGAGCTCTGTCAGTGGTGATCATTTCCTTTATTCTTCTGACCTTAATATGTGATTCAGGGCTGATACTGTAAGAAGAAATTAGATGCCAGTCACTCTTAGGGGTCAAAAGGGAGGAAGAATTTTGGAATGGGCTCATTACTAACTTTGATTTCAGTAAGTCGATATTTTTGCGTCATGAAACTTGGAAGGTATCGTGTCTTGTTTACGAAGAAAACAAATTTGATTAACATCGTTATGTGTTGGTGTTTGGCTTTCGTTGGATCTGCGCCTCTATTCTTTACATTTGAGAGCGGCAGATTTCAGTTTCCTTCACGCGAGGCAATGTGCTTGATCACATTCGAAGATGACATAGCTTTCATAATCTTTAGCAACGTTTTTGATATCGCCACTCCTTTCGCCATTATTACGGTCTGCTGTGTCAAAGTATTTCACGCTGTTTCGAGATCAAATCGTGTTTTCTCGCACAAAAATAACCCTCAGCGTTCCGGGCGAAAGTGGAAGAAGCAAAAATTACATAGACTTTAGCATTGGTTCTGCTCGGCTTTGCATCTTGTTGGCTTCCAGTTTACATTATGGATTTCATCAATGTCAAAAGCAAGGAAAATACCTTCGCACGACATGGGTATCTTGCCATCGCGTTTTTATTTTACCTGAGTAGCACCATCAATAGGTGAATGAACATGAACAGGCACTTCAGAAGATAGTGCCGGCAATTCCATTGTACGTAAAATCCTTCGCCTCAAATATCAGAACATTCATACGTAAACTAAATGGTGCCAGTTGGTGAGGTAAGTGTCGTAAAAACCCGTATAGCCTACATAACAGGCTGCTTTACTTACGCAAATATGTTAATGCGACTTCACAGGTTTGTTGTTTTGTGTGAATGTAAGATAGGAAAGATAGCAAAACTTGATCTTAGAGGTCAAATAAGAAGACATTTTATTCGTCTTGCCAGAAATGAGGGACAAAAATACCAACAAACAAAAAACTCCGATTTCAGAGTTTTGTCTAGTTAAACTTGGATAGAACGTGATTAAACTTAATCCAGACCTTCGGATTTCTTTACTTTTGTTATTAGTTGCTATGTGTAATTGTTTCTCTTATCCTGTGTCTAAACTGTAAAACTGAAAAACTGACTCGGAAAATTAAAACAAAAATATTTTACAAAGTGTGAAATGTTGTGTTGATGTAACATACTATGAAGGGCTTTCCTTACACCGCTTCAAATGAGTCTGTTTCCATCGCAGCTTTGACAATAAATACTACCATTCTATGCCAAAGTGTTCCGCATAGGAAAACTTGCTCTCTTACCATCTAGAAAATTCACAGTTAATTCCATTCTTTTTTGAACCAGCTTCTCAACCTAAGAATGATGAATGACTTGTCTTTTCGTAATATTCGGTCCCAGGTCTCTTTCTCAAACCTTCCGGGTTACTCGATTCAGTGCTGTTGTTAAGTTCACATGTGTTACTCTGGGGGAAGTAGCTGAATGACACACACGTCATCTCCGAGAGGCAATAGGCCATACACTTCCATGAAGATGTCACGTGATATTCCGTGTGAATCGCGTGATTTGTCAATGCTGACTGCACACCAGTTTTTGTAACGGGTTGGTAAAACAAAGCATCTTCATAAGGGATGGCTCGGTTTTCTTTGATATAGGGTGAAAATAACATCACAGAGATTCATGAAAATATGGCACTTAGAGTCTACACAACCGAGTAGTATACGTATTATTGTGCTTCTGTTCAGTAAAAGATCACTGATGACATCAAAATGCGGTAAAAACGAAAAAAGAGCTAACGAGGTGCAGCCGAGTGTGTCACTGATGTTTACATTTTTTATATTTTTAGAAACTCGTTTTCGGCATTGTTCTCTCAAGTTCTATATTCTGTTTTATCAGTCAATCAGAAGTCGGAAAGCTTTAGTCGGTCACTAAGATTTGTGCTAATGGCACAAGAGGAGTAACATGCCCTAAGAATTGTTGAGAAGAAGTCTACAGTGTCTTATGATCATCGTAAAGGCAACCGATGGATTACTAACCTACGCAATATCTGGCTTTCACTTTGAATTCCAAAGCTGTCGGCTGCAGCTTATACACATAGTATCCATAGCAATGCCTGACTAGCGCCTGCACTTCGGCAAAGCAGCAATTGTCATTCCAACTAAAGCAAACATTCTGGTGTACAAGGCCCTCTTCCATTGATGGATGACCCCCGCGAAGCCAGCCTGAGGCCTGAGTTCCACAAGTCCAAGGTTCCGTGCAGGAGTCCGGTAGCTGGCGAGAAATTTAGATATTCTAAATTTCTGTAATTCGTTAATAACCTCTCTATAAAGGGGAAAGAATAATTAAAAATTCGTTTTTCTATCTTTGATTTGGAAACTGGTTAAGACAAGGAGGTTACAAGCTCCCAGTTACATTTCCGCATTAATTTTGCGCAGAAACTTCGCGAGACTACACTGTCCGACCTAATTTTTTCCTGCAGTCGGTCAGTGAAAAATACTAGAGCAGTTTGCATTACCTATTCAGGAAACGCAATGTCTTACCATTTAACTGGACGTATCCTTTATTTTATGCCTCACCCCGTCTCAACTCTCAACCTCAAGACCTCCCCTCTACAAATGCTTTTTATTCTACTCTTTCTCCTCTAACCGGGTTTAATTGTAATCATAGATCAGACCTGCACTGGGGTTCCTGTGGCTTGACTAACAAATCGGTACCATGCACGGTTATCAATGTCCCCATCATTTTGTGCCGACTGTTGGTTATGCACTACATGACGAACTGTTCTAGTCCCTTCAACCAGGTCTCTGAATTCCGTGCACATCGCATATCTACCTTGAATAAAAGAGAGGATATCTTTCCATATTCTTTTAGTGAAGATAAGTAAGATAAAGTCTGTACTCGAGCCTACTGGCCCATCCAACCGGAGCTTATGCCAGTTTCCATAGCATGTAGCGACTAGGAGTATTACTATCCCCTACCCCCCCATTCCTCCTGGATGGAATGCTAGTTCGTCACATGGTTACCCCTCAACATTTCACCAGGCTTCCCTGAAAATTCGCCGGTACCCATTTGCATTCTGGGTGGAGAGATGCACTGTGAGAGTAAAGTGTCTTGCCCATGAACAAAACGCATTGACGTGACCAGGTATGGAACCCAGACCTCTTGACCGGGATTCCAGTGTACTGACTATCAGGAGACTTGTCCACTGTGTCTCCAACATTGTTTAAGTGGTTTTCTTGAAAAAAAAAAAAACTCGGTCAATTTGGGTAAAAACTTGTCAACTGAAATTGAAAATTCAAATAAAATTTGTCAATACGTGATATTTGGTACTCATACACACCGCATGCTTTCCGATGCTAACTTTGTTAGAAAATCCGTGAACACAAATATGTATCAGATATCAAAAACGCAACGATAAAGCCGCTAATTTAAAGAAAAGGACTGATCGCAGGACATAACTGATAAACTATATTCTGAGCGTTGAATTCATTCTTGGACTGCCTAGCAGAGTTTTCCATTAAAAGATCCACGCCTGGCTCTCGCTTATGAAACGGTCCGGTTCTTTTACTTACTGCGCAAGTTCAAAACAAATCTGTGATAATCAGCGCCATGTTTGTTGCTGGCCACACAGTCAATTGTCCACTTGGTAGTATCCCTTTGAGCAATGATTGACAGATTCAGTGTCAAGTCGGATGAGCTGTTTTGAAGGACGACACCATCTTTTACCCAGGCTGCAAACGGTTCAGGATAACCGAAAGGCTCTGGACAGACCAGAGTTATAGAAGTTTGGTAATAGGCGTCCTGCACTGAGTGTTTTACTGGCTTGTATTTCAGAATGGCTAGAATGAGGAAGATGTTGTTATCATCTTTTTTAATCCCTCTAGAAAGCCAACTATTTACGTTCGTATTCAGTTACAATCTTACTGTAAGTGCTGTAACTAAGGGCTGCGGACCGGGATTAGGAATTAACAACGAGCTGTTTGTCTACCACGACCAAATGGACACGGACGAGGCTCTTGTGATATCCATTATTGAGCCATTGATCTACAACTCTTCTTCTCCCCCCCTCCCTACCAATTCGCTCTTTCCTCTCCCCCAACATTTAGCTATAGAGAAAGAATTTTAATTAAAGTGCGTCAATTTATGAGCATGCGGAAAGCCTTTTAGATTTAACCCTTTAATTTTCAACATCTGATGATTAATTCTCCGCTATCGCTGTTAATTTTTTCCACGTAATTTATTTACGAGAATTTCGTGTTAGATCAAGATGACAACTTCTTCCTGATAAGTTTGAGTATTCTCATTGCCTCTTTGCTGAATATTGTATGGATATTAGAGGGAGAAGTTACATGAGAAGTACTTCTGAGAGTTTAATTAAGAAGTTAAACTATAAGCTACCTCTACTTTCGGAATACACCTCCACTTCGCACAAAGTCAGAACCATGCTACTTCCCACCAGTCTGATATTTACGTATCGTCCAGTTTTTCTCGGTTTGCAATAAAACGAAGCTTTGAGTAAATTAGCCATCGAGTGCAAGCCACCACACCTCGGATTGGAGTTTCCATTATTTGCCAAACTATCTCCTGAGGGATAAAAAAAACTTCTTTTAGAAGACTTCACTGATCGTTGAAGTCGAAGAAGTGCAGTTAATCAAGGTTAATGCTATACTTAAAGCTGGCCCCAAAGGAAACCGTGACGTTGTTTCCTTGAGGGAAAATAAAACTTATTATTCCATGTAGGGCCATTCATTAAGTGTTTTTATTTACCTTCAAACTCTAGAGAATCACTGAAAAAAATGGAACTTTCTTGACTCGGGGTGGCGCACAGTTTTGCCGAGGTCTTAAGGTCCCCGCCATGCTCAGGTGCGAGTCGAAAGTTTAGGTTATTGTTCCCTTGGGAGTTAGTGAGTTTTCTTTGCCTTGCGTTCTCCTCCAATAGGAAAACTTATTTGTGTTGGGAGGTGTAACAAAATAGTTTATCTAAATAACATGGCCACCATGCTCATCGTAAGATAAAGTTGATGAAATTTATTGTATATATCTTAACATAAATTTGAACCAAATCTATTTTTTTGTCTTGTATTTATTTATCGTAATATTTATCAGACTGGGGCAGTTCAGTTGCAAGCTGATTTGAATGGGGGCTTGTAAATAAGATGAAATAATGATATGAAATTAATAATATTCCAGGGAATATTTAGCTTACCGACACGAATTTCTATATTGGAAAGCCTAAATTTAGCCTCTACTCTGTTGACTATGAACACCTCTGACACGTGCTGACTTGATCCCAGATCCGCACGCCACCAGGGATCTGTTGTTTCATTTGTATGTGTACAACTGCTTGAGCTCCAGACACTGTCAGTATTTCCATCCACTGCTCGCACAGGGTAACCATCGAAGGAGACAGAGGACTGAGATGCTGACTTGCTCAAAGCAAGGTTTACTGATAAAGTAGAAACGAAAGTGACCGACTGTGCTGAGAGAAATAAAATTTCGAAGCTCACATGAACCCACTCCTAACAGCTTCGCCACAGGAAAACCAACTCAAATTTCCATTACTAATAACTTAGAAATAGTCCTCACCCGACTCGGCTCATGACTTCCGCTAAGGTTGTCGAAACCTCAGTTACTACTAGCGACAACAGTCTTTCTATGGCTACTCTCACCCGGACGATCAGACTGCAGACCCAGATGCCTACCCTGCTACCTCCCTGCCTCCTGTTTCACCTGCCTGCCCTGCTTACTTGCCAACCTCCTTCACACTCTCGCTCTCATAGTGCCTACCAATCTGATTATCTACTTCCCTACCAACCTGTATTTCTTTCTTTTACCCAACTATTTACCTCACTAATAGAGGTTCTAAAGAAGCTGTAGTGTTAACAACTGAGTTGAAAACGTAAATTGGCCACCATAAAAACTTTAAAGACTGACGTTTCGAGCGTTAGCCCTTCGTCAGGGCGATTCATTTATTTACCTCACTACTACACTTCCTATCTTTCTCGCTATTTTTGTAACCACTACATTTACATTTCTCCCTCCTTCCTATTTGCAAGGACGAAGTTCAGAGCCCACCTGTTGGATTAGGATTAACTGACACCTCACAGATGGCCAGCTTCTTGTTGTTTCCCACTATTCGGATGTTCACATACCGACCCTTGATACCTGGGGTGCAAAAGAACGACTTTTCCTGTGAAGAAGTCAAAGTGTATGGTCCTCCACACTTTTGGTTTAAGTTTCCTTCATTATCAAGATTGTCACCTGGGGAAATAATAAAATGTAGAGTGAGTAGACGGAAATAAAGGATAGAACTGACTTGATCTCTCCTTGTTTCATAACACTTTTGATAAGAAACGCGTAGGGACATAACATTTTGATATTTTGGTGACGAAATAATAAAGAATCGATAATGATATAATTCACGCCATATTCGAGTATCGGAGAGGTATGCACTGACGCTCTGATTAAGACCCCAATTACTCCGTGGATATAAATACTGTCCTCTCCATCTAATATACCGATGTGGCGACTAAATGTTACATTCTGGGCTATGACCGGTTGAGGGAACTCAAGCCACCCTCTCATCCAATCAGATTTATAACTAAAATCAACCGCAAATTAGTCATTCGCGTTCTCACCCAGTTGAAACTATAACCCTGGAATCCTATTGGCTTCTCCTTCTTTCCTTTGTTCAAACCAGCCATCAAAGAAGAACTTCTGGAAGACTGAGCGGATGTCCGGTTATCGCTCTGACGAAGGGCTAACGCTCAAAACGTTAGCTTTTAAACTCTTTAAGGTGGCCAATTTACGCTATCAACTCAGTTAATAATACCAAATTACCAGATGTTTTGTTACATGATTTGGACCACTCACCGACTCGTATTTCAAAATCTGTAGATCCATCTGCGCCGGCTATAATGTCTACTACATCGACAACGTAACTCGTCCCCAGATCTACACGCCACCAGGGGTCCGTGAGAAGAGTGGTTACTGCACACCCTGCTGATGTGCCTTCAACAGCCAATGCAGCTTCTGATTCGCAAGGAAAGATCATGTTTGCCGGTTGTCCCAATGCCAAGTCAGCTGTGGTTAAAATTTGATAAAATAGTTCGTTACCTGCAGATTCTCAATGAACCTGTGAGAATTTAAGCCGACGGGGGCTTGGCACGAGAGAGTTTATTTTCGCACCAGTCTCCTTGCTGTGAAGTGTCATTGACAGGAATTGGTCGAAACAACTTATCTCTTTGTCCTCAAAGACTTAGTTTCAGCCTTGCGAAAGTCACACAAATTTTGTACGACATAGACTATTTTGTGTGTTTTTCATCTAGGACTCTTGAGACGAGCAATGAGATATGCAATGATTCTCAAATCTTCAACACCATCATTTAAGGATGGCGAAATGTTTTTCAGATATAGTCTACCAAAAAATGTCCACAGTTGAATACCGCGCGAATTTTTGTGGATTGCAGCTTATTTGTTTATACATACCTGCTGTTACATTGGAGACTCCTAACAGCAAAATCAATATCCCAATTTGTATCATCACCTGCGTTTGAAAGTCAGAAACTATATAATCAACGTTTTAGACTTTTTAAGACGTTTAGAATTTAAAGAAAAAATTTTCTACGGAAGTTTAGTCAGCTCCTTTTTAGGAGAAAATCAACATAGTCATTGTAGAAGAGTAATAAAATATTTGATGACTGAAACTGTGAGGATGAATTTCAATTTTGTTCAGGCTCTTGACTCAAGATGTTTTGATATTCGGTAGATTGCTCAATGCTCGTATAACTACGGCGCCACTGAGTAAACTACTAGAAAAATTTCAAGCGCGAGCTTGTCCAACCAAATGCAAACAAAAAAATATCACGAAAGACCTCTTGTCTCAGGCTTAAACTGCCCCGAAAATTAATGACAGCGACACGATTTTGTTGGGTTAAAATCCAACTAGTTGTAACAAATGCTGTGATCAGAAAGAAGCAGTTGGACAGGTGTACTTACGCTTAAAGAAGTCAATATAAGATGGTCCTCAGTTGACATCGCTGTAAATTTATAAAGCAAATGGTCCTTTTAACACCGATCAGGAAGACTAGTAAAGTACGTGATACTTTTCTTTAAACAGATTAGCATTGCGAGGTTGTCTTATTCCAAGAAAAAAAAACTCGAAAATGAATACACAATTGGCAAAGCTAACGACTTTTTTGTCTTTACGTGGATCTGCCCATACGCTTCGTTCGAAGGAACATGGAATGAACTGACCCAAAAATGTGTGTACATAATAAATAATACCTAACCCTGAAGTCCCACTGAGAGGATATAATCTCCAAACTGATATAGATTCATCACAACGTAAAATTTTTAATTAAATTATAGCAAATATTTCAGGTTTATTAATTATCATGTTTTTGCTCCTAATTACGAATGTATAAAAGTTTGTTTCCTCTATTTCATACAAAAATCGACAAAAACTGTTTCTGATACTTGAATACCTCACCTTTGAATTTTGACATACTGAATTAGTTCTTTCAACAAAACCTATCTGTTCTGTTGTAATGCAAATCAAGCAGGTGCTAACTTCATTAAAACAACCCGAACCGTCGACTCTATCGAATATCATGTTTCCAAATATGTTCCACTCACCAAATCTTACAGTGATAAATTATAAAAAATGAGTAAATAGAGGCAGGAACCCATTGTGGGCTCCTGATAGTGGCTAAAAAGAAGATTTCGTGTCTTTTGCTTTTGGCAGGGGATCGTGTCTACCGATTAATGATTAATTTATCAACAAATTTCGCATGCCCTTGAATTGAAGTAAACCCATTCGAAAGGAAGAAGTAGCTATATTGCAGAAATGTTCCATGTAAATTTTTACGATTGCCTCAGTTAATTTGAAATAAAAATAATATTGAGGTCGTTGAGGTTGAGGGACCGACTTTCATAAAATGGATATATAGAGACTTTGCTTTATAAGAAGTGGTTCATAGCTACTGATCACCCCTAAAAAAGACGTTTTACGAACCTGGGAGAGTGTATGAGTCGAATTTGTCAAAATTTCTTCAAACCATATAAATTTATGAATTGAAAACTAAGAGAAATTGTACTTCACGTACTTCACTATCGTCTAGCCAGGTGCAAACGCTAATGACGTATGCGTGCACATTGCGTGCCAGAGGGAATTTCCTGACACACACTGAGGAACTCTTAAGCATCTGTCACGTTTCCCAAATTTCCCGTGTGCTTCATATTTCAATGAATGCACATCTAACATGTAAGCCAATTGTAATTTGGTCTATATTCAATGTCAGGACAAAATCGAAAGTTTCGTGTTTCTCGACTATATGACCATGGGGTCCTGTAAGCACACCATGACGGCGACGGCAACGAGGACGTGGCAAAACAAAACACAGTTAACGAGCAAAACAAAAGCTCAGCGCCTGCGTTTTAAAACTTTGCAAAACAACAACGTGAAACTTCCAGAATTTGCGTGGACTGAGAACAGAAACCCCATGGTAAATTAATTAACTTTATAAGTGCAACTCAACACCACGAATTATGTTTAAGTTGAGGTGTGGCGCTGTAAGAAGCTGGAAACAAATCCAGCCATCTGCGAAATTTTAACCCAAACTGTAAATTCATTTTTTGAACGACTTTTTCCACAGCGCTGCCGTTCTTGCTGCGTTGGGTCCCTCGTATTTCAATGATAACTTATTAGTCCGATTTTCACGCGGACATAACATTGCTGTAATTTTACAGGTTTTATGAATTTTCTATTTTGAATAAAGGGTGAATTCGCATTGGTCAATATCTTGACCAATGCGAATTCACCCTTGATAGTCTTGCCTGTTTGCTAAATACTTCAGATAAGAAAATGGTTGAATCAAACTAAAAATCATCACGAAACATGTTAGAAATGATCCCCTGCTTCTTGAACTTTGTTGTCTAATTGTTCAGGTCTGTTCAGGGAAATAAGTCTCCCTTAGCCTCGATGATTGGGAAAACACAACTGGATGCCATCATCTTCTCTTCAAACATCTCAATTATGACAACTGAAGCAGTTAATTCTTTATTTATTTTAAAAATTTTTCTTCTTGTCCCCGTTAAAACGTCTCCTCAGTTCTTCTTTACGTTCCCCTGAATGCGTGACATAATATATTGTGTGACATTCCTGTTAATTTATAATGCAGCTGCTTGTCAGAAAAGTTCACTTTGCCCCAGTCCTTTTTTTACGCTCCCCTGAATGTATGACATAAAATTGTGTGACATTCCGGTAAATTATGTAGCTGCTCGTCAGTGAGGTTCAGAGGAAAGTGTTAGGTAGCGTTCTCTACACAGGTTAGTTCACACATTTGTACAACTTGCAATAAGTTACCCATAATACATTTGTCCCAAATTCATCGTGAAATAAGCTCAACGCACAGGTCGTTAAGAGAGTTAGAGTTATGTACTTCGTCTATTGCGTTTTGAGGAATCGATCTCAAATTATGACAGCTGCATAATTCAATGCTTCTTTTTGATGCAACATGGACTCCAATCATCATTGCTGGACGGAGAGTAACTCAACACTAACATCTATCTTAAGAATGTTAAAAAAAATAGTTATTTCATCATCAGAGGTATTGTATACAAAGTTTCCCAACTCAAAAACTACCATTCCAATCTCCAACTCAACGAAAATCTGAATTCTATAGCATAAGAGTTATCAATTTGGAGTAAGCAAAATGTATTTGTTATTTAAGGAATCGAAGAAACAAGCCTTGTATTCCCTTTTAATTGAACCAACAAAACAATCTTTCGTCAAAATCCGCGGGATAGCGCTGTCAAGACATGCTTTACGTAATTTCTTTTAAAACCTTTTAATGAGTATCTAATTGCTCGGGTTCAATTGTAAATCATTTCGTTAAGTGCAAATGGCATTAGTGAATTTCAAACGAACAAAAGATAAGCATAAGGACAGAAATCTCAATTGTGTTTAGTTCTCACAGCAATATAATCGAACTGGTCTTAGTCTGCCAACATAACCATTCGTACCAACCCAGATTTCATGCTGGGAAACAGTTTATCTTTCATCGAGAAGTGAAAACCTCAGTCGGAAGTCGTCGTGAATATATGTATTAGTTATCGCTGTAATTATGACAAATTTTCAACATTGTTCAGAACTAGAAATGGCTTTTTAGATCAGGAATAATCAATGGAACCTCAATGATGAGTTTTTTTACTGAGATGCTGAGGGATGAATGAATATGTCGTTTACATTTTCTTTAACCCTTGACACACTAACATCAGTATGCATATTCTCCACACTGTTCTCCATTCATTTCCTAAGCTACTGACAAGGAGAATTTGTTTAACAATCATGAGCTCTGTCAGTGGTGATAATTTCCTTTATTCTTCTGACCTTAATATGTGATTCAGGGCTGATACTGTAAGAAGAAATTAGATGCCAGTCACTCTTAGGGGTCAAAAGGGAGGAAGAATTTTGGAGTGGGCACATTACTAACTTTGATTTTTTTTTTACTTTGTTCTTATTTTTGTAGCGCACGGAAGCAGATGACATTGTGAACTTGCTAGAGACGTTCATTGTTGGTATTCGGAGAAATGGAAAGCGACTTTAGAGGGGCAATCTGCACAACGGGGCTGATTTTTCTCGTTTTGTTTTGCTCTGTTGCATCTGTCGCTAATGGTTTACTCCTTGTTGTTCTGTACAAAGATCCTTCAAGATGCTTCAGGAAGCCTATAGTGGTGTACATAGCCGCTCTAGCGCTGATGGACTTTTTGAGTGGAAGTGTGACAGGAATTGGTGTTATCTACAATTATATTTTGTGCGCACTTGGAAAAGAGAATTCTTCCTCACTGGAAGGTACAATGTTCGCAGCAGTTTTCGCTGGGTTCACAATTTGTACAGCAAATATGTTAGCGTTGTTGCTGTCTTGTGAGAGGCTCTTTGCTGTAGCTTTTCCAATCGACTATCGGCAAAAGTCCACGGTACGGAGAGGTGTCATTGCTGTGGCAGCCGTGGTGGTTTACTCTCTTACCTTCAGTTTATCAAATTTAGCGGGGTCTAATTGGAGGAGTGCACCTTTACGCTTTCACTTGACTGTTACTGCACCCTTCTTGGCATTGATCGCTGTAAATATAGCGCTTGTTATGGTAATAAGACTGCACAACAGGAAAACAGAATGTCTGTTGGAAGGTTCTGTAAGGCCATCAAATTACTCTGGTGTTGAATCAAAACGTAGACAGAGAGAGAAGACTTTGGCAGTCACCACACAACTGATAGTGTTTTGTTTTGTAACATCTCTACTTCCTTACCTCATCTTTAAACTAATGGATCTCTATTTGCCCGAATACAGAGAGCAGGATTGGTTTTTCGCCGGTGTAAGATTTTTCCTCCCGTTCGTCTATCTAAACCCCGCAGCCAACCCTCTGATATTCAACTTCAGACTTGCGCACTTCCGGCGGGCGTTCAGACTCGTTTTCATGTCACGCTTTGAGCCACGTGATAGGCACCTTCAGCTGAAGGTCATACAGTTCAGTTCCTCTGAAAGGTCACGTGACATCCAATGATGAATGATATGCTATCTTTCTCGGAGTATCATCATACATAAATGAACATCAACAATAAAATTGACAAAAATGATAAATTCCATTAAGTGTTTCATACATGTTAGAAATTTTATCGATGTGTTACAAAGAACATTTATGTTCACCTGACGTACAGAAATATTTTTATGTATTTTGAGGGCCGGTCGTATTTATCACCTGTTGGGGGTCAGAGGATTTTGGTTGCGTCACAATAAAATTTTGCCTGATTCCCCCCCTCTAAGGCTCTGAAGTATTTTTCTGATCCCCCTCATTGCCAGTGAATTTTCTAGTTCCCCCTTTATACTCTGTTAGCGACGACTGCTCCCCACTCCGTTCTCCTTGAAAACCATGTGATCCCCACAATCCTCTACCTCCCTTCCCAAGGCGAAAAATAATTACTGATCCCTGATGGTAGTTTCTTGTCCTCTCATATATCACAGTCTGCTTGTAGCAGTTCTTAGACTTCTCATTGGCTTATCACCCGATAGGTCGATAACATGACAAGAGTGACAAATGAAAATGGGCAGATTATAAAATTACAGTTCAAACTCTTAGATTATAATGTAATTCACTTCTTGTCTTAAAATGTTTAATCTCGATACAGTGGTTAGTGAGACATGACAGGTTATGATGTTGTTGAGAATTATTCTTATCTTTTGTGTCCTTCGTGTTTATCTTATCACCTAAAACCTTGGCACAGGAATACCACGGCATGGAATTAACAGGACACTCGACGATTTTCGGTCACATCAAGTCTCACCTAGCAACACATGAGGAAAATAAGTCACATGTAAAGCTTAAACAGGAGAAAATCAGTGAGCAGATAGAGACAAACCTCTTGGCCTTAAAGTATTCGTATTTTGTTAAGCGCAGTGCTTTAACTTAAGTGCCACCAACAAACAGAGGCTTCGCCAGTGTTTTTTTTGTTTTTTTTTTTAATAATTCCCTTAAGTTTTATGCTAAGCTTGTCATCGAACGCACGATCAGTTTCAGAGTAGTTACGTACCATCAGAGTTGATTCAATGATCAGGTTTTCGAAGTTTTCTCTTTCCTTTCCTCGTACACAGCAACACCAAGCGACTCCAACCACTACCACTAACAGGACTCCAAACACAGGAATGAGTATCTTAGCCAGGAGAGGCAATGGTTCACCTTAAAATGTTTAAACGATTCGTAAAAGACACAGGTGAACCAACTGAGATCTCACTCTGACACAAAACATATCCTTGTATATTGTATTTTTACCTGCTGTTGATGGTTCTCCTGGAGTAAACATAGCGACAATCCCAGGTATTTGCACTATAGAGATGAAATGTGTATAAGCTTTTATTGAAAAAAGAAGAAAATTATAAACAAACTTTACATGTTTTGGGGATTCATTTCTGTTTCAGAGGAAACACAGTTTCTAAAACATCTTAGGAAGTTTTCGATCAACAGACAAAACAGACGTGAAGGCTGAGGTCAGAATTAGGATTAGGAAGACAATGAGAAGTGAAAGAAAACAGACAAAATGAGATAGAAAGAGCAGAAAGTGAAACAATGGTAGGAAGTGTCGGTGCATCAGGGAGATTGTTTAATAAATGAAAACTGATAGAATTATTCAAATCTTTCAAAAATTGAGGGAGAGTTATTTTACCTGTACCTATCGATTCGCCAGTAGTCTGAACACCTCTGGCTCTTGACGGTAAGCTTGCCGTCTGTAGTGATGCTGAGGAACCTGTGGAGAGATCTAGAACACCGGATGTTGGACTCGATCGTTGCACAAATGCGGAGAAATTCGCATCCGTTTGAAAGCCAGCATGATTTGATGATTTTGTTACTTTCTGCGAAGATGCAGTTTCCCGATCAACATTGACAGGTGATAATAGTGTTAATACTACTCCTGATGGACTTTGACCATTAATTTTTTGAAGGGAGCCTGAAGCTTGGAAACCCGTGGCGCTAGGTGATGGTCGTAGAAAGTAGCTTGTGGCTGGGTGATCTGTGGCACCTGACGATGAATTTTCTCCAAGTGCGAACTCAACGGAACGAGTAACTTGGTAACCTGTGGCGCGAGAGGATGTCTGTAATCTTTCAGTTAGCGTCGCTGGATTTTCAAAGGAAAAAGAGTAGAGATAAAAACAACTAAAGACGACTGTTCATAACAGTGGTTTATTACTCGCATGATTTTCGCGGAACTCAGAGAAACAGATTCATGATTCCATATATCCTTCTTTCCATAAACTCTAATAGCTCACCTTCAAAAGATCTTTATAAAAACAGGTCAAACATCTAATATCACCAAACATCTCAGATAGTATACATCTAGTGTGACCAGCTTATTCACTCAGGAATTGAAATGAAACTTTTTTTTTTTTTCTAGTTTGCTTAAGTTGAAATTTCTCACCTTCAAATACAAGAGAAATACTCTGTATCAACATCAGAGGCCTCATGTGCATGCTGGCTAATTTCTGTTGACCCTGTGAGACTGGACAAATGTAAATAAAGAAAAGTAGCAGGTTGAACATATTGGCATCTACTCAGCTCTCGAGTTAATTCTGACTCTCCAAGTGAATACTGACTTAAACAGCTGTTTCAAGAAACGTTGTCGGAAAAAAGGGGAGCAAAAATTTCAGGTTACGGTTCCTCATCCCAGGATTCCAGGAAAATCTGAGAAAACGTGTACGATTTAAGATTTTCTAGACACTAGTGTCAAATTTGGGCACTGATGTCTGAATTTAGATTCTGGACACAAATGTCCGAATGAAGAGTTTGGACGCTAGTGTCCAATCTTAGATTTTAGATACTGGTGTCCGATCTCGGATCATGGACACTAATGTCCGATTTTAAAGTTTGGACACAAATGTGAACGATTTTGGATTTTAGACATTAGAGTCTGATTGAAGAGGACACTAATGTCCACTTTTGTATTTTTGTATCGTGTCCGATATTGGATTTTGGTCGCCAGGGTCCGATTTTAGATTTTGTACACTAGTGTCTGGTTTTTGTTTTTCGACACTAGTATCCGATTTTGGATTTTGAACACTAAACAGACGATTTTGTATCTTAGACATCTGTGTCGGATTTTGGATTTTGGACACTAGCGTCCGATTTTGGTTTTGGACGCTAATGACCCACTTTCGATAAATTTCCGTTGTTCATTCGTTGATTACCGGATACCCAAATTACCTTTCGAGACTGCTACGTGCACTTTTTTTCTTTTTGTTCGTCAACCTTTCTCGAGAAATTTCTGAATTAAGGGCTTACAAATAATTTCTTTAGATATTCGATCCTCTTCCTTCCTCTCTGATCTGCTGTTGCTTTATTTCCGCTTCCATCCGTTTTCACTAAATCTTGAATATTTTGCATATTTTTTACTGACTCAAGAAAAAATTATGGTGACCGCATAGTGTTCCAACAACCCAAAATTTCCCAAAAACATTGCACATCCAAACACATTTTCTTAGTTGTTGGTATTACACTCAGCACACGATGTTCAATTATTTCAACTGTCGCATTCATTAAATCACGGTTGAGATCGCATAATTATTAAAGCTTATATAACACCAATATTAATTTCAGTTACAATTTCGTTTCTACTTCTTAGCGGTAAAATCTACTCAGAAAAAGCCCTGACAATAACATTCTCTAATGCGGTTTGATCAAGAAGTTAACTTTAGCCTTTTTTCCGTTCCGTATCAAGGAATAATTTGTAAACGACGTCGACGCATCAAGATTTTATATTTGATGAGTTTTTGTTTTGTTCCTAATTGTGAATGTCCTTCGACGAAAACAATCATCAATTGTACAGAAAAAGGGTTTAAAGAAATGGTTAAATTGAATTGAAAAATTATCTTCAATAAGGATCTTTTGTTCTTTGTGGTTTTGTGCCAAAGAAAAGGAATAAAAAAAATGAATCTTCGCCACAGTTTCGTATGACATGGGCAAATAAATATGACAACCTACCCAAAGACCACAACAGTGAGCTCTGAAAATGGTATGAAAATGGCAGTCGTCTGAAAATTACTTGATCCAATTTAGCCTTCAAAACCTAACGTTTCCGTTGAAGAAGATGAAACAATGAATAAAAAGTAATTAAAATTATGAAAATCTGACTTTTTGCTTTTAGTTATGTTCAAAGTATTATGCATTTTTTCATGCCCCGCGGTAATAAGTCAAATATAGAGGCAGAGAAACGGAAAAATCATTTTGTTATTTTTTTCTCAGTTCGTGAGCGGGCGGTATTCTACAAATCCTGCAATATGATTGGTTCCGAGAGCGTGCAGTATTCTCCCCATCCGGCCCGCTCACAGCGGGTCACGTTCTTTTCGCAACTATTTGTTAGATTTTAGAAAAAAATAAAAATGTTATTCATCAGCCAAGGTCTGGCCTCGGGTGGTATCCAAGACCTCGGGCACAGTTTTTCCCAATACGGACCGACCTCACGACTTCATATAATATTACTCTTTAGCACGCGTGGTTAGTGAATGATCAGTACTATTTCATAATTATCAATAGAATGGTTATCATCATTTATTGTCGTGATAGTTAATGACATATTAAAATCTTTGTGTCGAGCCAGAAGAACAAAACACTTTTGTTTGTTTGTTTGTTTTAATTCACGATCTTCTTATCTCAAACTATCAGCTTTTATTTCTTTAAAAAGCAAATTGTTGTCTCTTCCTTTTGATCTCTCAAATTGTTTCACCGTTTAATCCCCAAGACTGACTGGCTTCTAAATCCCCATTACAGTATTGCCCCTGAAACAAATATAAAGATCACAAGAATAACAGAAATAATAACCAATTTAAAAGGCTCCTGATGGTCAAACAAATTCTCCTTGTCATTGCCATAGAAAATGTGGAGAGAACAGTGTGGAGAATATGAATATTGATGCTTTTGTGTAAAGGTTTAAGAGTTTCGTCCTACGATAACTTCAAAATGCTCTCACAGAGATACTTCAACAGCTTAATTTAAGCCGTTAAGAATATTCAAATTTAAGACCGGGGGAATTTAAAGATTTAAACGATCAGAAGTGGATTTAATTTTTAGGAAGGTATTACCCAGCCATTATTGATAGGAAGGGATAAGATTTTCTCCGGCTGATTATAAAGAACAATGAACCTTTAACGTGCGTGCCTATAGTGATCTTTAAGATGGCCTCTGGTAACATAACACGTGCTATATATCATGCTTTAGGCGTCCTTACTTGACAAACATGTTCAACCTGTTCCATAGGTGTTTCTTTTTTGCTTTTTTGAGATTTTTCAGAATAATTTTAAATTTTCAATCATTTTTACCAGCTTTTCAATTGGTTATCGAAAAAGCTCCCCAAAATTGTTCAATAAGTCTGATTACTAGTAAAGTTTCGAGGAACACTGGAAACGTTCAATGTGCTAGGCACCAGACCCTTTCACACTCAGTAACCAGGACGCCAAATTATTGAACAATGAACATTTCCTATGTTTTCAAAGCGGACGGAATCTTCAAACAGCGCACCAGAGCTTTTTTTAATAGATTCGTTCCAAAGGAAGCTATTGACTGACTGAACAATATAGCTGCGTAAGAAATTGTCAATCAACTTCAAAATTTAGCCCAATTGCTGGACACAACACAAAGTTCTAGAAAGTTTCAAGACACGAGGGTGACTCCGAACTAAGGTATGGTATACTAAGTCAGGTTTATTACAGCTTAGTAAGTTGAAGTTTATACCCTTGGGAAATAAGAAAAAAAGTAAAGGCTTTTGGGGTATTGACAATCTGAATACATCGCTCATTGTCGTTCTTGTCGAACGAATATTCAAATATTTTTAAGAAACCTGGCAGGTAATGACGATTCTATAATTGGACAGATTTGGGAATAAACGCTGGTGGCTGAACGGAAAAAGATTTGTAGGTAGTGCAATCTACAAGACGACTAAAAATCCAAAACGTTTGTGATGAAGAGGCTTCGGTTTACTCCTGAGGGATGCAATAATCTTGTCTAAACGCTGTATGCTTATTCAAACACACAAATTAAACATTTAGATTTTGCGTGACAAAAGTTGTGCAGCCATGAAACGAAAATTACGGCAACTGAAGAATGATTACTTGATAAAGTACGAAAAAAGTGAAGTTTTTACCACATACGTTTTTATGATGAATATTTTGTAACACTATATGATGGAAATGTTACGTGATTGCAACAATTCGTAGCGTGGGAAAGTAATCAAATGGCGTTAGTTGAAATAACACAACATAATTACCAGGCTTCATCATAATATTTGCATCTACAGCACGGTATCCGGTAGTCCGATAAAGAAAGCTTATGAAAAGTTACTTCTCTTTAATTTTATCGCGATTCAATTAATTTTCCCTGTTTGTTCCAATTAAAGCCGATCTTTTTTAGGTGGCTGTATCGTTTTCTTAAGTACAAAATACTTTGAATCAGATTTTTTCTGATCGCCAAAGAATACCTTGTTTTCTGGAGATGGAAACTTTTACTAAAGAATTTATGGAATCTGTCCTAGTTTGAGTGGCGTGACAGGGAAACTGTACGTCAACTGACTTGCGAAACACAAATAAACTGACTGAAAATTAAATTTCTAAAGCTTGTGCAACAGTTCAGTTATATTATCTGTTCTCTCTATTTCGTTTACCAGCAATGATTGAAGCAAAATTTATGCGAACAAGATCAGATAGGTTGTAAAAATGACCTGATGAAGTGTGGTTGACTTTTAGGATACATATTTCTTGTGAAACGTCATTTATGTTTATTTTTACAGAAACCATCGTGTACATTATACTTGTCTATCAATCGTCTCAATTAACAGACAAAGTCAATAGTCCAGGTTAGAATCCATTCTACAGTCAGATAGCTTTTTTTGAAATGACAGTCTGATTTGAGAACCTGGCAGAGGGCATGTGCAGAAAGACATCTTTCTTTATTTTCAACCTCACCTTGATAGAAAAGAGTTTTGTCTTCGTAGGAAAACGCAACAGCGAGGGTAAATTTGAGTGGGTACAAAATCCTAATTATCTTATCCTAATTAACTTCGCAGGACCGGCCCAGATTTTTTTCATCGTCTCAAGTTCGTGTCAGTCTTGTCACTTGGTCAGTATTTTCTCTTTTTTCAGCTTCTGGTTTGCTCATGTTGCAATCAACGTAGGATCAATCTTTTCTCTTCTTTTATCATATTTCTTTTACTTAACATGCCAGTTATCTATAAGTTATCTTCATTCAGTTTCATCTTATCAAACAGACTGCAGATAACTTTTGAGAGGTTGGATTACTAAATATGTTGCTAAATATGGTACCAAATTACCAACTAACTGAGAATTATTAAAAGGTGGTGATTGAAGTCTTGAAAAATGATTGTGATCAATAGCCCTTTCGCCTCTTTGTAGATTAAAGGGCCATCAGCACTCAGTAGTTATAATGAGGAATGTTGAGGAATGTAACGTAACTGATTTTTTTTTTTAATTTTTTTCACTTTTGCCTTATAGTAAAATGGAAGTTGTACGATTTAATCATTTTCAGACAACACAGCTAAAGGTATCCCACAGGCCACCCACAGGCCACCCACAGGTCACCCACAGGTCACCCACAGGTCACCCAAGCTCAATATGCAAATACATAAATACTTGTCTTAGAATCACGTTTGCGTTTGGAACTAAAAATTGAAAGAGGAACTCAAAACAGTATGAATTAGTTATCGCACTGAATCAACTCAAAACCGTGCCGGCGATCATGAAAAACACTGTGAAACGAGGTGAGGGTTTCTGAGGTGCCTGTGGAGTAACTCGCGCACGCGAGCAAGAAGATCACGCGCGCGAGTCAGCTGTGACTGATCGACATCGGCGGCATAGTGAACATATGTTCGTATTACTTGTCTTGCATGCCGAGGGTTAAAAGTTCATATCATATCAAACTCTACAAGCTGTGATTTTTTTTTCAGGGGGAAGCTGTTTTGCAATTTCTTTCCATTCGTTCACATTTCCGTGGATATTTGACGATCGTTGGGTGAGTAAAATGTATTTGGTTTCTGTGCGTTCAGCTTCTGTTTAGCCTCGGACAAAAGCCTCATTCGCTCTTTGCTGTCCATGGATGTGGCCATGTAATTGCAAATCTTTCCCCTTGCTGTTGCAAACTTACTAGCAAACCCGAAAATGGTGTGCAATGGGTCGTGTCTTCCAATAGTTCTTACGCTAGTCAACTATTTAAGTCTGACTGTTTCAAAATCAAATCATTTAAAAGTCTTCACAAGGTTGATACTAAACGGCGTGAATAATAACAAACTTTATTACAAACACGCCCCTTCACTTTTGTTGTCGTCAGATATCGCGTGATGAGGATGAAATCTTCAAAATACCCTAAGTTTTTCTTTACACATCGCAACACCCAGATTTTTCATCGCTTTTCTGTTTATTGAGAGCTACTTTTGCCCTCACTGAAAATAACGGTATGCTGTTTCGTGCGTTTGAGTTTTGTTTAGTTAAACCATCGAGTTATCGGCGATCAAGAATCGAAGTGCCCATAGAAATGCTGATAATACTTTGTTTGGAAAGTAAATATAATTTCCTGTTTACTTTTCCACAAATAAAATGTGATAGTAACTTCTGACTGAAAAGACAAGTTCCCATTAATAAGTGTAGGAATTTAATGATATGTCTATAAATATTTGCACCTTTTGAGGTATCTCATGGCATTTCCCCATAGTGGCGCACTTGCCAGCTTGTTTTAATAGTTCAACATTCTGGCAATGAGTATCGAGTTTAAGGCTTAACACAAGGTCTTAATTAATGCCTAACAGGATTGTGTCACGAGAAACATTTGTCCTTTTCACTCGTGACAAAAAATGTCGCAAAGTGACTTCAAATCAAAGGAAAATGTGATTTTAACTCAACGTGGAATGTCGTGGATTTTTTAGAATTCAGAGAGGATAAAAAAATGCCTGACCGAGCGCCCGTGGCCACCCACAACGAAACTGGTAAAATGATGTTGTGTCATGTCTTTCGGCCATGTAAACTAATCATGTGGAGCTCATGGATCATTTTCTTCTTAGTCAATTTGGAGACGCAAGGTAATGTTCTTTGGTTAAGCCTTTAATCCCTAAGAGTGACCAGCATCTAATTTAAGAAGTTTTGATTGCGAAACAAATTCTCCCTGTCAAAAACTTAAGAAATGTAGAGAGAACAGTAGGGAGATTATTCTTACTCATGTTAGGGTGTAAAGGGTTTTTTAGTGGCAAAGCGCCCAGTACGTGCCATGCAGTTGTAGGTGGTTCTGTATAATCTCCTTTTTCAGGCATGTCACTTCTGCAACTGATCTTTCCGTTTCTGATTTCAAAATCTGTAAGCATGTGTCATCTGCTCGTGATTAGCTCCTTAAGCTGGATTTGAAATGACCTTGACTTAGCTTTGTTAAAACAATTTAAGCAAGTAAGAATTAATTACACATTTAAGTAACCTATGTAGTGACTTATTTATTTTTATTTCATATTCTATTTTTGTTCTTTTTTCTTGTGTTTCAATTCAGCGTTCAGCATAACTGTGAACTTAACTAATGGCCCAGGATCATATGCTGGCCGAGTAGAAGTAAAATACAATGGAAGTTGGGGTCAAGTCTGTGATTATGGTATAAACATGAATTTTGGTCACGTGATATGCAGACAGCTTGGTTACCCACAAGCCATAGCCACCCCATGTTATAACGCTTTTGGCAAAGGAAATACTCACTATTGGATGACTAATGTCAGATGTAAAGGAAATGAAAGCAGCTTGGCTGAATGTGATTACACTTGGGGAAAAGCTGGTTGTTCTATGGGACTTAAAGGCACTGTGGGAGTGGTCTGTGAAAGGCCCAACATGACAGTCAGTAAGTTTGTTTGGGATATGCATATTTTTATTACATTTAAAGCCAAGTTGTGATGTCTCCTTCATGGTTGTTCTTTGGGATGTCACACAATGCACCCCTGTTGCATGACATTCCAGAGAATGGGCAGCATAGGAGACCAAGTCTCTGAGGAAGATGTGTGAATTTTTAAGATGTCTGTCATGCAAATGTATACTGGTTGAGAAGGGAGAATTTCTGATAAGATCTTTGTAGACATGATGTGTAGTATGCTGTTATAATCATTGTGCAAATTTTATATTCCTTTAAGAGCATTTTTTAACCCTATAGCTCCCAAGATCTCATTAGTAATTCCCCTTACCATCTTCTCAACAGTTTTAGTGATGTTTGTTTGGAGAATTTGGTATTGGATCAAACTGTAGTCCCCTAATTGATATTTTCTTAATTCTCATCACTTGTCTACTTGAAATTGTATGGATATTGTAGGGAGAAATTCTTTCTTGATCACTCATGGGAGTTAAAGGGTTAAAGCAGGTGTCAACATGGATGCAATGACTTATTTTGTTGTCTGTTTTAAGCTTATCCTCCACCCCTTCGCCTTGCCCATACCACAGTACCCTATGCTGGGTGTGTTCAAGTGAAATATGCAGGGATCTGGGGCCAGATTGGGATGTTTGGCTGGGATCTAGAAGATGGCCGCGTTGCCTGCAGACAACTTGGGTACAGGGATGTATTGACAGTTCTGTATAAATGGAATCGCACATCACAGATGTTAACATGGATGGACATTGTAAAGTGCACTGGCAATGAACAATCTTTGTCAAACTGTAGCTATGAACTTGTCACATACAGAAGTGCAGAGTGGACTAGTGCAGGAGTGGTTTGCAAAAATAATAGTAAAACAGGTTAATTATGTGTCTAATAATGGCAATTATCTCTTAATGTTTCTGTCTGAATTGCTGAGCCAACCATCATCCCAGAAAAAGCATGTCTGTCACAGTGCTCTCTGCTGGCAAGATTCTGTGAAAATTGTACACTCAGAGGAACTCTTTGCAATTGTATTTTTTTTAACCCTTGAAAGACAAGCAAACCACTTTGTGGTTTGCTAATGATAAAAAAATATTTAAATAAATAATCTCACTGGGTAGTCTACTAATGAACATATGTAGCTAGAGGTAACTATGTCTCCCATTCTGTACTGTTTATTTCAGGTCTTCAAATTCATCTTCGAAAATGGTCAGTTTCTTATGCTGGACGCATCGAAGTATTTTTGGCAGGAAAATGGGGTGCGATTAACAGCTACAATTGGCAGCTAGCAGATGCTCATGTGGCATGCAGACAGCTGGGTTTCTCTGGAGCTGATCTGGCCATCCATGGGGCTGCATATGTTTTTGCCCCAAAGTTTTCTGGGAACTCAATGGACATTCAATGGCTAGACAATGTTGAGTGTCGTGGAAGTGAATCTTCATTGGATGAATGCCCGCATGAAGTGTCCTTTGTTCGTGTGGGAGTGCTTGAGGCTGGTGTAGTATGTAAAACCAAAAGTGCAGGTAAAAGTTTAATGATCAACTGTGCACCTACCCCTCCCCTAACCTAGCTTTAACCCTAACATGTTATCAGTTGATTGTTGTTGGGTAAGGGGAAGGGTAAGTGTGCAGTTGCTCAGATACTGATGTTGATCCAAGTTTATCCTGAAATTTTTAATTGTTTGTGTACTCACATAAGTATGAATACAACAATTTCAAGCTATGTTAAATAGAAAAAGAGCTGATGAATAGAAAATTAAAAATGTACTTGGGAAAAAGATACATTTGTTATGGCTGATGATCCAACCTTTCACATAGTTAACGAGTTTCTTTATGTTCCATTAGTTAGTAAAATCAGGCTTGCTGGAAGCAGCATGACTTACGCTGGCCGTATTGAGGTTAACATCGCGGGTGTCTGGGGTACAATCCGAAATAGAGGCTGGAATATTACGTCTGCACATGTGGCGTGCAAAGAGCTCGGTTACCCAGGAGCTGAAACCGCCATCTTGTTTGCTACTGAAACCTTTGGACAAGGGGAAGGACCTGTCTGGATGTCAAACCTTAATTGTCAGGGACACGAAAGCACATTATGGGAATGTTCCTGGTCCAGGATAGCTGGCATCTATTGGGACCATTATAATGATGCTGGTGTAATTTGTCGTGTAGAGGACCCCAGTGAGTACAAGCTTGGTTTACATTTTGCCTTACTTGCCCTAGGAAGCCAGTCTTTCATGAGTCTTCTTCCGAGGGGTACCCTGGGGGTAGCCGTGAAATGGTTCTTTATCTTATTTTGTCACAGGCCCCTTCTTAACATTGTGCTAAAGACATCCTTGACCACACCCGTCCAATTTGCGGTTAGCTTTCCTCCTCCTCTCATTTGTTCCACCTTTTGATTTAGTTATTAGTAAACTACCGTTCAAAAAATTATTGAATTCAACAAATGTCGATATATTTTTGTTTGTTGCTGTTCTCTGGCTCTCATTTGCCTTTTTTTGAACTGGATGTTCCATGCATAGACCTTTTTTAGCTTGTATTTTTGTTTACCCCATTTCAGGTCGGAAGGAAATTCCCAGCTTTACATTTTGCAAATTATGCGTACATTTGCATGTGAAAAAGAGGAAATTTGCAAGAAACAGTTCTCTAGATAATTATTGCAAGACCTGAAAAGTGTGAAAAAAAAAACATATAAGCTTAAGAGGTCTATTTTTGTTTTGTCCTTTATGCTGACTTACAATACACTTTACTTTGAACCATACAGGTAGCTACGCAAGCAAACCAGGTGAGATGTTCAGCTGTTTAACACTAATTAATAACGGGACCTTTGAGTAGGCGCCATTTTCTTGTCGGTCTTAGCTAAAGGAAAACAAAGACTTCAACATTGAAACAGTGACCGCGTACAGATTCCGTAATGAGGTTGATTAATTATATTTATTTATATATTAGCGCTTTTCCTGATCTGCATTTATCCATTTCCAACTCTAAAGACTCAAACGCTTCAAGGGCCCTAGAAATTGGTCTTCCTGTGACAGCAGCTGTTCTACTCCTTCTCGGGTTTGCAGCTGTTTTCTACTTCCGGTATTACCGTAGATGGCGAGGGGACCGGAACGAGCATTCAAGAGACTTCGTGACTATGAACGATGTTGTAAGTGTACTCTCTAAATTGTCTTACACGATTATGTTAAAATGATTCAAACGTTGGCAAATCTTTAAGATCTTCGACAATCCTGAGAGGATTTATCTTCAGTAGCATTCCTCAGTTGTTGGAACACATCGCTCCAGTAACCCCACATTTGTTTTGCATTTTAACTTGGTGAAAAAGCTTGAATCACCCTAAAACATTTTCGCATCAGCCACATATTGCTGAGAATTTTTCTCAAATATATAGGAACACGAATTTGTATCTCAAACCATATTGACTCACTGTTTGATTAGTGAAATAGATTTCTTAGTCCTCAGAAACTGGCCAATCAAATCCAGCATTTGAAAGAACTGACTCTTCTTACCAAGTTAAATTAGACTCCGACAACAACGACACCTCAGCGGACTGGTGCGAGATTTCAAGAAATAGACTTACTATTGGAGAGAAGATTGGGTCTGAGTCTGACGGAGGAACGTTTCGTGGGAAACTTTCTCATGAGAATGGAAACATAGCAAGTTGTATCGTGAAAACAGCTACGGGTACTGAATAACTGACCCTTTTTGTAAATTTTTTTTATTTTCTAATGGATAATCCTAAGCACCTCTTCTAAGCGCGACCGGACAATTGTCCAGAAAGGCCAACTTCTAATGAATCTTATTATTTTGACTTTTTGAATGAGAGATCCAGTTACACAGGGTGTTTCGTTACACAGGGTGTTTCGTTACACAGGGTGTTTCGTTACACAGGGTGTTTCGTTACACAGGGTGTTTCGTTACACAGGGTGTTTCGTTACACAGGGTGTTTCGTTACATAGGGTGTTTCGTTAAACGGAGTTCTTTGGTTTAGACGCTCTCCCTTTAAGACATTCGGGAAGGAGATAATTTTAAGTCCAAAGTGCAATTATTGCCATACCCGTCCAACCATGGTCGTTCAACGCATTACAAAATCAGCCAATTACGACATTCATCTTGTGTTTATTTTTGTAATGGATAAAATGTTCCTGCATCAAACAAGTTCCCAACAGTGAATCGTTCATATTTTTTTCCAGATTCGAAAGGATTTGGATCATCAGCTAACGAGAATGATCTGTTAACTGAACTTAAAATCTTGAGCTGCCTGGGAAGCCATCCCAACATACTCAACCTCTTTGGAGCTTGCACTTTAAAAGGTGAGTAAGTTTGGTGACTAATATTTCATTATCGTGCGGAAAGGCTCCTATTATTGTTCCCATTTTTTATAGGTATTGGGCTTCGCTGTGCGTGCTACGAGCTCCGCTATGAAATATGTTCTTTATCCATTATGAGAACTATTCCCATTAGAGCTGTCAAAGCTCCACAACCCTCCCCATTCCCTGAGTCCCCAATCCAAGCATTGTTGAAAGTAACTGCAGTGTTATCAATGTTTCCGGGATTCTTACGAACTTTACAGTGGGGTAGGGGCCTACTGTTAACTAAAAGGTTTTAAGATGTTTTATTTGCAACCGTTTTTCTTAAGCGTTCTAAGAGTTTTGTGGGGGATTCTAGTTTGTCTGTTCACTTCCTAGAATTAATAAGTGAACGAAATATTGCAAATTGCTTAACTTTCAAGATATTTCTTTCACTAACGATGCAAAAGCAAGCATAAGAGTACATACAAATTTTTAAGTTCGCAAGCACAAGGCTGAAAATATTTTCGCGTCTTTGCTTGTGCTGGCATTTCTTTTTGTTTCGTATGGAGTCTCATATTGGGGCTTGTTTTGGCGTAGTTCAACCAACTGCGCACTGATCAGCTGGAGTCCCTGGAGAAAGCGTTTCCTTAACATTTTAAAAAGGCGTGGGTTGAATTTACCTAATTTTACCAGGGGTTTGTACAGCCAACTGATTTCTGATGTCGCTCTTCAGGTCCTACGTATCTCGTCTTTGAGGAAACGGAACATGGCAGTCTGTTGGAATATCTTAAGAAAAACCGGATGGGTGATGAAATGAATTCTACACGAAACTTTTGTACGTTATCCAAAGTGGAAAAATTAAGAATAGCTCTTGATGTGTCCAAAGGAATGAGGCATATAGCAGAGAGAAATGTGAGTGGAGAAATTGTTTAGGTCTCATGTTCATCTTGTTCATCATTGATGAATTTTCACCAACCTCACTTGCCTTCCAATTCTGTTCAGTGATAAAGCTCATGCACGCAACTTTCCGATTATGTTGATACTTTCGATCAAGAAATTCCAACCGTGTCGAAAGTTTTTCGGGATTTCTCAGATATTACGCTACTTCGCTCTGTGATTGGTCCAGAAAACTGGTGCCACTTTTTTTAACCATTTACATTCAAAACTCAAATTCCACGCGAGTATGTCGCTCGTGTTTTTCTCGCGCTTCAAACAATTGACATGTTTTTACTTTGAGCTCTCATTGGTCTTCTTGCGACAAATTTCTGTTTCCTCATTGGCTGTTGTAATTTATTTGGGTTTGGTTTTACGACTCTCAATCGAAATCAAGGAAATAAATTTCTCTTTTTTTCTCTTCTTATATTTTTATGTGCAGTACATTCATAAAGGTCTCGCGGCCCGAAACGTTCGTCTTGGTAAAAATTGCATCGCCAAAGTCGCTAATATAGGCTTCTTTAGTGCTGGATGCGATAAGACATTCTATGAAGACATTGCAAAGGTAGGTTGGAATCTTATGTACCTTTGAGGGCTTTTAAATCTCTAAATAGTACTTTTTATCGATGAATATGTGCATCACTTCGTTACTTTTTCAAAAGGGAAACTTATCAGAAGCAAGATGGATGGCCCCAGAAAGCTTAGAAACAAAGGATTTCACGTCTGAGAGCGATGTGTGAGTACAGACGAAACAGCGTTGTAATATTCACAAACTCACTCCCAGGTTCTCTCGTCTTTTCATACTCTCACCTTAGGGGGTTGGGAAAGAGATTGTTGTATCCACTCTCTGATTTAAGAGACCTTGAATCTCACTTTGTGTAACCTATATTTTCATTCTATTGTAGATGGTCTTTTGGCGTATTACTTTGGGAGATTGAAACTGGAGGCAAGTACTGTTTGATTCAATGAGGGTCTTTTTTCCCATATTTGTCACTCTGTCATTAGGGACCATCACCAGGGTGGTGGGGAGTAGAGGATTTTTGAGATGGATGGGGGGGTGTCAGTCCTCTCCAACAGAGTACAAAGGGGGACTACAGAAATTGACCGACGACGAACTGCCAACGAAGGGGGGTGGGGGTCATGAGAATTTTTCAGAGCCTTAATGTGGGGATAAGGAAAGGTTTAATGTGACACACCCAAATTTTTTCAACTCTTCCCCTCCTTCTTCCTCTTCCCAGGCAATAAATAATGAGTGGTTTCTGTCACCGGTCCTTTAGATCGTGATAAACTTCGAAGGCTCTAGAATAAATTAGATATTAAATTGAAGGAATTTCTGTGTGGCTCTTTGGTCTCAGGTGATGTTCCTTATCCTGGAGTTCAGACAAAAGATCTTCTGGAAAGCTTAAAATCTGGACATCGTATGGATAAACCTGTGAAAACTTCTACTGTTGTGTAAGTAAGGTTTAATAGTTCTATTTTGACTTTCGACTTCCTAACAAAAAAATATATCCCTTGATTAAAGCCAGTTTTGATATTTGTTCAATTTATCAATTTCGTTCAAAGCGCACTGAAAATTTAATTGCAACTGACCATCGCAATAAGCACAAAAGAGGAATAAATCAAATGACGTTCGGAGGTAAAATTCCAAGAAACAGAAAAACATGGAACAGGTAGAAGTATCAGTTGTCTCCTCGCCCCAATCCCCAACCCGAAGAGGCACCAAGCGAGGGATGGGGGCAAGAAGACCGCTGACACTTACCGTTCGTTTAATAACAGAGCAACTTTCAATTGAGTGTTAAAAGTAATCCAATATTTTATTGGTTTTTAATTAATTCGGTCTGATTAATTTGGTTTTGGTTTTTCGACAGTCAGTTGAAAAGTGTGCTGATGAATAAGATAAGTTCGTAGTTGAAGACGAGCTTTGTTTTTTCTCTTTTCCTGCAGCTATGAATTGATGACCAAGTGTTGGCGGTTCTCAGCCATAGACAGACCAAAGTTCAGTGAACTGTGCATGGTGCTTGACACCCTGGTTACCAGGGAGACCTACGATTGATAAAAATGGCAGATTGTCTCTCTCGAAAGATCCTCAATGAAAACAAATTTTTTTCGTTTTATCTTCAAGAGCCAACTTTTGGTCGGTAACTAAATTCCTAGCTCATACAGATTTAACTTCCAAATATTTTGTTGATTACAGCCTCCAAACATACCCTAGCTGCTTGGTGGTTTATCTCGTTGGTCACGTGACTGCGCAGTGTTATGATCAACTGTGAAAAATAAAGAAAGATTAATGACCATTTAAAGGAAAATTAATAGAACGCCACTGAAAATAATTGTTTATGTCTAAAACCCTTTTAAATGAAAAATTAGTTTATTAGTACTTTGAAATAGTTTAATTTGTTGTACAGCGTTTGCATGTAGATATTTACTAAGAGTAGAATGCTTTTATTGCTTGCAAATAAACTTGACATAACTTTTGCGATGCTAGGAACTGCTTTGCCAGATTTATCCACGTAACTTTATCTGCGACAGGCTAAAGGACTTACAATACATTTTATTTTAAAGGGGCGGCACCGACATTTGAGCATGCGTGAACTACAGGCGCCAACCTTTAAGCTTTAGCGTTTTTCTTCTCGAAAGCGCATGCCATTACAAGAGACTATACTAGTATAACGAGTTTAAAAGGGGAGATTACTTTCACATAGGAGAGAAAATAAAAATTAACATGAGTTTCACGACAGTTTTGTTTGGTACTTTCACAAGTGCAATCGTTTCATTAGTTTTAATTAATGACCCAATGGAAGTTGAGAATTAAATGAAAAAAGAAATTCATACAAGCTCCCGTTAATACTCATGATTTTCAACCATCTGACACCAGTGGGGGCCTGACACGAGCCACTTCAAGGAGGAATTGCTCAGAGGCGGTGGGGTGGACACATAGCGACATAAACTTAGACTGTGACAGCAACGAAAACTCGACCTAAGTGACTGGATCTACCTTATCCCGCTCAGTGAGCCGACAAAACAACTTCAGGAGAAGGAACTGATCCTTGACATTTCCTTAAAAAAATCACGAATAAACAGGTTGCGAAATGCTTTTTTCCCTGACCAAATAGAGGTAAAAAACTGCTTCAATGTTTGGACCGCTCTTGTCTTTTTTAAGGTAATTACCACCCTGAGGGATACTTCGGAATACAAAATCTACCAAATTACGTATCGTGATTTTAACAAGTAGCCCATGACGTCACATCGACTTCCGTTTCCCAGCGAGAGGTAAGTCACGAAAGTTATCAGGCTGAGTTTATACGGATCATAGTCAGAATGATCCACTCATATTTCCTTATATATTGTTTTTGGACAGCATGATACTATTTCTCAAACCTATCACTTTGAATGAACAATAATATTTGCTCAACAATAAACCTCTCTGATGATTGGCCTCCAGTGCCATCTTAAATTCAGATTTCCATGGAAACGATTTTAGCAACTCTTCGCCGAGCGCTAATTTGATGCATGATTTCCTCCAAAAGTTTTGGTAAAACATCTTCGCGATTAGCCTGCTTTTACATTTCTAAACCAGCCTCCTAACAAGCGGCCACCACCTAGTATAGATGGAATGAGAGATTCTGAGGTGAGGCTGCAAAAAGCGTTTTACAAATCCTTTAAGACAAACGAAGTGCTTAAACAATTGACTCGCCATAAATTTTGACCAGAAGCTTTTGACTTTTAATTAGTCTCTTGGGATAATTTAGGCCCCTTTTGTGGCTTTTTTACTTGGCTTTACAGTCCACCGTTATGTTTTCTAATTGTGCTTTAATTCATCACAAAGGAGAGAGATTACAGCGCCACAGAACACGAAAAAACTATGGAAGGTGAAGCCGCTGTCGAGGAAGACGAGGGTTTTCATACAGTCACTGCTGGTAATTGATCTGTGTTTATGTATATTCTGATATTAGAGAAAAAATTAGCATTCTGAAAATGGGAAGTGTGAAGCAATTAGATTTGTTCGAGGATCAATATCTATCATAAGGCTTTTAGGTACAACAATATTATGCATTAAGGAAATTTGTAAATACGAAGTGTAAAGTTCGAGTACAGTTAAAATTGAAAGTCGCTAGTTTGCATAATTTTGATGCAGTAAGTTGCATCTTCCAATAAGGCAACATTGATCCAGACAATTTTCTTGATAACGATTTCAGACCCATGGACATAAAAGGATTAGAACAACGAAAAGAAATGGGAAAGTTACACAATACGGATCCACGCGCGTGAAAATTTGTAACACTGCGATTCGATCCTATTTGGCCAAATTACACGGCTTTTGAGATCGTGCGTATCATTTCTCTCGAATAAAGAAATACAACCTAAATAGAATTGATAAAATTTCAGTGAATACCTTCAATTTGGGGAAAGTTGCTTCCTCAAATTAAAATGAAATAAATTGTTTTTTCATAGATGAAGACGAAAGCAGTGTGGCAGAGAAAGCTACGAAACAAGACAAGCCGCAAACGAATATGAAAGCCAAGCAAGGTTCTAAACCTGCAAGCTCCAAAACATCAACCCATATGGATAAAAAGACACAACAGATGTTAGCAGAGTTTTACAGGCTAAAGAATCAGATGAGAGAATTTCAACAATCCATACAACGACCTCCTGTGTAAGCACAAAAGTACAAGTGAACTATAGGCTTTATGACGAAGTGATGAGGTTGCATTTCTGGTTGAAGATTTAAGTTCTCCACCTCCCTACTGCTCACAGGATTTGTTCTCAGCTAATGACGTTCAAATTCTTGGCTATGGGTTGTTCAACTATCTATGTATATATGAACTTCCTCCTGGTAGTTAGAATTTTTCAACACTAGTTAAGAATATTTCTGCAAAGGAAGTAGGGTAGAAGCCTAAAGTTACATCTGATATGGTACTGGATTCTCCTTTCACGTTTTCACGTTTTGCCTCGTGAAACACAGGGAGAAGTTGATGTTGCATCAGAAGTTCTTAAGACCTTTTTTTGTCCCCCTTCTTGTGAACCCTGAAAACACTACAAATTTTTAGAGTGGTCTTTAAAATAAAGACATGATAATTAAATATCTTAATAAATGAATATTAAATAGATAATCTCAACTCAGAAGATTATGATTCTTTAATTTCTATTTTCACCCTCTGAAATATGTGTATATTGTTTATTGATTCATTTATTATAAGTAAAGTGCTGACCTCTGCCATGTGAGATAGTATTGACAGTTGGCTGGGGCCAGGGGGTTGATAACTAGTTTAGGCTGATTCATTTCTTCACTCTGAGGAAAATGACACAAGGGCTCCAACCAATTGCATATACTTTATAAAAAATGGATGTTTGGCTCAAGGACATCACTTTTTTATTATTATTTCCAGCCAATTAGCACTGAGTATTCAACATTTTTTGTTCTTTTTCCCAACAGGAGACCATTTACTCCTGATATTTTTAACAGTCTATCACCCTACTACAATCGCTACATGGTCAACACTACAATTCAAGATCTTCAGCAGGTATTTAATTATTCACAAATGACCTCCAACTTTCCTTCTCTGATATGTTTCTGCAGCACTAATGATACAAAGGAAGCACAGCTGATTTCAAACATAGAGGGGGGGCTTATGGTACATTAAGCCAAGAGTATATCCCTACTCACACTTTTTTAAATGTTCTTTGCATAATTTGATGGTACAAGTAAGCCTCTGTGCAATCTTAATAGTGTCTATTGTATATGTAACTCTGAATTGTGGCAATGCTTAAGTGAAAAGTTTTTGCCATAAAAGAGCAACACCTCTTTATTTACCCAATGAACCTCAAGCATGATCCTGATAAAATAATTCTTAGAAAGTTAAGGAGACTGATTATTTTTTGAGGCAACTAACAAATTTGAATGCTATACTTTCCAAACCAAAAGCACAAGGGGCTTCACCAACCCCCACATTTCTAGGGGGGAGTCTTCAGCCTTCTCTTGAGACTCATCTGCCCCTCCTTCCCACTTCCTCGACTCTGCTGCTGCTCATATCACCTATTGATCGAAAAGTCAGTCAGGATGTCATCAGTAATAATATAGATTTTGTTTGCAAACAGGAAGTATTACCCTACAGAGGTTATGGCAACAGACCAACAGCACTTGGAGTTGTAGGTAAGTGTAGGTAAGATTAAAAAAAAAAAAAGAAGGATACAAAAAAGGTTGGGCCCTTGACATCTGATACAGAATAATATTAAATAAATCTAAACTTTAGGTTCGTTTCATGCAGCCCAGTTGAATAAAAGGTACTTCATTTTATTTAATTTTAGAGCCAGAAATCTCTTGGAAACTGGATAAGTGAGTATTAAACTTATTGTAAATATTTTGGTCGTTGAAAGACACTTGCGATCATTTTCTTAACTTTCTTCTCAAAACTTTTCCTGTCATTATTTTGTCAGCTTTCCTAATCCAGTTCCACAGTCAAGACTTCCTGGAAGACTTTTTCACCCAACTAAGTGGTAAATGATACTTACATTCATTTTGTTACAAACATTGAGGAGATATTTGTGGCACTCCGTCGGCAAACGATTTTCAATTCTTTTCATTTTTTTAAGGGGGTGGGGGGGGGGTTGAAAACATTTGGACCATTTGGAAAAATTTAGAGCATTTGGAGAAAACTGACTGCAAAATAATAAATAACAACCTTTGTAGTTGGTTCAGAATAACATAGAAAGTTGGCCTTATTAGAAATTTATCATACTGAGCATAAATTTTTTTTTTCATCTTTAACACGTTAACTTTGGCAATTAGAAACAATTTGAGTGGTGCCATGTACAAGTTTTCAATTCGGTTTACAGGAGCAGGAACTTGTCCCAACCAAACAAGGAAGGCAGCACCAGACTTCCTCCTTTACCATTGCCAAATTTTCCGAAATTCAACCAATCAAATTATCAGCCACACAAAATGACCTTTGATCACTTAGCTGACTTCAGGTATGTGTGAGGAAAAATTGCAATTACAAGTGCTGCTGATAGTGCTGCCAATATGTTAAAACACAGCGGTCAAACGTAGAGCATGTGTAAGGGGATTAATCCTGGCCGCCCGCGCCCCAATTTCCCGCGCAAAATTTCGAAGGAAAACTTAAAAAAACAACGCTGTCTCGCAGGATAAGTGGAAGAAAATTGAAAAGTTTATAGAAATCTGTAGAAGGAAACAAAAGTAGGGAGGAGGGAAACTCAACACTTATCGAACATAAAGCCTATTCAAGTTTTTAAAACATCGTGACTTTTTAGCTTGAGACAACTTGCCTGAACGCTCGCCATCCTGTCATTACAACATTCGCACATGCGTAGACGTTTAACCGTTGTGGAATATGTGAATTTCTTATGTTTCCTTTTTAGGAGCGAGCTAAGCAGCACCTCCGAGGCACTGGCAGAGAGGCAAGCCAAAGCTGATTATGAAAGAACAATTCAGGACTGGAATCGTATGAATCTGTCTGAACTGAAGAAACTTCCTCCCAGCCCCAGATATCACATAAAAAAAGCCATAGAGTCCTATCTCGGGACTTCCCGAGGGTCGAGCCGAGCACTGAAACCGCTGACCAAAGAATTGGATGCAGCCTCTTGAGAAACTTGCAGCAGTGAGAGTTTTTTGGAGCCTTTAATGATTAAATCATTACGAGTGTTTATAAATAAATTATTCTAACAGCACTACAGGAAAAAGCCCGTTTTGGATCGCAATATTTTCCATACTTTTAGTTATTGGCGTGAACTCAATATCCGCCATGCACGTCAGTTGTTTTCTATGAAGACATTGAGTAGTGAAAACGTCTAAACCCTTCCAAGGGCCGGCGAGTACAGTCGAAGTTAACAGTCACACTTCGGATCATTTACGAGTACTGACGAAGTCTAGACTGGTTTCTGCAATTTTAGGAAAACAATATTTCAAACAATTGTAGATACAATTCAATGCATAGAAAATTGTTTGCAATATTAATACACGCTTCGCTATAATTTTCTTCACCTTTGTGCGTAACATTTACGAATTTTAGAAATTAGAGAGCTATAAATTTATCATGTATCAACTAAGGTATGAAAAAATGAAATCAATTTTGGTTTTGGACGCACAGAGCTTTGCGAGTGATATTTGTAATAAAGAGTTTAAAGTTAAAGGTTTATGTTTCATTGTTACATTTGATTATTCACCCTTCATCTTTTGAATTTCAAAACGATATCTTTTTCTTTACTTTCATTTGATTTGAAATACAATCGGCTGGTAGTTTCATTCTGTGCATTATGCAAGATTCACTTCCGTTGATTTCTTCATTAAATTTTATTTTCTATGTACACACTTAATTTGACCAAACTGGTATACAAATGAGATAACTATTCTTTTCATTTCTTCAGTTTTACAGACCTTTTTAGCGCATATAGTTACTCTATAGGATAAACCACAAACGCTGATGAGTGTTTATTTTGTTGTCTAAATGCCAGACCACGCGAGTGTACGGTTTTCCTTTGTTTGAATATTTAATATCCGTTCGACTGATATGCAAATATGCACTTATGATTACTGTAACAGCCCCAAAGGAACCATTAGACAGTGATCTCCATAGAAACCAACCTTGGGAGCTTACAGCTTAGCAAAACTTGAAGTACTCTGACAACAGCGCAACATATCTGCAAAGCTATTTGTTCCTTTCGTTGATATTTTGGGTAAGTTATAGTTAAAAAACATTTTAAGTAGTAAAACATATCTTATTGCCTCTAATTTGCAAATGAGTAAGTTTGCTTTGCGAGTTTATAATGAAAGTGATACCACAACATTGAATTGTCTGCAAATAATAATTTCAAGTTTAAGCAAAAGAAATTCCTTCGCAGGTTGTTAAAAAGTTGAAATACGATGGCTGATGAAGCTCCATCACAAGGTAAAGAATGTTCAGATGTAATGAGAGTTTAATATTCCTACAGTTTGACTAGCGACACGATAATTGATAAATGTTTACATTCAAGAACTTGTTAAGTATGCCTTGATGATGAAAGACGCCACACGACTTCTTTCTAACACCTCACCAACGAGAAACAACAATTTGGCGAGTTGTTTTCCGCTTGAAAAAAAGATAGTCAAGATTTTCTTGTGTGTTACCCGTACTTCTTGGATCTCAGTAACGTTTATTAGGTTTTACATATTTGCTGTTTCGAGATTTCATGTAAAAAACAAACAATTACTTTTTCGGCCATATCAAAGTGTTCATTTTCACAAACAGTAAACAATCGTTATTTTATAAAAGTTTTGAAGAGAAACATTGCTGTCTTTAACCAGGTTGTAACATTCGGGTTAGTTTTGGCGAGACATACATCATCTCTCAATACATTCGATTCCTTATATCGCAGTTCAGTTTTCTGACGTCGCACACTAATCAAATTGCATATCTCTTCTACATCCGGAAAAACTTTGGTGTATTTTTACTTTGTGAAACAAACTTTTTTAGTCATATTTTACAAAAATGAAATGTAAACTTGTAAACGATAGACTGCACACGTGTCACCTCGCAGCTGCATCGTCTCGACTAGAGATTTTTTTGTCGCCGTACAACATAGCACCTCGCACGCATCGTCCATAAGACCAACAACACATGAAAAATTACAATCTTGAGTTCTAATTTCAAGGGACATCTCACAGATTGAGACTCACAAACAGTTTGAAAGCTCAACAAGTAGATTTCATTTTACCGTGCGTCTGTTCAGTGACAGAGCACAGTTGACATCAAAATGTGGTAAAAATAAAAAAGTGGCACACAAGGTTCAGCCGAATGTGTCACTGATATTTGTAACTTTGCCGTAACTGAACAGACCCACATGGTGTCTATTTGTTTTATATAATAAAGAAGAAAAAAATGTCGATGATGACATCATCTATGCATCAGTTTCTTATAGACCATAACTAAGAACCAATCAAATTTGTACGAAATTCAGCTTATTATGTAAACGTGACTTGGTCTGATTCTTCCGCGCGCTGTGCTAGTGACATGCGAAATCGAAAATCAGGAACAACTGGAAAGAAAAGGATCACAGTAATGTGTTGCGGCTAGAGGATTAGCCACAACACACAAGAATAAAACTCGACAATAAAAGATCGCACAAATAATTTATTTGGATTTCATTTTGGTATAACAATTAAAAAATGTTTTATTCTCCTTATTTGGTGGTATCACGTGAACAATTCAGACGCACCGGAAATGCAGCAGTCAGAGGAAGAAGAACCCAAACGAGAACAGAAACGCATGCGCTCTCAGATGCTTTGCGAGCTACATCGGGTGAAAAAAGAGATGATTGACAACAGTGGTTTGGTCAGCAAAACAGAAGTGTGAGTATCTACTAATTTAATTACTACTCTAGTAATTGCCAACTTGCAATTACTTCTGTCAGTGTTTCTTTGTCGACCTTGCAAGATGATATAGTTCTTTCTTAGAAGTTTTTCTGCAGTTTACAATTTTTGGGGGGGTATATTGTGATTTACTGAACCCAACCCTGGAAAGATTTTATCGTCATTTTTTTAAAATTTCTTTTTAGGAAGCCATACACACCGGATGTTTTCAATGATCTTGCGCCATATTACAATACTTACATCGTCAACTACATGATCGATGACCAGGTGGGTAAATAATTATCAATAAAAATAGTATCAAAGGGTATTGAAATCGTACTTATTTTCCATCATTTCATATTATATGATACGATTTTTTATATGTATGCAATAGCTTTTATTCGATTGGTTGAAATGGAGTATGTACACGTGACTCTCTTACCGTTCAGCTATAGGGTAAAAGCCTTCCCTGTTCGTAATGCAGATACTACTATTGGTTGCAGGTTGACTATGTTCCCCGTCCGGGGTGGGGTACACGAGCCACGACTCTCCGACTTGTCGGTAAGTATCATAAGGAAAGAGAAACCAAGTATGGTCAAGGGGCTAAACTCAAGATTCAATGCTTAATGATCCATATAAGACGCGTTAAAACGCTAAATTGTGCAGTTTGATAATGTGGCTGAGAAAGTCCTGGAATGGACTGTTGTAGGGTATAACTATTGACGCCTCTCGCGTGGAGTGGAAGTCATCATCGGAGTCACGTGGAGAGTTATTTGTCAGTGATGTAATGGGTTGTTTTGTTGAACTTTCAGACCCAGAGGAGTCCTGGAGGATGGATCAGTAAGTTTTCATTATCTTTGTAGAAATTTGCGATTGAAAAGCAAACCGGGACTTTATTTATTTTTACTCCAATGCGCTCTATGATTGGTCTACAAAAATCACGCCAACTTTTCAACCAATCAAAACCAAAAACAAAACCATTCGCGACTTGATCAATTGCGTTTTCCCGCACTTCTAAGAGTTTGAATGTTTTACCATAATCTCTCAATGGCCCTCTCTGATATTTTACCCTTGTCCACATTGGCTGATGCGATTACTTTAGTTTTATTGCACTCATTAAAAAATTTCGCTCTTAATTTCCGTCGTAGTCTAGTAACACGCGTGGGGCCTCTCCATACTAACTCAGCTTTCTCTCAGTTTTCCAGGTCCCAAATATGACTCCGTTATTCCACGCTGTTTTTACAAGCCTCAAATCTGGTACGTACCTGCCCTGTGGTAAACCTTTTTATCTAAGATGAACTAAGAAACCAGTACATCGTGTTGATAATCAAACAAACCATATATTCTTATACACTAGAAAGCTCTAGCTACAATACCTCGCCACAAGTAAATCATTATTCTTTTCCTTATGGTTTTAAGGAGCCAAAATGTATCTGGAAAGGAAAGCAGCAAAGGCAGTACCAGGCTCCCTCCGATACCAAAAGTAGCTTACCCAAGATTTCAACAAAAACAGTACCAACATTTCAATATGAACTACTCTCACGTCCAACCATTCAGGTCAGTAAATTCCTTTCCTCTAAATTCCCTGTGACAGCCATAATAAGACACTTTTTGGGTATCTTGACTCTCTCAGGCTTTACCTAAAAGTTTCCTTTCCAAACAAAGAATAGAAACCAAACCGGGAGATAGTGTGTCTTAATAACTCTACCTCTCTAGAGAGATACTGCTACTTTCACGCTAGCCAATCCCATTTCATTATGAACCTTTATTTATACACATTTATATAATCCTGTGAAGCACCTCGAACAAAAAGAAGCAGTCTCAACGAGCTCGACATGACGAAAACAGTATTGTTCTAAGCAGTCTTTTCGTTTTCCTTAATTTCGCGCGAGAAAAGCGCGATTTATGTGTTTTTTCCCTTGTGTGTCTCCCCCTCAGCTCACGCCAGTTATTACTTAATGAAAGGTAGACGAGAAAGACATTCACCAGTTTGCAGAGTTTAGCAGAATTCGACGCGACTTCGCACGAGCAGATCCATTTTTAGCCGCGTGCAGCGAGTGCAATACAACCAAAAGTCTAGAACTCACGCGTGCTGGGTGAAGTTGCTGTGGTTGAAGCACTCTGCGCTGCAGCGATTCTGGCGTGCAAAGTGAACGTTTAAAAAGAACTCGTGAATGAACCTGTCGTATTCTGTAGACTTGCCTCTTCGCAGGCTAAAAAAAATGCGACTTCCCGTCGATAATTTGAACTGCTCAACCACCCGAGCTAAATTGAGCTCAGATTGAAGCTTCACGTATGACACGAATGTATTCGTTTTTCAGAAGTGACCTTCAGCGTCTAAAGGAATCTAAGGCTGAAAAAAGGATGAAAGAAGATCATTCTAGAACAGTGAATGATTGGCAGCGAATGAACCTGACAGAACTGAATACTTTGCCAGAGCAGTCACGTTACCATGTCAAAAAGGCCATCATGTCTTATCTGGGTACATCAAAAGGATCCAGCAAAGCGCTGAAACCTCTACTGACTGAATTGAACACTGCTGAGTAAACTGCGCTCAGTGACAACACGGAAGTACATGGGGGAGGGCTGGTTGTGGTTGCAAACCTTGCGCTTTGATCTCATCGAGAAAAAAAAAACTCTTTTACAAACTACGTATGTTAGTTTTCCCGTCACGGTGGACAGCAAAGCGTAAAGCCATCGATTACCTAGTTGTGATGTATCTTAGATGTATTAAGTATCAAAAGCAATGCAGTCAAATCTACGGTTATTTTGACCTCCATTTCCTTTCAGAAAACTATTTCATCAATTAGAGAGATTACGAGCTCTCTTATCATTTGAACTTACGACCTTTCTCATGAACTTTCATGTCGCTCTAGTTAAAATCTTCTCGCTGAATATTATACGTCAAGTTAAACTGTCTGTTCTTGATGTTTAGCGAATAAAACAGCGCGAATTCCATGCGCAATAGCTGCGGCTAGGCAAAAACCCGAGGGAGGGTAAGGTTAGGTCGCGTAAAAAAAAGCTTTCGTTACGTGACCTGACCCAGACCCCCCCTCGTTGATTTTCCCTTTCTGCTGCTTTCGCGTCGTTTACCATAATAGTCCGGTTTACTCACTTACAGCTGTTGAAGAGGTAACATGAAATAATGTATAGTAGCTAATGAGAAGGACAAATGTTTCAATAACAGTATTCTGTGTGTATTAAGAGTGTAAAGTTTACCTAACAAAAGCAACCTAATAAAATTAATCTTTAAATACTGTTTTACGAACCTTTCAACGAGGAAAAATGACACTTCCTTTCCAGCATCAATTCGACATACAGAGTGTTTGGAACCATTCCTAGGTATGTGTATAGGAATTTTTTCCAACAACAAACTCTTGATATCTTAATGAAAATCTGCCCTCGATACTAGTCACGATGTTTGAGAGCTTTCTCAGAACACCCATAACACAAACATTCCCAGCCCAGATGGGTGCTTTGGCAAGAGAGACTTTAAGCCACCTTCTGCAGTTTGAATGAGTAATCCAAAATATGCAACCTGTCCCTCAGTTCTCTAGATTTTTGTGGGATTTCTCCTTTTAAGATCTTTCTTTTCTTGAAAAACCAGACACAAAATCGTTATCAAAATAAAGAATATCTGGAACAACCATAAAGTATGTTGTTTTCAATGATAGGAGTGACCAGCATCTTACTTCTTCTAAGCACAATACTACCAATTCATTCATTGACATCAGGAGAATACAGGAAATGATCAACAACCCAAGAAGCTTTGATTGTTAAACCAATTCTCCTTATCAGTTCAAAAGGAAATATATAGAGAAGAATATAGAGAAGATGCATATTGAATAAAGTTTAAAAACCAAAACAAAACAGTCTGATGGAAGTTCTGTTTATTTCATAGCTCAGGATTTTTTCTTTGGGTTAAGAAGGATTCCATCAAACTGAAAAGAAAGAAAAAAGACCAATTATTACCAATTGCACAACAAGAAACAGAACAATACGTCTAGTCCCAAATCAGCACAGACAAAACTATCTCTAGAAACGGCTGCAAAGGAGACTGAGAACAAAGTAATAGTGAAGGTAAGTTTCTTGAGAAGCTGTGGTGCCAATTAATGGGGGGGGGAGGGTGATACAAGATAATTTAGTTTTATCAACTGGTTTAATAATGAAAATGGCCACTGTTGAGAGTTTTTAAAGCTGATATTTCAAGCATTAGCCATTAGTCAGAGCAAATAATTGTCAGCTTAACTCTTCGTGATGATCAATTAACATTATCTGCTCATTTTATAAAAACCAAATTATATCAAAAGAAAGAAAGTACTTTAAAATTAATGTTATCTTGCATTTCCTTTAAAACTCAACTGAAAACTTCACCAGCAAGAGAATTTAACCCTGAACCCCTAAGAGTGATATGCATCTAATTTCTCCTAACAGTATGGTGCCTGAATCAAACATGAAGGTCATGAGATGAAAGGGAATGATTGCCACATCAAGTAGCTCTTGATCATAAAGATAAATTCTCCTTGTAAGAACCATAGGAAATTTAAAGAGAATTGTATGAGGAACTTGCAAGCTGATGTTAGGGTGTAAAGGTTTTAAAAGATACCTTCTGTTGGAACCACTTCATAGAGTCATCTTTTGATATCTTGTGAGGAGCACCAACATGAGCCTTAGCTCTTTTTCTCTTGGCCACATTAAACCCCGGGCGTCCAAGAACCACGTAGAAATCCATTCCATAGATACCAATGCTTGGGTCATACTTGATGCCAAGATCAATGTGTTCTTGAATTCCAAAACCAAAGTTTCCTACAGCATAGTTGGGTTAAGTAGTTGTAATGTTTTAAATTGGTTTGAGAAAGATGGCAGATAACTTAATTTTTTAACATTTGGATCAATATGCTGCTTTCATAATTGCTTATCAGTGCCCATGGCAGACCACAGGACCTTGAAAAACAAAGGTCTAAAGCTTGATTCTACTGAAAAACCCAGATTTTTTTCATCATCCTATGCTCATGAAAAACTACTTTTTTCTTTGTGATAATTCTAACATGAAATTTCCATTTCAGCAGTCTATAAAGCGATTCACACAATCCAATATAAATCAGTTGCTCATAGTGAAAAAATCTGACAAAAACAGAAATTTAACTGATAACATCAAATCCATTTATCCACCCCACAAGTTTCTTAAGAGCCATTATTATCATGTCTTTGCCAAGTTGCTAACCACAAGCCTTTGATCACTACTCTTAAATACCTAATAAAAAAGCTAAATTTTACAAAATCAAACCTGTGGCAGAGAAGTTCTCCTTGTTCAGTTCATACTCCTTCACTTTCAATCCCTTCTCCAAGATCTCTTCAGCCTTGGCACCTCGTACAGTGCAGTGGACAGCAATTTTCTCATTCCTTCGGATACCAAAAGACCTCACTGTGTAGCGAGCTAAACAAAAAAGTTCTCTATCTTAAATCAGATGTTTATAATTACAGAGTCTACAGAAAGGAATATTATGCTCTGCTACATTTTTTCAGCTTATTGGTACTTCAAACTGATGTGAAAATCTGTATTTAAAGGAATATAACAACAGGATGCAGATGTTCAAAACACAAAATTTAACATCATATGTGACGAGATGAAATTCTTGTTACATCCCTATATCATTAAGTCCCTTAGTTTGGCTTTGACTTTTACTAAGCTATACAAGACAAATATAGTTTAAACAACTCTTGGATGGAAAATTTAGTTCAGAAGCTGTAATCACTGAAAAGTAAATATCAGTTCTAATTCAACCTAAGCCAGGTTTGAATAGGGCAGGAAAGTTTCTTAAGAAACTGTGGTGCTAAGTCAGTAGAGGTAGTACAGGATAATTTGGTTTTAACAACTGAGTTGTTTATGCAAATTTGCCATAATAGCTTTGGAAACTCATTACAATGGCCAATTTACACAATGATCTCAGATGATAACTCAGGTTATCTTGAAGTTTTCTTAAGTTATCTTATGAACAACAGTTACTTGATAAGATCACACATTCTGACCTGTAGTTGGCAACATGTGTGGACAACCAAAGTGATGACTGAAGGTTCTCCCCCTATTATAGTTAAAATTGTAAAATCAAAATGTTCTGTACCTTTGGAATACACTGGCTGTTGCCCAGTCAACTGTTCAAGAACCTTGGCAGCACGTGTCAGTCTGTCCCCACTCTCACCCACACAGATGTTTAGAACTAACTTCCTGATTTGCAGTTCCTTCATGGGATTCTGTTTGGCCTGAACCTGTTAACCAAACCAACCAATGAGAATCAAATCTGTGCTAAACTACGAGTGAAGATATGTTGCATTTCTGTTGGCAACTGTGTTTGTGATTTAGTGGGACACAGTGGCCAATGACCCACCTCAGTCACTCCTAATGACATACGTCTCATATCACGATTTTCACTCCGATTCTTGCAACATCAGTGATTGCTACTGCTTGAAACCTTTCTCAGGACTATTTTCACGTGAAAAATCACGCTGTATGACCAATTCATTTTGCTATTGGTGTAAAGGATGACTGCCAGCAGACTGGCTGATATTGAACAGGTCGCATGAAGTTTCCAACTTACATTGTCTTAGCTCAATGATAGTAAAGGAAGACAGGTACAATAACATTTGAACAAAAACAAGAACATTTTTTTATCCTTGTTTAAACACGGACACTAAATGGTTGTGTGATAATAAATTGGTAATAAATGTCCAATGTATCATAATCTGGAACGTTAGTATTCCAGTGTTTTATTCTTTCAGTGGTGGTGACAATAAAACCAGCAGGGTATGCGGGAGCAACAATTGAGATGATCACGATTTTCGCCTCAACTTGGCTCATTAGAGAGTCAAAAGCTTGTTCAGAATCAAACTATCAAAACACTATTGTTCATAGTACGGAAGAGAAATAAAAAATACATATATGTATCGATCAAAAATTTTTTCCTGTATCGTGGTTAACACCTAGAATGTGGGCCAAAAAATTAAGGCAGTTGAAGGGAGAAGTGATTTTTTTATGAAGAAATTATGTTTTCAAAGACCTCAGGGAATCATATGGAACGATGTAAGCGGATTCTTTTAAAAACCACTTTTAGAGGACACTCACCGCCATATTTGTTTCGGCCGAAAAGGAAAAACAAAAGTCTGGGGAGAGGGAAAATAATTAGGCGAGAGACTGGGGAGAGCAATAAACTCCCAGTAAAATTTTCTAATGCAAGTAAGATGGCGGACGATCGGAGTCCGCGGCGCCGCAAAAGAACTTTTTCGACAACTTCTACAATCTCCACCGACGATTATCAAGATGCCAGTGAGCAGATCGTGGAAGATATTAGCCTAGAGTTTTTCTACAAGCCACGGTCCATCACCGCTCTAGCGTGCCTGTTTGTTTACCTTGTATATTCAGCGTTCACCAGGTGAGGTTTTTACTTGCACATGTCATATTTTTCTGGGCGGGCTGTTTTGTCATCATTTTCCTTCGCAACATACACTTGGATCTCAACTTTTCTCAATTCAAAAAGAAACTATGAATTTTTAACACAGTTTTTTATGTTCAGATTTAAAAAAATATTAAGTGGGATTCAAAGTCAAGTTTTGGTTGATTGAGTCATAATTTCACAGTGCTATGGATGTCATGGCCTCATTTACATGCATTCTTACTGCACTCAGTTGGCATAAGTCTCGCTGAACAATCTTTGTTGATCTCGGCTTGTTTCAATGAATGTATCCTCTAAACATTATCCGCTCATTCTTGCGTTCATTTTATTTTATTTGGTGGATCTTAACAGGTGGAAATTAACAGATGGCTTTCGAAAATCTACACGTGATTTAAACAAGTAAAATTATAATGGCCGTAAAAAGCTGATCTGTTTATATAAAATGTAGTATTAGGTCAACTACACTTTGGATGAGATTTTAAATTAGATTAAAGATGGATGCAATTCCTTGATGACTTTGACACTTGACACCTGCCATTCTGTCATACCTACATGTAACTGGTACTTTGCTCTTTGTGCTTATTATGCTTTGTTTCCTGTTGTTGATAATCAGACTTCTTTCTGTCAAAATGAATTTTAAAAGTGACACTTGATTAATTTTGAGCATCAGTTACTTTTATGTCTCTCTCTCTCAACTGTTTTTTTTCTATGTCACTTGTCTTTGTCAACTGAATGAAATTTTCTTTGTCATATAAGCAAAATTCAAAATTACAGACCAAGTAGTAATAATGATGGCTGTTAGAGACTGTCTCATTTTTTAATTAAATGTAATGATCAGATTCCTTCTCGGGAAATAACAGTCATTTAAAATGTGTCTCACTCCCAATCTATGGCTTGGTAGCTCATTTAGCAGTAGTGGCTAACTAGCATCTGGGCGGCACATTTCAAATCCTGTCCAAGCCTGGTTTTTCTTTCCAGCTTCTTTTTTGCACCTTCCTAAATTCCACCTTACCTGCGAGGATCTCTGCTTTGCTTGATAGTGACTGTATTGTTGTACAAAATTTTATGAGTAATTAACCTTTAAACTTCCGGACTGAGTAACTGCAGTCAATTGCACAACTGATTTATTTCTGTATCATGAGATAGGAATTAACACAGCTTATTGGCCTTTTCATTATTCAAAGAAATCCAGATGCCACTCGTGAAGAGAATATCTGGAGTGGAATGGTTTCCCTTGCTGTTGTTTTTCTTGTTCTCAGTCTTCTTGTCATGCCAAACGGTAACTATTTTAATCTAGATAAAATAAGTGACTGGCTTCTAGTTTCTCCTTATAGTATCACCCTTGAATTAAAAGTAAGGGTTGTGAGAAAATGGAAATGATCACAAATTTAAGAAGCTCCAGATTGTCAAATAAATTTAATCCTTGTCATAACCATAGAACATGTAGAGGGAACAGTGTGAAGAATATTGGTATTGGTATTGATGTTTGGGTGTAAAGAGTTTGTCAACCGAAATGGCCTATTCAAGAAGTGAGGTGTCCTTGAGAAACTTGTATTTTGCTTTTAAAAAACTGATCCTCTTGTGAGTTTTCTAAGAGCCCAGTTTCAAAGGGAATTCCTGTTCTGGAAACTTTCTATCACTTAAAGCAAAATTGTACCTAAAACTTTAAGGTTTGTGTTCTCCCTATAAAGCCCTAAAAATTAGCTAATTTGAAATTTTGTTTGTCAAATTTTTTTTTTTTAGGTCCATTCATCAGACCTCATCCTGCTCTTTGGAGAATGATATTTGGTAAGAGGATTGACTATGTTTGCTTAACGACATTGCAGCAAACCTTTTGGCAGAGGGGAAAAAAGCCATTGTAACCGTATTAACTGTCAGTGATATGCACAGTCTCAAATAACTATTGCAATGAAAAATAATTTGTTGAATCAATCATCTAATTGTATAATTGTAATCAGATGATTAAGTGCTTACCATGGTGTTTTATATGGAGATAATGAATATAATTGTGATATAAGTAATTGGTGAGAGGTTTTGTCATTTTTTTTACCCAATTTTTTTTTTTTTTTTAATTCTTGTTGATAATATAAAGTGTGTAGCTGATCTTTTTATTTGTATGTTTTTCACTAGGTGCCAGTGTTCTGTACATGAGTTTTCTTGCGTTTGCTTTGTTCCAAACTCGTGCTGACTTCCGAAATATTCTCTTCTTCTTTGACCCTGAATTGCGCCATGAAGGACCAGATACAAAGGTTACAGAGATGAGATTTAAAATTGTTCCTCATAATTAGATTCCTGTGTTTATTGAGTGCTTTTACAACAGTTTTCAATTGAATCTCTGGAGTGTTGTGAGATTGCTTTAGTTTTGCTTTACTTCACTCTGCAATTGGAAAGTTGTGCCACAGTCTTTCTACTCATAGTCCACAACCAACCATTTGTTTTAGAAGTTGTTTATTAGTTTGACTGTTTGTTTGTTTGTTTTTTCTTGTCACAGGAATATGCTGTTAATTGTTCTCAGGTGTCTTTGGCCCGACTGTGGGGTCACTGTGATATCTTTGCCTTTGCGCATTTCTTTGGTTGGGCTCTGAAAGCTTTACTTATTCGCAATGCATGGCTGTTGTGGATTGCAAGCATAACATGGGAGGTCACTGAGGTATTAAATTTCAACAAATAGATTCCATTTTGCAGAGCATCTCTTCAGTAATAGATGACAGATGACATCAAAATGTGGTAAGAAAAAAAACCGTGGCTCAGCAGGTGCAGCTGAGTGTGTGACTGATGATCTTACCACATTTTGATGTCCTCTCCAATGTGTTTCTGTACAGGCCCATGAAAACATGGAGTCAATTTTTTTTTGTAATAGTGAAAGAACAAACCTATTAATGGTGATATCATTTATGTGACCATCTTCCAGTAGATTATACATGTAGATGATAACCAATCAATTGGCTCATTATATAGCAAAAAACAGATTCCATTTTGTTGTCAGTGTCTCCTCAGTAACAGGTCACAGGCATTGTCAAAATGAGGTACGACAAAAAAAAAGTTTTACAAAAGGCACAGCCAAGTCTGTCTTTTATGTTCTAACCACATTTTGAAATGTTTCATGATCTATCACTGAAAAGGCACAGGGTCACATGGAATTTATTTGTTTCATCTGATGAATAAGCAATAAATTAGCAGAAAGTTGTGAGTTGTGACATAATCCATGTGTCTGTCCTCTAGTCTATCATAATTAAAAACCAATCAAATTGTACTGTTTAATTCAGCTTATCACGTAATTTATATATTATGAATAATCCATTTCAGGTATTTTTTTCTCACTTGTTGCCCAACTTTGCGGAATGCTGGTGGGATGCACTGTTATTAGATTTCCTGATCTGTAATGGATTAGGAATCCACTTTGGACTGTATGTGTGCAAAAAACTGGAGATGCGCAACTACCACTGGGAAAGTATCAAGTATGTTTAATGTTACTCAATGATTTTATGTAAAATTTTTTTTGAGTGTTTGTATCAGATTAAGTTTACATTCACACAGATGGGATTGACTTTTTGGCTCTCTGATTTTTAAAGGGATATTCAGACAACCACTGGAAAACTGCGTCGAGCTGCTATGCAGTTTACACCTGCAAGGTTTGTCTTAATTGTTTTCATAAGGCAATATAGATCAGAAAATGTTTTGGCTTGTATGCAGAATTTTCTGACCAAATTTCTATAGCATGAGCTAATTCTCAATCTGAACATGGACAACATTATTTTGTTTCTTTACACAACTCATCTGTTCCTGCATTTTAGAATAGAAAATGTGATCATCTCCTTAGTTTGAGAAAATACGTAACTTGATATTCATGCTTACTTTTTTTAATATCCGCGAAAGATTCATTGGTCATTTTACCATCAAGGAGAGCAGATTTTGGACATGTTACCAAGGTAGCAATGGAATAACTAAGTGATATTTTGACTCTTTCAGTTGGACTCATGTGCGCTGGATGGATCCCAAATGTTCCTACATGCGATTTTTTGCCATATATCAGTTGTTGATTATTTCTCAGGTAGGTGAAACACTGAGATTCGTTTGAAATCACTTTAGGGTTTTATAGAGTATAAATTGGACTTTATTGCCAAATGAACGCAGGAGACCAATGCCCAAAGTTACTTAAAACCACAACTTTTTAGTTTTCCACATTTTTAGACCACTGATTTTTGTTTTAGTCCTTGTTTGTCAATGTTTTAGATTATTATTATTCTGATAAGGAACCTCCTGAAATCCACTTTAAACTGTTACACTCATAAGATCTCATGTTAATTCTCCCCTCTAGCTCCACACATTTTCTTGTAAATTAGTTACAAGAATTTGGTGATGATTGAGATAGCTTCTACTTGATAAGTTTGAGTATTCTCATAACCTGTTTGCTGAAAAAATTGTGGATGTTGTGGAGAGAAGTAACCTGTTCATCACTTCTGATAGTTAAAGGGTTAAATGATTGGAGGCCTCATCATTAAGTATTTTTCATTTTCATAGGTATTACAACAATCTGTTTTAATTGGTTAGTTTACTCCAACTCTGAACCTAGTCTTTTTATCTTTAGATTGTGGAGCTTAACACATTCTTTCTTAAACACATTCTGTGGGTTCCAACATCTCACTGGTTGAACTACTTTCGTCTGTTTGTCATCAGTCTCACTGTGGCACCTTCCTTGAGGTAAGTCTGATGCTTGCCTTCTTTGCTATTGTTGCAGTGCTGTTGCCTTGGTAATCAAATGATAAGCCATCTGAAACTTAAAAAATTAATATCAGACTCTTGGATTAAAGAGGTTGGAACTGGAATTGTAGAGACTTTTTTATTTACAGTTTGTTTTAAATTTAATTTTTTAGTTTCAGTGTTCCCAATTAGTGTCAACTGTGCTCAAAGTAGCTGATGTTGTAACAAAGTTTCTAAGAGGTTCCCTCTATCAGCTAAAAGTCCAGGGTTGCTTAGTCAGGTTTTTTGAAGTTGTCATCTGCTCACCAAAAATAAAAGTGTAATTAGCAGAAGAGAAAAAAAATGATGGAAGGAAACTCTTTGAAACCCCTGTTCATGGACATTTAAGGCTTCATATTCAGAAAACCAAGAAAGAGGGGCAAATGTTTCCTAAACGTAAACAGCAATGTATCAATGATGTTTTATGCAAATGTTTGTCTCAATTTACCCACTGCATTTATTAAAAAAAAGCCCTGTTACTAGGCTTTTCCATTTGTCTGAAAATCACAAAAGTTTCATTGTGTCAGGACTGTAGTATTTTGGTGTCAAGCCCTGTGTGTGTTACAGCTACAACATGGATTTATATCACTGATTTGTGTCTTTCATGCTCAGTGTGGGTATAAAACTTTCCTTCCCTGTCACTATAGGCAGTACTATGTGTACATTACAGACACAAGAAGCAGAAGGCTTGGAACTCAGGCATGGGTGCTAATGTAAGTAGATACCTTTGGAAAACTCCACTTTGTTTCCATTGTTTACAACATTTACCTCATGTTACTTATGATAACTGAACTTGATGTTTCTTGTTTTATTTAACAATAGAGTCATCACCTGTCTTGAACTTCTTATTTGTATCAAATATGGACTGGACATGTTTAAGAAAGCAGAAATTGTCAGCATAACTTTATGGCTGCTCTTTCAGGTGAGAAAACAAAGTGTGAAAGTTAATAACTGTCTTATGTTTTTTTTCTATGCTTAACCTTTCACTTCCAAGATGTCATAAGTAATTCTCCTTACTGTCTGCCATACAATTCTTATTATGTGAGTTTGGAGAATTTGATATTCGATCATCTAATAATCTTCTAATTTATATTTTTATTTATTCTCCTCACTTGTCTTCTGGATATCGTATTGATGTTGTTAGGAGAAATTCTGTCTGTCATTCATGGGAGTTGAAGAGTTAAGAACACCTATGGTGTGTTGAGGCATTGATTGGATTGTAATCTCTCTCTTGCAGATGGCAATCAGTTTGATGGTTTTGTATTTCATGGTCATGACAAAATCAAAGGTTAGTTAGCAAGTTGGAGACATTTGATTGGTGGAGGCCTAAACACCAATTAAATCGAGTGTTAAAATGTTTTATTGCAGTAAAGTATAGTGATGTGTGTTATTTAAAATTTTCGTACTTTAAAGACAGGCTCCACAATATTGATTAAATGCAGAAAATAGACATAGTGAAATTATTCTTTGTAGTTAACACAGTGATAAAATGTCTGCGTATGTGGGAAGGATGTAGAGGCTTGGTGCCGGGCTAAGGTGCTTTCAGACTGTCAAAAATGTCTTATAGATAACTACTTATTAAGTGAATTTGCCGCAGTGTTTGAAAACCATACATCTTGTTTAGTAAAGCTCAAAACTAAATGGTAAATCCGACGGAAACCCGTAGTTAAATAAGCTATAGGTACGAAAAGTCTCGAGTTTTTCCTTTTCCATAATCTTTGTTCCTTTTTTCAGATTTACACCAACGTTTCAATGCTTTTTTCGCATATTTTTCGTGACAGCAGATGTTTCTTATGTTTTCCTTCGAAATTTCTCTCATGCTTGACTAAAGACTGCTGGTTTTGTTGAGTGCATGTAACTTATGGCCAGGATTTAAGTGAATGTGACATGCATAAAACAGTGCGGCCTTCGGTTTAAATGGGTTGTAAATAACAGAGTTTAAAATGGTCAAAAATAAAATCTTACATTAATTTGGCGTACTTTTTCAAATACAAGATAAAAATCTTTCTTAAAACAAATCAATAATAAAAATAGTGATAAATTAGCCAGCGGTCAAACGTGACATATTAGTAAATGAATCAATTTTTGCAAGCTACGCGAAATTTTCAAAATTCTTGCACAAAATTTGGAGGAAAAAATGAGGAAACACAATGTAGCGCAAAATTTCCAAAAAAAGTGAAAAGTTTCCTTTAAATCTTTACTTTTTTGATAAATGAAACCAAAGGAGGGAGAGGGAATATTTTAAAGTTTGATTTTTCATTTGATCGAAAGAAAAGTTGCATGTTTTAAAACACCGTAACACACTGGCTCGGTTATTTGTTTATGAATCCTCGGCGACAACTTTGCTTGTACAGCCTGAAGGCACAATGTAGGCCACTTTCACAAACGTTTGACCTCTGCGTCCAATGTGTTCAATACACCAAGTGTACGATTTAAATGTATCAATTTAAATGAAACAATAATTAACTTTTAGAATATTTTTGGTTCACAGCCTTTAAAGAGAAAACACTGAAATAAAAGTGACGATAATCCTAAATAAATATAAACTGTGATTGAAATAAAAGTCGTTTCAATTAAAATCTTTCAAACAATGTTTGCAATATATGATCTGTTGTTATTTTTCTGTAGGAGGTCAATGTTATGAAGGCAAACATTGTGGAGAGACTAAAAATGCTCAAGAAATACGTAAGAAATTATGAACTTCAGTTAAAACTTAATCACTGACTTAAAGTTTATTTTAAACTTCGTTTTAAGCTTTCCTAACGTAAAACCAATGAAAGATTGTCTAATTTTTAACATATTTAACGTGAAAATTGATTTAAAACAGTATAAATTATACTAAAACTACAAAAAAAAACCAACCTTTTCAGTCACATCTAAAACTATCCTACGAACTAAAGTAAAGAGGGTTAGTGTAAGATCTTGGCACATTTTTGTATGACGACTTCAATTGAAATCGCATTTGGTTTGAAAGTGAGACTCAAATTACCAATAGAGCAGTTTTTAATTGAATGTCGAAAGTGATCCGTGATTGCTCAGGTTTTGCTCTACCCGCTCTATGATTGGTCTAAAAAATTTGCGCCACTCAGATGCCAAGCTAACACCAATCACGAATTGATCGCCCGCGTTTTCCCGCGCTTTAGGTAGTTTGGTTTTTTTTCTTTAAGTTCTGATTGGCTCTTCAAGGTATTTTCCTGTCTTTTGATTGGCCGTTGTGAGTACTTTGGTTTTTGTTTTACAACACTCAAATCGAAAAGCGCTCTGAAACGTTTCTCTAACTGAGATTTTTCTCTTTTTACTTAAGGGAACAAAGAAGCCAACATTCCTGGAGGAAATTCCTGCCGAAGATCCAAACACCAAAACCCTGAATTACATAAAAAAAAATGGTAATCATACATTCCAAGAAGACGATCAGGTGTACGACTTCGGTCTCGCTAATGGCGGCTACCAGAATGGAACAGTGGTGCGTGGCGAGCAGCAGCACTATGAGAGGGGCCTCAGATCCACCAAACACATCCACGAGACACCTCCTGACGACAAACCCACCGCTGATCCGAGCCATGTGCAGGCGCAGGGAACTCGGAAGAGGAGGCCTAGGAGAAGCGATTTAGGAGGACAATTGGGGGGTGTTAACTACGAAGTGAAAACTCGTCTAAGGACGAGAAAGTCTCAAGCAGGGCTTTAACTGTGAAATCGCTGATCAGTATATATTTAATCTGAAAATGCTATGGATGTATGGTGTATAATTTTTGAGCAGGAACCTCAAGTAAGGACTTAACCTTCTTGAGTGTGTTCTGTTCACTTCAGTGATTTTCAAATTAAGCGAGTTCGTATTTAATTATCCTCGGTTTATAGGTTAACTGGTTATTTGAACAGTCTGTTATCTGCTTCCAAAAATATAGAGAATATTAGGAGCTGTAATCATTCTATCGTCCAGTTACTTAACTCGAAGATATTTAATAACTGGGATATTTTTTTGTGTGTGTTTTCTTGTCCAATCAAACGCGTTGGATTTTCTAACCAAATCTATTTTCTTCAACGATCATAACTGTTAATGACAAAATATCACTATGCCTAATACAAAAATTGATTTTAAAAATCTACCTGAGTTGTATATTACATGATACATTGAAGGTGTCTCAGTTGACATTCAACTTGTGTGATTGTCTAAAATCAGACAGAGATCATAGGATTAATACTTCTACTTTTACACATTCCAGTAGAGAATATAATTATGTCACGTCAATCTCTTCTTAATGCAAATTCGCTAGCATTGTATTAGGACAGAATGAGAAGGAAAATTAAGTATTGACACAGGTAACTAAAATGTATAAGCTCTCTATTTGAATATGGTGATGTATATCTATGAAGATAATTATTACAATTTTATTGAAAGATCATTATACTTACTGCAATTGTATCTCGCGATATTCACCATGACTAGTCACGCAATTTTTGTTAAAATGTCACAACGAACATTACTTGTGTCACGCGTGGCACAGAAGAAAATTAGCCAAGGACTACTTTACTTCAGATATGTCTTAAGAAGTCCGGTGCTCATCTTAGTTGTCACGCTGACGTTATTCATAAACCTGTCTGATATGATAGTTTGGTTATTTGATGCTTTGAAAAGGTTCTCTGATTCCGACAGGATAGAATTACATTTAACAGAGTTGTTAAGCAACGCCACGTTACCTCCACGTAGTGCTGCTTGAAGTTGTCATTTGATCACGAATTCTGCTATGTCGGTAATCCTGTGAAAAATAAACTGTAATAGTCGCAAAGTTTTGTGATTCTTTTTATTCATCGGGCTGTTATAGTATTCACCTCGCTAGTAAATTGGTTAGCTAATTGAGTTCGGGAAATGTGCGAGAAATCGGCGACATTTCGATACCTCGGAAATCATTCCTCTATCGGAGCAATTCGCTAAGTACTCGGGTGGAATCGCTTTAGCTGATGTCTGACATGTCTGCGTCAATTTTAATTACAGAATATTTCCAAAGAAGATTGGCACTCTGAAGGTGAGTTACTCTTATTATCTGAGTACTTCTGTGGTCATTTGAACATAAACCCGGGCACAGCTAACACTTTCAATAACTCAAGCACTTCATGACATTGTAGTTGAAATGTTACGGTGATTTAGCAAGATTATAAAGCGCGAGCTGAAACCTAAAACTCTACCGAATATTGCTTGTTTGGAAGTCACAGGGAATGCTAAAAGAAAATAGTTGACGTATTGTTAAAGAAAATGTTTTGTGTTAAGACATATAACTTTCAGAACTTTTAACGCAACGGTACGCAATTTTCTGGCGGCGAAGTTTGTTAAAGAACGATCCAAGTTGTGAATATTCTGTTGCGCGGGTTTCGTACTCGCAAGAAATTTCTATGCTTTCTGTTCGTTACAGGAAATTAAGATATTCTTTGCATAAAACTTTGACCCCCAAATATATCTTGGAAGTTTTGGTCTCGCTTTTCATTCAGCGTTTCAAGCAGCAAGAGACAAATTTGCTTATTGGTTAACTGATGAAATTTGATCCTCAAACTTGGCACACGTGCGAAAAAATAAAATAATAATAATAATAATACAGTATTTATATAGCGCTATTTCTATTGCTATTCAATAGCGCTTTACAATTCATTTATAAAAGACATTGATAAAATTTATAAAAACGTAAATATCACTAAAATATGAGTAAAAAACTAGCTAATAAAAAATCTGTAATTATGAGAGTAAAAACTGTGAAACTTATAATAGAACTGATTCACTAACTAATCAACTAACTAACTAACTAGCTGACTAACTAATTAACTAACCAACTAACTAGCGACCTAGCTAACTATAAAATAGCTAATTAACTCGCTAAACTAATTATAAAATTTGTTAAGAAGGTTAATTATAAAATTTGTTAAAAAGGTATGTCTTTATACAGGTCTTAAAGTCTGATAGCGAGCTGCTCTCTTTTATGATGTTCGGAAGAGAGTTCCATAGAGTCGGTGCTACAAAAGAGAAGCACCTGTGACCATAACTTACTAGCTTGACAGGTGGTACTTTAAGTAAGTTTTTGGAGGAGGACCTCAGATTTCTGGTTGGTACATAAGGCTTCAGCAGTTCAGTGATGTAACTAGGGGCTTGTCCGTTGAGCGCTTTGAAAGTCAAAAGTAATATCTTGTAATCTATGCGCTGGCTAACTGGGAGCCAGTGAAGCTGCTTTAAAACAGGTTTGATGTGGTCATACTTTCTTGTACGAGTGACAACACGAGCTGCAGCATTCTGGACATTTTGTAGACGATCTATCAGGAATTTGGGTAAACCATATAGTAGCGAGTTGGTGTTATCTAGCTTAGATGTAATGAACGCATGAACTAGTTTTTCAGTATCTGCTAGAGATAAGCAGTCTCTTATCTTGCTAATGTTTCTAAGATGGAAGAAACAGGCTTTGCAGGTACTGGTAACATGCTTATCTAGTGACATGTGCTCATCAAAGATAACTCCAATGTTCCTTGCAGAGGGAGATGGCTCGATCCGCTCACCAGACACATCAACATAATCTATTGATGGGGGTGGACGGTGTCGTCACTAAGAACAATAGATTCAGCAACTTTTATCTTTGATTTCTGAGTAAAATATGGCATGTGCCTATCCATTTTTTACTTTGAACTGAAAAATTTTTAAACTGTGCCAGTTTAACTAGAGCTTGTTTTTGTGAAAAGACGTAAAATAAATATTCACCGGGTTCCCGGTTCTTCTAAATTTCGATTTATGCGAAGGCACGTGTCCACTCAGGAGTTAATAGGTTCAGTCTGATGATATCGTATTAGTTATTCGATAATGCTCAGATCTTGATTCAGAATTAAAAGAAATTCTAAGAGGTTTATAGAAAGTAATGTGGGAAGGTCATGGCTTGAATATATATCAGAGATGATGCCAGAATAATGAGCTGATCTCATAAAATACGACTCGGGTCGTACACGATGCATGTAGTTTAGAAATTGGTTCATGTAATATTTTGGAAAGTTTGCGGAGAGGATAATGGTTGAACCAGAAACTATGCTACAAATTCTTAGACCTTAATATAGAAAACACATGCCGGATGTTGCAACTTTAGCTGCTGATTAAAATGCAGTTGAAGTAGATCGTGAAAAAATTAATTATAACAAGGCAGTTCAAAATGAGTGCAAGAAGAAGATAATTCTGAATACGTAGAATATGGAACAACTTCATCAGAGCTTTCAATGCTTCTGCAGAGGAAATAAGACATTATTGTGCGAATAAATGAAAAGTTACAGAACGAGTAAGTACATTCATTAATTCATTCATTCATTCATTCAAAACAACGGACACTTAGTTTGTTTTGAATGGACATCTATCTGTCCTGTCACAAGCCGCGCACGTGATACCTTCGATACCTTCGCCAATCATGAGCGAGATTTTGACTTGACTGGCATTTGCTTGTCAGTGACTGAGTATAACGGCCACCTTATGAACAGATTCCGCTCAACTATTCTATCAATTGTTGAAGCGGTTAAGGCATCATCTACGAAGAAAGAAATTTCAGTTTCAGACTGCTTTTCAACAGACTGAAACAACAAAATGGACCAGGCTTCTAAAGAAGAACTGAAACACAAAGAAAAAGGAAAGAAAGCCGAGCGTTCCTGCACGATCTGCAGCAATCATGGAATCCGATCAATGCTAAAAGGTCACAAACGTCATTGTCCGTTCTTGAACTGTCACTGCGTGCTGTGTGTAAAGGGACGCAAAAAAAGAGGTGTTATGAAAAAGCAAGTTCGACTTCGGCGAAAACAGATGAAAGCCATAGAAAACCATAGAACTCCTTGCCTTTCAACTGCTGTCGAACCAATTCAAGGTACGAGACTAAGCCTATGTTGTTTGTCGTTTTACTAAGTGACATTTTTTTCTTTGGTGAAAAACCAAACGTTATCTTGTGTATCTTTATGTCTGGCTGAAGTAGTCGTAGAGTCTCGTTTTCTTAGCTTGGTATTCTTTCAGAGAAACCGTTCATTGACGGAAACGGATGTTATTCAGACGTGCATGGAAAATATTTACGTACTTTGTAGTAGAATTTTTGCAACTTTTTAGTTGTTTTTCTAAGTTGTTTTTCTAGCTTGTTTATTTGAATCTCGGAAAAATGAGAAACTGGTCTTGTTACTTTTTGTTCTTAATGGTTTTATATGATGTAGGAAGTTTCTTTTTGTGCTCTTAAATGTTTTCTTCAGTGTTTTTTATGGATTTCTTGCAAATGAATGAAAGTTTTTGATTAAATTTGCAGTGAGTTTCTCTCCCACGCTCGTGAAAACAGAATCGCCTTTCCATGAAGACCAGAAGACCGTTGACGAAAATGACAAGACGGCAAAAAAAGAAAACGGCGGATTGATTCAGAGCGTGTCCAAAATTTTAAATTCCCAATTCGAGGTCACCAGACAACAGTACCCATTCAACAACAGTGTTTATCTACCTACACCTTACCAGCTCCCATGGAGTGTAGCAGATGTTTACTTGGGTGGTTTCTATCAAAACAGTTGGCTTAGAACTGAACCTGGGACAGCCTCCTGCTACGTGATGGAACCTCTACCCTGCCCTAATTTTACTGTTTCGGACAACAGTGCCTTTGTGAAGTACAATGTTTCCCCAAGAATAGAGAGCAACTCTTTCAAATTTAGTCTCAATTCATCCGCTGAAGCCGCCGCTGTTTTGGCGTCATTTGCAGGAAATCAGAAGCATGGAAAACCGAAATGTGAAAGAAAATACACTTTTGACCCATGCTTGTCCTAACTGAGTACTTTCGCTGCTTTTGGTTCGTGTTAGCTTTATATCTAATTGGACAAATTTAACCACGGTGTTTTTCAGTTCTAATCGGCGTTTACGGATTTCAATCTCGTTAGATATTGTTTCTAAAGAAAGTTACGTCTTGATATTGAATGTTTGTTGACGAAAAGTTTAATTTTTTAGCTATTCTAAAATATGGTTTTCATGAAATGTGAAATTTGCAGTAGTAGGACTTCAGTTATAACTTCCCCTTAGTTCATTATGTAATGTTAACGGCTTTATACCTTTCAATGGATAATCTAATCTTAATTTGAATATTTTTCTAGTCAATTTATTTTACGCTAATATTCTTACACCTTATGAACTCAGTTACTTTTGATATAAATTTGTAAAACGCGTAGAACTTCTTCTTTACGTTGTTTTTAACATGAATGATGATAAAAAAAACTGTTCCAGTTAGTTCCTTCGCGTATTTAAAAGACTATTTTGACACCCGTTGTTGGAAAATTCATGACAGCTGGGTAACTTAGTGTGGCAGAAGAAGCGTTTTTTGTGCGCTCCTAAAGCCATTTCAAGGTTCCTTTCTCGCCTTCAAGAGATGAGGCGATACAGCGTCAGTAGGGCGTCTGTTACAAGTTTTAGAACGTCTACTGCAATGTGATTTAAGTTGAAGCATTCGAATTAATCTTGAGATTGATGATTTCAATCATTGTTGAAATAATTTTCACGTTTAGGTAGCTGATAGCAAGAAGGAAACGTAAAATATCTGTTAAAACATTTCCTTCGTTTTCGAAGTTATATTTTAAGTATGTGTGTAAACTCTTACCGGGCGGACTGTCGCCTGGAAAAGTGACAAGTGGTCATATATTCTCACGGTCACACAGAAATGGTTTTGTACCTCATTACAGATTTATCTTTTGGGCCTCAAGAAATCACTTCCGTCAAAAGGATTGGTTTAATTTTTCTGTCTTGTTTTGCACAAAGAGAACATAGGATTTTCTCTTTCCTGTTTGTGCCAAGCGCTATGAACGACGCGAGCTTTGCAGCAATTTTCGGAATCACTTTTCCAGAAAAGTAATTATGAAAAAAATTATGCGTTCATCAATTTAAAACTCAACCCCGGGGTATAGCGGGGAATTTCAAAGACCATCTTGAGATACGAGGATTTTCCTTTAGCCCTTTAAGTTTAATCCACACTGCTCTCTGCGATATCGAAAATGCGTGCGTGCTGTGAAATCATTGGTCTGCATCCCGGATGCCCTGATATTTTGTCAATAAATTGCTCATGCACGGGGGCAACGCGCGTTAAATCTCCGACGGCATTTTCAGGGGGTCGAGAGATCGAAGGATTATACAGCATTACCTTAAAAGGCACCATTGAAGCACAGACATTAATTCAGTCGTTCAGTTTCTGCCTTTGCATTTTGTTCCCTTCAAGCTTTATGCTGAATTTAATTTAGCAAACAGTTCCGCACCATTGCCACGGCAAATCAAATAAAGATTAATTATATAGATCTTTCGCGTCATGCCTTTGTAACTGCGCAGTAATTTACTTGAGCTGTTATCTCGTGGAAAAGAAGGCAGCTCTTGAATACGTCCAGCCGATGGGTATCCTGCTTTATACATTATGTCGTAGTTTTTATTCATTGGTAACATGACTTTTTGTCGTTCAATGCGGTCGTAAGATTTTTTTCTATTACTCCTATGGTTAATTACTCAACGAATTCACTCAATTCTTTAACCATATATTATTCATTTGATTAAATTGCTCTACTATAAACGGATTAAAGATCCAAAAACTGTCATCACTCAGATTGAGCCGGATTACCGTGCAGTCAGCAATATTTTTTGAATATCAAAAACTAAATGAGCTCCAACATCGTTTAGAATTCTTAAAGTACCACAGTACCTGAAGTGGAAAAAAATTCAGAGGAATACTCTGATTTTTGTGTGAGAAATGAACAGGTGTTGTCGCCGAGTGAAGTAAAAATTATGATGAAATACATGATAAGAATAAAAGTTCACAATTACTTTTTTATTGCGCAAATCCTCAAAGTTTTAAGAGCTTTTCCAATAAATGCTAAAAAAAACTGATCTTAGAAAGGAAACATAGCAGCCGTCTGCGAAAAGTCACAACTAAGAAAGATGACAAAAGTGGCGTTTCATTGAGAACGTTGTTTTTTCATTTTGCAAACTGAATGTCTACATTTCAGTTCGATCTGCAACTTTAAACTTTAAACATAATGATGTTTAGAGAATATTCATAAAGCCGAGTAGGGCGAGAGCGGCAAGCAGTAATCACTGTTTGTCCAAAATCAGAGCAAATGTTTTGATTCCTGGTCCAAATAACAGTCTGGTTGAAATTTAAGAACCGCGCAAACGATACGAAGATGAAAACATTTTATTGAACAAATATCTGTCCGGAGGAATCTGTACGAACGTTTCTAATCAGGTTCGGTTCATGAGAGAAGTAAGTGACTTAACAGAAACTGATGATGAGAATTAAATATTGGAGATGTCCATAGACTGAATGATCATTAGAGTTCAAAACATACACAATCAAGATAATGACATCTATAACTGGAATTTTAATATCTCAATTTTTTTCCTTTTTTCATAAAAGAAACTAAAGCACAGATTGAGCTTAGAAATATTTCAGTTGTAGCTCGTGCGAGAAATACGCGGCTACAGAGAATCTAAGATGGGATACACACAATATGCAATCGAACTAATTACACCCAAATTGTTCAACCAGGAATCCAGGAATACAATTCTTGCGTCAAATCCGACGAAACATCTGTTTGATTCTGTGCCTGAAAATAGGCTGTCACAGAAAGGTAAAGGGCTAAGAAACCGGTATATAAAGGAAGGAAGAGTGAACTATAAGTTATGAAAATTTGATAACTTGAACAGTGTGTAAAGAAGAGAACTAAAACTAGGAGAACAGGAAAGTGAGAGGGAAGATCTTAACAAAGGTTTGGGAAGCTAGGAGCAACAACTTAATGGTTGTGTAAGTAATCTGAGAGAACCTTGTGCGGGGAAGAGAGGTATATAACTTAAAGCGCTCAATAATCTAAAGAATTGTTGATCCTAACTTTTCTAATGGTGCAAATTTGTCAGAATATGGAAGAGTCAAACTGGCAGTAACAACCTCATGATTCAATCTTCATTCTGGTTTAACCTTTTTTAAACCAATTTGCAAGGATAGTTATGAGAAAATCTTAGCACTTTCAGGTCTCTGAATTATAGTTTGTTTCGACTGAAAGGAAGAAAGAGGTGTTTTTGGGTTCATACGTCTCTATTTTTATGAATTTTAGAAAGGATGTCCAGTGGAAAAAAAATTTCTGGAAATCGGAAATTGTGCGTAGTACAGCTTTCCAAAAAATGTAAATCGTTGTAGTGAATAAACCATCCGCTTAAGCCTTTTATTACTGATATTCAAGACCTAAAAAAATCGTTTATTTTTCTAGTTGTCTTTACTTTCTCGTTTATATTTTCTGTATGGTTTTCATTCAATGTAAATTACTGGTTCGATTCATCTTTCAAACGACTGGGACCAGATGAGCAAAAACTAAAAGCTTAAAATTCTAGAAATTCAAAGGAGCGTGTTTTAGATTACTCGCTTTCAGCTCGTGGCCCATAAACTTCTCTCTTGTTTCCCAGCATCGCAAGCAGGAACGTCGTTTAGTATATGGAATTAAAATCTTGCAAGTTAAAACCTATCATTTTTATTTTAAATTTTTGACACTTACTACTTTTGATCTACAGATCAGCTAGTGATAAAACATGCTCTGTGGTGTGCTTGACCTGAGCTGATAAGAGCAAGGGCTTACAGGAAGGTGGATGATATTTCTAGTCCCGAACACACCTAACGGGTAAATGTTCTTTCCTTACCTCTTGCATGAGCTACCCAAAGTTTTTTTTTTTAAGTAAAAAAGGAGAAGCTCCTGTTTTTGAAAGATCTTAGGTTTGTTGATTTATTTGGACACTGTGCCATTTTAGTGATAACAAAATTTGTTCAGCTCTCAGTTATTCATCCATGTAGTTTTAAATTGGTCAATCAAAGATATCCGCTAATCGCTCTGGGCACAATCATTGTGCAGAAAAGAGATTTTTGACGAGTTTGGTCAATATGTGATAAATTTTACTTAATAATAATAACAATCATAACCATAATTATAACCACAACAAGATCCAAGTCTAAAACTCATCTAATGATGGCAATATTGGTCAAACCACGGTCGTTCCCGGTCTTATCAGAGCGCGAAGCAAACGGTCAAGAACTAGCGCGGAGCTCGAGAGGCAACAAAATCCATTCTTAAAATGAATGATTATTGTGGTATTTTTCTATTCCAGCTTCCAACAGACTACTTCTTATGGAGGAACCACAACAAGTGTCCGGGCTCTCCTCCGTTAATCAATCTTTCAGTCTCCTAAACATGATAGACTTACCTAGCACACCTTGGAGTTTCGTGTTCCCACCAGCAGGTTTCACCACTAAACTAATTACAATTTTACTCCTCGCATCAACTGGAATTGTCGGGTTTTTGGGCAACAGTCTTATCTACTACTTTGTGTCGAAAAAGAACCACTCAGTTTCATATCTGTAATTTAATCCATTCGAACGAAATTTAAGGATTTACATTAAGAGTTTAGCTCTTTCAGATCTGTTTTCTTGTGCGATTTCAATACCTTTAGCCTGTATTCAGGTCACATTTTATCCACCTCAACATGCCTGGTCTTGCAAAGTACTTCGATTTTTAAACGTATTGTTTCCATCCATAACATTGAAAAATATAACTGTAATAAGCATAGAGAGATATTTATCAACCCGCGCTATTCCTCGCAGTTTAAGTATCTCTACTGTTCGTAAACTAGTGTCTGCTGCATGGATTCTGGGTTTTATCACGGCATTGATCCCTGCAACAATAATGACTAATGTTAAATATGACCTGAGCGACAAACATTACACAACTATTTGTACGACTGATATCAGCTCTTTACCTTTTAAAATAATCGCTGGGAGTTCATTAACAATGATGCACCTGTTACCAAGCCTGATAATCGTTTATCTTAACACGTCCGTTGCAAAGACCTTGTGGGTTAGACATGGGAAAAAAGTAGATATCCTGAAAGAGAACGCTATCAGAGCAAGTGCGAGGGCTGCCACAGTACGAGGAACATGTCTTCTTATTTCTTTTTCATGTGCTTTCGTCGTTCCATTTTCCATATCGTGTTATTATGGGGTGTATGTTAAGATGACCAGGCCCTCACTTGATTTCCAAACAGATTATGTAACAAAGAGTATTGGTAGTGTTCTTATGTTTTCAAACAGCGTCATAAACTTTATTTTATACATGCTGCAAATGAAACACTTCCGCAATTTTGTAAGGAAGTTGATTTACTGTCATGGCAATAACGCTCGTGGCCAAAACTCAGCTAGTGAAAGCTTTGAACTCAATCGCCGTCACAGCCAATAAAAGGCTCACAGTCTTAGGGTCTCTAACAAATCGGCATTTAAAGTATATGGCACTAACCTTTAACAGAAATATACACCCCGCTTTCTCTTAGATAGGATTTTTGAGGAATAAATCCAGATGAAGAGTAATCAAAAGCAGCGCCTTACCACTAAAATGTAATACACATTTGATTTAGATTGGGACCTGAGAAATTCACCCATGAATTGGACAGGACTAGACTGTTCGTGATACGTCTGGTCACCGCGCCACAAAATCAAATGCAAGATTTAAGCTTAAAGCGACTTGGTCTCTAGCGTTTGAGTCGTTTGCATGCGTTAAAGTCGTTTTCTCTAGGGCTCCTATGATTTGTATTTATTTGTATTCTGTTGGCCTTTTTGTTACTTTGGTTTTAGTTTAACGAAACTTAATCGAAAATCGCTTTACTCATGTGCCCTTGCTGGAGTGAAATTTTTCGAATTTTAACGATAAAACATAAATAAATAGAAAATAATCAAGATTGAGAATCATAGCTACCTCAAGATATATAATTCACCGATTTCATATCTGATAGATATGCATAAGAACTGTCTACAACAGGTTGAAGAATACTTGGTTTTAAAGAAGATAGGAATATAGTTTAACAACAATAAACTTGAAACAATCGATGATTTAAACTGTGCCGATTTATCTTTTTTAATTCTGCGAACACACAATAATTCCTAGTCATTTGTAAAACAGTTCATTGTGTACATTGCTTCAATCAGTCTCGAGAGACTGAGTGAGAGAAAGAGGCAATGGTCAACGATGGAAAAAGGATGGTGAATAGTAAACTGATTCTAAATCTTTTCGATGAACAAATCACAACATGTTTCTTTCTGGATGGTTATCACGGAATAAACCAAATACGAGTTAAAACCATAAATTACATTGAGCAAACTTACATTTTAATTGTTGAAATACTAGTTATGAATTATAATTTTGTTTTTTGCCATATACATGTAAGTTTTCACTTTTCTCCCAAATTAATTTAATCTTGTGTCCTCTTTTATTCCTTCATAAACCTCACTTCATTTTTTACGGTTTAATTTCAACCTGGTCTGAAAAGTAGAAATTAAAAGGATTCTAAAGCAACAGGTGCAACCTTCCAGGATTGTTTATTTCCATTGTTAAGAGAAGCTAAACGGCCACAGTACATCGCTGAATGGCTCTACTTTAAACAGAAAATGGACGGTTGAAAAATGACTCTTTCCTCTAAGGGAAGAGGAAAAGGGAAAATGAACAACTCAGCTTTGCAACAACGAGTGGCAAAAGTCTTGGCATGCTCTACAAAATTTTTTTGAAATTTTGTATTACTTTCATTGACCTTTGCCTCTCATCCATTCCAATGTCACATGATGTTAACAAAATGCTCACTACTTTTCTACACTGTTTGGGGGATGAGGGGACTTTTAAGACATTTATTAGAGATGAATTCAAAGATTCAGGCCTATTTATTATATGTTGAGTGGAAGGTTGGCAACCAACGAGTAACAGGAAGGAGGTCAACTACTTTAGCCACTCACTGAAGCTCTTGGTAATGTTAAAAATAGCACAGTGAAAACACAATTAAAGAAAACCTCCACACAGAGGACAGGTTCTTGTTCAATTATCAAAAACAACCTTTCAATAAAATTTTGTTGGTATATAAGTGAGTAACATCCAAATTTTGGAATTTGTGCATTACCATTTAACACCATGGAATGTGCTATTACTATCTGCATGATCCTCTGGGGCTCTAGCAAACTGAAGGAATATCGTTTTGTGATAATAGTAGCAACTTTTAGAGGTCATATGATACAAAATGGCATCTAGAGGGAAATACATTCAAACATCAATATTGCTTGTATTTGTTTCCAGTTTTTGTACATTTCAGTGCTTGCTTCCCATTAGTTCTAAAAAAACCTTCATATTACTTCACATTTCAAGACATTTTTGTCAGTTTCACAGCAACTTGTCCCAGCAGTGGAGGTTTCCTTTATTATTCAATCTGTTGTCCTCATCTCAAGGTCAACCTCAGCCTGCAAATACAGCCACCTTCCTACATACAGTTACAGGGAATAATTATCCAAGCAAATCCAAGAAACGTGACTGCATTCCTAAGACAGGGAACCATTTCTTCACAGTAAAATTTTTTCTGACATTTAATTAGGCTCTGAATTAACTGCTGTTGATCTTGTAATATCATAGTAACAACAGAGTCAGAAAAAAGGCCTCCCTTCAAAATGTTAAACATGTAACAAAGCACACACTTCAGCCTTACTTTCCCTTTGCTATTCATTTAACATAAACTATCAAACTGCCTCCCTCACCTCCACTTATTAAATGACAGGGAGGTAGGCACGACTGTAATAACTTAAGATTTTTTAGCTTTGCCAGCAGCCTGTGGTGACCCATTTGTTTTTTCATATTCGTCAGCTTCCATTTCATCACTTTCCTCAACAAAAGTTTCCTCTTTCTTCTTCTTGTCACTGTCCTTCTTGCTCTTCTTCTTGGTATCTTTCTTCTTGGAGGGTGTGGCAGCACTGACACGTTCACGCCACAGCTTGATCTGATAGCAGATGAAGTTCCATGCCAGCCAGGCTTGCATCAGTATAACTGCAGCCATAGCAGTGAGTCTGAAATACAATTGGATTATGACTTAGAAAAATTTCCAGTTTATTTTTTTTTTTTTAACCGAGTGATTGGTCCCAAAAAACTTACAGCACCCTCTCAGCCAATCAGAGCAAAACTAAACCAATCATGACTTTGCCACTCACATTTTCCTGAATTTTAGATGGTTGCCTTGTTGTTTTTCTAGTTGACATCTTATTGTCATCAGCATCTCTCACCTTTCCTTTGTTTACATTGTAAACAACGTTATCTTTTTTTGTTACTGCACAAGGGTATGTTTTGTTCCCTTTGGTGTAGTGACCTTGCATTCAGCTACAACTGTTAAAAGAGTAATGTCTTGTCCTTTTGGGATAAGTGATTAGAAGCCCTCATTATTATAGTTTTGACATGAATATTCCTGTGCCCACATGAAAGTTTGAGGCCTTGAGCAAGGCAAGCTTGTGAGAAGGCTGATATTAGTGCCAGACCCTTTTGCAGACCTCTTGCTGGCTTGTTTATGCCCCAGTGCTATTGATGAGAGTCTACTTACATGCTAGACAAGTGACCACAAAATAGGTAACTGAGGTATCTGCGATGAAACATGATAGTTTTCTCACCTTATTGGAGGACTGTTAAAGTTTCCAACATCCACATTTAGACCAGCATTGTCCAGACGGGGAAGTCCATACCTGTTTTATAAAAAGGAAACAATGTATAAGATTGTTTAGCTTATCAAAGGGACTTAAAGTGAATGCCACATACCACTGACAACCATTGATATAAAAATATCTATTTTATGAAATTGTTTAAATCCAATAAAATTGATGAAAATAACAACATGGTTATTACATACCAGAAAGTCATAACAGTAAGGGCAATAATGGCAAAGCGGGTAATTGCAAATAGGACAGTCCACACCCAGAACCTAAAATGAAAAAATTACTGAATATTATTGTGGCCAGTAAACACAGACATGAATCTTGTTTCAAATTGGGGATACAATAGAGTTTTCCTATAATAAAAGAAAAGACATTGACAAATGTAATCCATATTTTTATGAACAGTTACTTCAATTGTGAAATAACACCACACCAGCTGATGTTATTTTAATGGTTGTTGTGCCATATTGTGTAACTATCCAAATTAATGCATTTGAGACTGGGGCAGAGTCCCTTTGTTGTTTTTCTAGGGCCTCTGCACCTGGGAGGGAAAGGAATCTAATAGGGGAGGGGGTAGCCTGGGAGGGAAGGAGGTAACCCTCAATGGACAATTTACTATGGGAGGGGGGGAAGGGGGGCACATAGCAGTACTCCTGTAGGATAGATGTGTGTCAGTCTCAGCTGCACAGGACAACTTACCTAACATCTTAAAATGATAAGAAGATCGTTCTACTAAAAGCAAGAAATAATTTAGGACAGAATTGTGTTTAACTTACAAGCTTTGAGCCACATCTGCCTTTCCACTGATGTTTAACATTCTTATTCCATGATAGAGAGTCTCTACTGCATAATGAACAACCAAGCAGCACAGGGTGACACGGGTGAAGCTGTCGACAATATGAACAAATTATTATTGCATTTTGTTGCAACTTTCTGGCCCACAAATATTCTCAACAAGTATGGTCATGGAACACTAAATCAAATACAAATCAATTTACAAGGCAATTCTCAAACCTCTCAGTATTATATAAAACATATACCATTAATAATTAATAAACAAAGTCTTACTTCAGCATGTAGGCGGCCCAGATGAATAGCAGATATTCAATGTACAACTGAACTTTGGGGAAAATTTCTTCCTGCAAAGAAAAACAAGAAATGAGCTCCAAGCTCAAAACTGACCTTCCCTCTTGTTCTATTTCCAAACGTGATGCTATTGACATTCCTGATCTTAGCAGTATGCTGGACACAAGTCATATGAACTTTGTAATAGACCTGGCCCAGAGTCTCTGTGGCTCAGTGGTAGAACATCAGAGTATGGAATCCAAAGCTTCGAGGTTAAATTCCTTATGGGTACTCAGAATTTTTTCTTTGTCCCACGCTTGTGGCAAGACAAAAAGCATCTTTCTCTATTTCTTTACTGAGCTCAAAACTTACCATCTCTTTTACTCCATGTTCACTACTCTATGTGAGAAGTGTGTAGGTTCTTTATTGTAGTAATACTGTATTAAGCCATTGATTCTTACCCTTTTTGCTCTTGTGAAGTAGAGCTCTGGAAAGCAGTGCACCCAAAAAGAAATTTGAAGGATGAAATAGAACTTGAGAGTGAATCTAGTGGAAAATGATCATTTAAAACAACTGTGTCAATAAATGAATAAGCTTTGAGCTGCCTAACAAAGACTGGGTTGGAAAACTTCATGGGCACAGCTGTTTAATCTATTCTTATGTGATATAAGTAACCAATTTTTAAAATTCATCTCAAGATAATTTCTAACTTTCAGGCAAAAAAGTGCAAGATACACAGGTAAATTATTTAGGAGGACAAGAAAAATTATGTGAACTTACGACATTTCATTGTGTGGATAGCCGTCCCAAAGCTTTGAAATATTTGGAATAAATCCTTCCTAAAATAGAAAAGTAAAGTAAAAAAGATTGGACCATAAATTCAGTTAATTCCTTGCTTGGAAGTGATTAAACGAATATGGCCTACGCACTTGGAAAAAATGTCCACTACATTTGTCTCATGAATTTTTTATTGTTGTTTTGGGTGTTTGGGAAATGGTGGTTATAAATGAGACACAAATTTAAAGAAAGAGGCTTCCCACAAGAATTAACCAGATTAAAGTAATTTTTCACATGAATAAAATTTTAATGGGGAATAAACAGCCAATAAAAGGCTTGCGCAAAAAGCCTCTGTGAATGGTGATCAAAAAAAAAACTTGTCTACTAACCAGTAATGGCCAAAGGAAGGACTTCACCTGCCTTGTACGTCTTAAACATTATAGTCAATATCTCATTTATTCAAAAGTTTTCTCTTTTCTAGCAAAATAGAAATACAACATGTTGGAAACTTCCCTAAATCTGCCACAGATCTTTCCACACTATAAAAACATTTTACCTTCACCACAATATCTGCTCCCCAAGCAGCAAAGAAGAAATAGAAAGGAAGTAATGTTCCAGAATCATTGAATTTTGTATTCTTTGTCTTTGATAGACGAAGTTTTCGAGAGACTTTCTGCAACCAGAAAAGCAGAGAAACAAAGGTTAGTCAATAATAACTTTAATTCTTCACAAGAACAAAAATATTATAATTAAGGTAAAGATTTGCTCACATCCCAGACATATTCCTGGATGATTGCATGCACCACAATCCATGCCATTGAATAAAAGAAAATGGTGCAGAAATCCTTTGGTCCATTTGTGTATTTGGTTGGCAAGTCTTCTGTTCCTAAAGGATGGAATAATTTACAAATCAAATACACAAATATCAAGATCTCCATACACTTCATCATAATGAATCATGCAAATGTATAAAAATACCCTAAATTTTGAAAGTGTTTTACTTCTTTTTGCATTTCTTAAAATCTTTTAATCTAGTAATTATATCAGAGGATCATAAATAAAAGTAACAACTGTTAATGTAATTATTTGGTATTGAGATCAAAGCAAAGCAGATGTAAAATATTTTATATTGTTGTTATAAAAACATAGAACTATGTTTCTTCTCCCTAAACACTATGGGCTTGTTTCCTATAAAATAAGGGTGGGGAGGGGAGGGAGCAGGTAAGTCGCTAATGAAACTGTGGTGCTGAGTTGATAGGAGAGTATTACAAGATAATTTGGTTCTTTCAACTGAGTTGATATCATAAATGGCTACTGTAAAGATATGTTTGCTTTGACAAAGAGGTAACATTTGAAATGTCAGTTTAAGAAACTCTCGACAGTGGCCAATTTCCATTAACAACTTGGTTGATAAAATCTAGTTATCTCCTTTCCTATAGGCCTGGTTTGCAAAATATACATAATTATTTTAAAGACAAACTTTTGGTCAACCATAAAGTATATAATAACATAAAAAAATTTAGAAGATAAATTAACAGTCTGTAAGATTGTGTTTAAATTGTCAACACAGTACAGGTGTATTGAGGACCATACAGATTTTGAGATGTGTAAAAACTGGAGATAAAAAATTGAAGGAATTATTCAACCTAAACAGAAGTTTTATTTTTGAAGAAGATTTTTATGGAAAACGACACTAAAAAGATTTGAATGTACAATTTTCTGTAGAAAAAAGAGCATTTACAACGAAGTTGTATCGTTCCATTGTCTCCTTAAAGTGACCAATCAAATATGCACACGACAGCTTAGGATTGAACCTACAAGGTAAGGGTAATAATTGATGAAGCTTTTGAAAGAAAGGAAGATCCTAATTTAGCAGTCGAATAGCAGTTAAAGGATAGTGATGTACACTTGATTTATGCCCCAGGACAAGGAAAATACCACTAAGTATTAGCTACATGCAGTTCACGTGCTGTTAACTGTCGCTTGTCTCCCAAACGGATGCAGTTAATTGAATTTTTTAAACGTAAAACACATGGAAATTTTTTATTTCTACGTACCGTTAAGAGTTCTCGACACATTATGTTGAGGCGCGATAAAAACTGACGCCACTTTGGATGTTGCCTGGTAAGACGGAACCAGAAGAAAAAAATTCAAATTTAGCTGATTGAGAAAGAACAATTCAATTATCTTGCGCGAGATGGTTGGCGAGAAAACTTACGATTATTTTACCTGGAACATCAGCCCGATCATGAAAACCATACATATACAGGAGACTATATCTCCATGATTTGTTATCACAAATTCATGGCTAAGAATCGGGGCATTTTTGCCCGATTTTCGCCGGCTTGGCATATTCTTCGTGTCTAAAGAAAAACAGCCGAGAAGAAAAGAAAGAATAAAGAGTGGTTTCCAAGCTCTGAACGCATTTCCTCTCGTACCCAGTGCATCATCCGGACAAGTCACATTGGAAGTGGGGAGGAGAAGGGAAGTAACCGGGTACCACCCACTGAAAGGAGTAAATGCAGATAGATTCTAGATAGCTCTGTCTCAAGAAATTGGATGTCGCAAGAATTTTAGAAATTTTGAGGATTTCTCGCAAATGATTTTAGCAAGATTATCAGATTACTTTAAAGAGAATTTTTTGTAGTTTGTTCTGTTCTTCTCCTCCCTCTTTCGAAAACCGACCGAACGACAATTTAAGGGCTAACGCTCGGAAAGTCAGCCTTTAAACTCTTTGCAGTGGCTAATTTACGTTTTCAACTCAGTTATTAACACTAAATTACCTAAACGATAATTTATTCTGTTGTTATGCCTAATTTTGACTAAGACGTTCAAAATTTAATACAGATACGTCAGCAATGTTTCACTTCTCAGGTCAGCTAGAAAATGGTTTGCCTATCGGGGGAAAACAGCTCTAGTTTGCGGACAAAATGAACAGGCCATTTTCCCCTTTTTTCGCCAAAGAGGAAAATATTTTAAGATTGGAGGAATCTTTCAGGGATTGTTAGACTTTGTTTTCGAGAAGTATTCAGAGAAAATTTCTCATCCGGATACACCTCACAGAATTTTCCGGTTTTTGTGTTCTAGCTCTCTGACGTTATGTCAATTGTGTGATTTTGTTTTTACCATAAAAGTATCATTTAAGTGTTAAGATCGCCAGCTTGCATGGTAACTTTGACATTAAGCCCCGGATGACTTCCAGTAAGTGTCAGGAAAATTTCAGATCGACCTCACCTGCTCAGTGGTATTTTCTTCAGAATTTCCTGTTGATTATCACCTCAGGGGTTGTCAGCGAACTTTGTAAGGAGAGAGGTGTATAGGCTGATCTCTCAAAGTTGGCTGACAACGCGCACAATATCCTTTTGTTTTACCAGCCAATCACGAAACATCCACACAGGATATTGTTCACGCAATGTTGTATGGCGGCTGGAAAGCCGATCACTCTCAGTTGTTCTTCATGTAAAAACAGTTACCCTGACCAATATATGGATAGTGATCTCTACAGAAGTTAAAATAAATGCCTGAGAAAGAAGTTTTACTGCCATTGGAGTTATGGCGGGTTGTATTAAAGCACCTTTCAGTGCAAGATTTGTGTCGATGTTCGCAAGTTTGCCAAGAATGGAGAGAGCTTGTGAAAAGTTTAGATTCCACCCGTTGGAAAGAACTTTTCTTGGCGTCCAAGCGTTGGAAACATCCTAACTGGCCAAATTACACTCAAAAAGAACCATCTTCATGGAAGGATACATATAAGACTCATTATATGGCTTCGAAACAATGGGTGAACAGGAGTGTAGAAGTTCGCTGTGCTCCTTGCTTATATTTGTTTAGAAGAAGGCTCGAAAGACGACGTGTTCTCCGAGTAGGACGTGGAAGAGAATTTCTGACCATCAAAAGCGCAATAGCAGCTGCAGCGCCTTTTGATTGTTTACTTCTTAATGCTGGTGTGTACGACGAACAGCATGTACTGAGCGTAAAGTTTCCGATCGAGATTTGTGGTGAAGGACAACTAGGAGATGTTCATTTACAGATTCCTATTGAACAACAAGCTTCGACAACACGGATTCAAAATATTATTCTACAACCCGGTGTACAGAGATCACAAAACCCCCTTCCTGTTATTTTGAAGGTCAGTGAAATTTATTTAGATCTAAAGATAATTTCCGCGACATCAGATAATTCCAGCTTCGAATGTCTAGTTTGAGCGGCCAAACCTACTCGGAAATCGCAACTTTCTTCTTTGAACATATTTACTTATCACCGTATATATTTTAAATCTCCATTATAATAAGTTCAAGACCTCCCTATGTTGTGCAGCCAATGTATTACTTATCCCAAAAGCCTGTGTTCATGTTCCCCTTGTACATTTCCAGCTACATTTTTCCTAATAGTGTGAAGGATAGACTTGCCAATCTTTATCTAATACATAAGTGAGAGCATTAAAATAAAGACTTAAAGCAGACCATGAAATTTCTTTGTGTTCGTGTATTTTATATTTCTTAACTTGATAGGCAGGCTACCAATTTGGAAAATACAAACAAAAACATGACACGTCTCAATTCTGACAATTTTTCATTTGGAGCAACAAGGGAATGGAAAATGTCTTTTTAATGTGTTAGTTCCAATTCAGATATGTCTTTACCATGTGTCAAATCTTAATTTTTGCCACGCTTTGTAAATTTTATCGATATTTTAAATTTTGCCTATTAGGAATTTTGAATGTTGCCATGCCAGTTGATGAGTGTAAGAAAACTGAAAAGCTTGTTTTATTAACTGTCCTCTAGATCAAATATGCCACTGAAAAAAGAACATTGAAAATTTTAACCAATTGTTGTTATTGCCATTGGTTGTGATGTTTCAAATTTCAAAACATTTGTCACTGTGCAGATGAAATTTAGCAGAGATGTATGAAATTGAATGTTCACAAAATAATCCAACCCACTGCTTGTGATAATTTTGAAACAACATGATAATGTTTTGCCAAAGGCTAAAATAATGATTATAATTCCATCAATCCTCTCAGTGACAATAGTGTGCATTTACACGGCAGGAAATGTGTGGGGTACTTCAATAAAACTGTGTTTGAAAAGGAAAAACTTTATTGAAAAAGGGTTGAAATTTTTTTCCATTATCAAGTTCTTCAACAGTAGAGAACATTTGATTGATTCTAGAGCTGATCAATCACCATTATAGGCCTTAAAGCCAACACAGCAACAAAAGGTGGGATTATTATTAAAGTTTTCTTCTTTCAAAAAAAATATAAAAATTTCGTATTTGGGATTCTTATCTTTAACATTGTCTATTGATTTTTTTTTTTCTGTATTGAAAACAATAACCTTTTACACAGCTAAAGGTCCTGCTACCTTAGTGTTTGTATGTTACACCAATCAGACTGGGGCTGTTGTCAAAAGCCACTTGAACAGGGTGATTCTTATTCAAATGTTCAGTTTTGTCTTTGTCATTGTTTATGTGACCTTACATATTGAATAAACATGTCAGTTTCTCCTTTACCTTGGGCTAGTGATATTTCAAGGAAAATGGTAATTTTCTGGGCAAAGGTCAAATTGATAGAAGTAATTTGATATCCATGGGTTAAGCTTCTTGCCATCAGGTTGGAAATGAGTTTATCTTTTCCTTAAGTGGATAATAGCATTTGATCCACCAAAACAATTTTACTGTGTCTTCAAAATTTTAGGTTGGAACTGGACATGTTCAATTGGATAATTGTGTTTTGGAACATGGTCAGGTTCAAGTGTCATCACCTGGAAGCATTGTCATCCGTTACTGTACATTCAATAATGCTTTTGTTACACTGCGCTCTGTTGGCTACAGCAGAATTGAGAATTGCAAGTTTAGCACAGAGGAAACCTCTGCTGTCATTATTGAAGGACTGCCACCAATTTCAAGACCTAGGCCGATATCCAGACCTGTTGATGACTGGATGGTGTCCAATGGTATCGACTCTCTTGGTCTTGAAGACTTGTATGACCTGTCAGTTGTTGATGGGGAGGTGGGGGCACGTAGTGGTCTAAAAGCAATTCCTGACAAAGGTTTACAGCCACTAAATAGCAAATGTCCTCCAGTTGTTACAAAGAGGATTGACAGTCAGTCTAAAGGTTTCAATAGCAGCCAATTGACTGCTCTGACTGGTGACACCTGCCAATCCAGAAATCCCCAAAGTGTCGGCTGTGATTCCTGTCCAAGGCGATACTACTTGGATACACAATGCCGTGACATTGTGAGGTCCATACATGGTTGTATTATTAGAAATAACTGCTTTTGTGTTGGCAAGGGAGCAGTACTTGTCAGACGCAGGGGACATGCCTGGATTGAAGGAAATGAAATTGGCCGTTTGTCACATGGTGTGAGATGTCTTACAGGTGCAAAAGTCATCATTTTGAACAACAGAATTCACAATTGTGGAACATCTGGGATATTTTTTAGGGAGAGATCCACTGGTTTAGTTGCTGGAAACCACATTTATGGAAACAAAGAAGCTGGAGCAGACATACGAAGTGGCTCAGATCCAATTTTACAACACAATCATATTCACAGTGGGAAACGATCTGGAGTGGTCATCTTAGATCGTGGCAAAGGTGTCATAAGGGACAATGACATTTATGACAATAAAGAGGCAGGAGTCTATATTCTTTATAGAGGAAATCCCATTGTCAAGTATGTCATCATCACAGTTTGTGTGCTTATAGCAAAATGCATTATCATGTTAACATAGTGAATCATGATAATCTGATGCCCTTTTGGATTACTTTGCAGGCACAACAGAATTTGGGCAGGCCGTGCAGCAGGTGTGGCAGTCACAGAAGAAGGAAGAGGTCACATCCTCTACAATGACATCTGTGGCATGGAGTGGGGAGGTGTTGATATTCGTAATGGTGGTAACCCTGTGGTCACAAACAACTGGATCAGGGATGGGCATGCTGATGGCATTGTCATTGGAGAGGGTGGTAAGGGAGTCATCATGGATAATGATATTCGAGGTAAGGTACTTTTAGTAAATGTCCTCGAAGTAAACATTAAATTTGTTTCTTGGTTGTTTTCTGTTCTTCAACTTGTGAAATCCCTTCCTCCCTCAAGCTTGAAAACTGTGCCCATTTGGGCCAAACATCTTGTGAAGCTTGATAATTCTCTTGATATGATTCATGGGTTTACTTCTGTGTAAGATCCTGTGGATATTTTTTCATCAATATTTATTTCAGTCTGTTACTATGCAAGGCTCTCTTGATTAGACTTCTTTGATGAAAGTGACAAGTTCTTACCAGTATTTGAAGGATGAGCTAAATTTGTTTTTTATGTATGATACTTTTATTAGTAATGTTTAGGAGCAAATTGTGATTTGCATCCTCTGTATGAACTAAAAAATACCTGTCAAATTTTCTCACCAATGGTAATGTATCTCTTTACAATGTACAGGCAACAGTGGTTGTGGGGTCTGGATCTTAACTGTGTCTAAACCACTCATCTATGGAAATCGTATTGTGGACTGCGGTGACAGTGGAGTGGCACTTGTCAGTAACAGTGATCTTCACCATGACAACCAACAACTCAGCTCACAATTTGCACAGTCAGAGCAAGAGGTGAGATGTAAAGGGAAATTACCTAGTTGCTCAAACACAGGAGTTATATTATTGGAAGGCAATTGTAACAAAATTGACATCATATCTTCTCAAATTAAGATATGCTGCAGGGCCATGGGGTAGGTTGTTATATGAATTTGTCAGTTGGTTCCCTGCCTGAAGAAAAAGAGAACCAATTCTCTCTTTTCAAATGACCTCATGACTATCCTTGAGGAACTGGTTAGTCAGAATTCTTTGTTGGTCAGTAAGTCAGTCAGTTTGAAGGCTGGTCCATCAGCTCACATGATATTTTTAGCCAAGACTTGCTGAAGGATAACATTGTTTTCCAGGAACAGCAAGTTCAGCCTCTGTTCTTTGATGAAGATTTGTCATCTACATCAAACTTTGAGGACCATGAGCAATCAATTGACATGAACGGTTAGTAAACTAAACAACTTCAGTGGAGATGAGTTTCATTTTGATGCACTGATTAGGTGCCTTTTAAACTCACATTGCCAACTTGTGGCAATCTAAGGTGTGGCTGTCACCTCTGTATCATGGATTAATTTGTAATTAAAGAATTTTCCTCTCTCTTGCAAAAGGTTACCTTTTTGATAAGGCTTCAAAAAATAAACTTGCTTCTAGGTCTTTTATGATGAAAGGATGACTGGTTTTAAGTTAATCCCAAATTTTAGTTTCATGATGTATTTGATGAAATTATGATTTCGTTACACAATACCGCTGACGTGTATTGGAGCACCTCCACGCGTGTCAAATGCTTGTAATGCGTGGGAATCACACGCGCTTCAGTGCATGTAGTCATGCGCGTGCAAAAGAAAAAGTACATAGAGTGTACGCAAATGCGTGGAATTTAATTCGTGTGTTCCCGATCATTAGAAGACAAGGAGAAACACAATGCCTGCACACCAGCACTCTTGTCAACTGTTGTAATAGTTTCTACATCACCGAGATGTAATGTCTTTTTTTAAAATGATCTTCTTATGATTTCTGGTCTTTGTTGACTGAACAATTTTTTTTAATTTTACCAGGTCCTCGACCAGATAAAAATTTCGCGTGCGTTGATAATAACACAATCTTTGACAATGCAGGACATGGGATCCATTTTTCCGGAAGTGAGGGTCTGCTCATCCGGGGTAATAACGTTTATAACAACGAAGGTTGCGGTATTAGCATCGCCAAGCCAGCGGAGATTACCATTCAAGATAACAGTGTTTGTAGGAACAACAGCTCAGGTGTCTGCATTGAAATTGGCTGTGCTGCCAATGTCAGCGGTAATGGTATCTATGGAAACCGAAAGCATGGTATTATTGTGTCTGGTAAAGGTCTAATTAAAGAAAATGACGTGTTTTGTAATGCAATGAGTGGTGTTGAACTCCGAGGACCAGGGGACCCTTACATTACTCGAAACCGCATCCAATCCACGGATAACTATGGGGTGAATATTCTGGAAAATGCGCGTGGGTACGTGGACAGCAATGATATCTATCAGTGCACTTCGCCAGGAATATATCAACACCCAGACAGCACAGTGCTGGTTATAAATAACCGTATTATTCCAGTTAATAATGGCCGTCAAGTCTGTGTTTTTAACCAAGATACCAATGAATGTAGTCATAACCCCGAGGGACTTGAACTGGATTCACCTCCTCGCCCCTTGTTGCCTAATAAGGAGAACAAATTTCCCAGGCCTCCCGTGTCTCGTTTGTCAATGTCATCCTCTGGAAATGGTCATATAGTGGCTGGGATGGCCTCGTGTCATGGACGGAGCCGGTTTTGTGTCATTTCTTGATGAACATTTTCCCTCGGGGGAATAGAACGTACGTAAGATTTTCCGCAACAAGCCATAGTATATTGTATAAAATCTAGTGTATTGTTTATACTAGATTGTAGGTAGTATATTTTCTAGAAAAAATATCATAGTAGCTAATTTAGTTGTTGTTCCGTGAACGTATAGACTGGTTTACAGCTTAGGTAGGGAACCTCGATCATAATAGAAATTCCTCGTCGACTCATCGTACCTTCCTCTTACAAGACTTTCGGTGATCTTCGCCACCTCCTGCACATTCATTCACTGAGTGTATTATAACTGATAAATTGTTAAGTTAACTTTAATAGACAGTTGTCTCTACTTTTCTTATGTGTGAAGCTTTTCAATCAATTATGTTAACTTCGACAACGCAGTTTATCCCCTGTGCTTCTCATAAGGCTTTACAAGTAAAAAATAAATGATGGAGTAATAAATATTATTGAGGAGTAAGAATAAATAAAATCTTGCTTGTAAACAACGTAAAGGTGGCATACGTTTAAAATTTTGCAAAGCTATGGGTGAACCTTTATTACTGTAACTTAATCCGTTGATAAAGGACGAACTTTTTTCCGTTGAGATTCCAGTTGAGATTCTGCTCTCCAGGTATAACCAACCTACATGTACAGCTCGGTGGATCCGAATCAGAATGTATTAACATGGCTTCCCGTGTGCACATTTAGAAAACAGAAAATAAGGGAAGAAAAAAGATAAGTTAGAAGCTCGTGTTTCCACTAAAGATCGTTACAGTCATTGAAATTACCCAAGCTATCCAGTCCAGTTAAAAAAATTGTGTAAATTGCATGAAAGCTGTTTAAATGAAGGGGGCATATTCTCTAATGACCATCGATTTCTGCGAACAATTCCGCTCTCTGCGCCTGCGAGATGAAAATCTAGCAAAGCTTCAGTTACTAAATGATTATGAACGTCTGCCGAACAAAAAAATGCCGTACTCTTAGATTGTCATTCGCGCAAATCGCCAAGCTAGGGTAAATCAAATTCCAAAATTACCCCATTCAGACTCACCTGATTCGCTTGTAATTAACCGCTTACATGCGAATTTAATTAGCATCAAATTAGCGCATACAAGCGGTCAAAGTAGGGCCTATTTACCTCTCTGTGGTGAACGGGAGACCCTTAGCACGAAATTGGATAGATTCTCAGTCTCAGGGTCCATCATTTTTTTTCGCCAGAAGGAACTTGGGGACCAAAACACCGGAAATAAGATCGTCATGCAGTCGAGGCTTGAAATTTACACGGCGCCGCAGAGGGGAACTTTTCAGCGAAAATAATGAAATAATTCCCTGAGGATGGAAGCTCGTTTCTGGCCGTTTAATCGTTGTTTCTCGATGTTTTAGGCTTTAAGAAATCTGGATGAGATCGTTATGCCATCTCTTGAGAACTATATTCAGAAGATTCATAAAAAGCTGAACAATGAAGGACTCGAAGAACGAAAGGTAAACTTGTCTTTATGTATATTGTTACCTGCATGTTGTGGATTTAGCAGAATTGTATTAATTCCTGTCCCTAAATATGCTTCTTATTTTTCTTGTAAGATAAGTGATTTAGCTAAAACTTATACTACATTGAATTGCCTGCCTTGATTAATTTTCGCTTCAATTTGTAGATAAAAAAATATCTTGAAGAACTTGATCGGCTACCAATCACTCTGGATGTTTTGAAGGTAAGTTTCTTCGTAATTTGCATTTTATTTAATTTCCATTATCTCTAAAGATTTAAGCGATCATGTGGAGCCTGAGAAACTTTTCCATGTGTGAACTATTTGAAGAGTAGAAATATCGAATTATATGCTACCTTTTGTTTGTTTTTTCTTAGAGAAAGGAAGCTTTTAAATTGAATTATCATTTGATTACAGAATGATATGTGAATCTGATCTGTCTCCCTCGTGAAGACAAGATCACGTTTTTTTGTCACGCGTGTAAGCTACTTTTGATCTGTTTTCAATCCATCTGTGAATCTTTTGGAATCTGTGTGATTTTTTCAATCTTTTGTTTCCAACACTTTAAAGTTCTTTCATGTGGTCAGAGTAGGAGAATTTACAATATTATCGACCGAGGGACATGTCTCCAATATGACGTAAAAATAATGATTACGTTAAAAGAATGCTGTGTATCAGTTTCTTAGCAATGATATCTGATGATGACTTGTTCAAAAATATTTCCATGTCTTTTCTCTTAAAAGTCAACTGGGATTGGAAGGGCTGTGAATCGTCTCCGAAAACGAGGTAGTGACATTGGTGACATTGCTTCCTGTCTTGTGACAAAATGGAAAGATCTTTTGAAACAAGATAAGGACACAAAAATTTCACCACCTGATGTTGATGAAAAAGATGTACTTGCCTCTTGTGGTCCCACAGCAACTGAATCAAAGGTGGATCTTCTCAACAACAAACATCACAAGTCCAATCACAGAAATGGAGAAGTTAACCCAAAGGTACCATCTGAATTATAGTTCTGGGCTCAGTTGACCAAAGGGCAAATAACCCTATCCAACAGATAAATCACAATCCAGTGGACAAGTGTTAAAAATACATGCTGCACTATCCACTGGATAGAGAATTATCTGGTGGATAGCGAAATCCCTGCTTCAAACAATGGGGGCTTGGTGTAAAAGTGTGATTGATCTTAAGCACCAAAAAGTTGCAAGGACTCCTTGAATTCTATAAAATGAACTGTAAGTAATTAAGGCATGAAACAAAGGATGCATGATCTTAAACAGTCGCTGAAAAAAATTTCATTAAGGTTGTCAGCAGCCTGGCCTGGTCTTTGTTATATGAAGCAATCAGGAGTATGTCCTCCCTCCTGGATGGGATGTTAGTACATCAAAGTTTATCTTCTTTCCGTGTTGTGAAGTCTGACTTGTCTCCCAAACATTTTTTACAATAACATGTTTAAAATTCTGTGTAAATTTGACTTAACTTCAGACACGGCCAACACTGCAACTCTGTGATGTATCATTTGGATGTGAACCTGTTAATGTGAAACCAAAGAAAAAACCTTCATCATCAGCTGGTACAGCAACAAAATTGTCATCACATGATGTGAGAACAGACGGACTGGAGCTTCCACCTCTGCCATCATCATTTTCAGTCAACAACTCACTGTTGCCAGATATCCAGCCAACTTATAAACCAACAAGACTACCTGAAGTCTCAGATGGTTCACCTAAAAAGCATAGGGGTATTGAATAAAAGCTGTTATCTTTTTTTCCTGAAATCTCTCATGCTCCTCATTTTCTTCTTATCATTTATTGTTGTCATGACTACATTGTGCCTTAAATTTTGCGTTATCATTCATGTGTAAAGAATAGATCTTCAAACAAGTTGTACTTATCTCATATGTGCAGCCATGAATAATGCCAATCATTTGTTTTACTTGTGCATCTGTTGTAGCTTAAAACAAATCTCAGGTCAACATGATTTTTGCCTGGTGTGATTTCTCTTCCCCTCTATTCTAAGTAGTCAGAATCGTGGCCACTAAAACTTGGTCCAACCAGTTTGAATCATGTTAATCTAACATAATGTTACCCTGCATAATAGTGAGATTTCTGAAATGAGATGTGGATGGTAAATAATTTATGAATTCACTTGTATTTTTCATCCAAGGGAGAGTAACTGGTGAGGTTGATGAGCTTGCACTCATGTCCAGAAAATCACGCACTCAAGTATTCTCTGGACGAAAAGTGGCAACTACTGTTACAAGTTAGTACACCTTGATTTTTATTATTGTTAGCATTGATCATTTTAGTTCCTCTTTCCATGCCAGGAGACCCCTTTATCTCGCTAATTGCCATTCACTTTCATAGACACTCATAATGATTGAAATTGCTTTTTAAATTAAAATTGCCATGAATTATAATTTTTATGATAACTTGTCTTTATACACCCTTTGATCCCTAAGAGTGGCTAGAAACTAATATCTCCTTACGATATCACTCCTGAAGCACACATGAGGGTCATGAGAGTAAAGGAAATGATCATCAACTAAAAGAAGCTCTTGATTGTTTAACAAATTCTCCTTGTCAGCACCTTGGGAAATGTATAGAAAACAGTATGGAGAATATGCATACTGATGTCAGGGTGTAAAGGGTTAATTACAACTGAAACAGTACATAGCATATGAAGTAAATACTGTAAGCAATATTCTACTTTGAGCAAATTTTTCATTCTGAGCAAATTAGGCTTCTTACAATGATTTGAATGCTAGTGAGTTTTTGTTTCATCTCACAGATGTGTCATCTCTGTTTGAGTTGTCAATAAAGAGCTTGATTGAGAACATTGATGGTATGTATTCTCATTCCTGATTTATTTGCGCCATATATCAATTACAAATGATAACAAATTTTTACAAGGCTTTCATCGTTTATTTGCACAAAAATGGATTTGTTCTTTCTTTGATCTCTGTCGTACTCCATCCCAAAGAAGGGATAGATTGTGGCCACCAGAATATAACTATATTTTTCTGTATACCTATCTGTATCTTTCATGGCAGCTGCAGAAATGAAATGTTATCATCATTTGTGTTTTTCCATATTTACTCCAGCTCTCAGTGAAACTGGTGGAGTTCCTTATAATATTCTTCACCCTGTTCTCGAAAGGTAAGGTTTTTTTTGTTCAATCTAGCAATCTAATACAATGCACATATCAAGTATTTTTAAGTCTTCAACATATTTATCAGAAAGACTGCATAGTTATGAATAATGGTTAGACAGTTTGTACATAGGTCACCAAAGTATGCATGTGGCCTGTGTAGTTATCAAGTACGATTATCAATTATTTTAAAATTGATAAAGGATTATTGAACTATAATGCCTCAATTTGAAACATTTTTTTTATAATTCTTGATGTTTACTTTTAAATTTTATGAGATAACCAAGGGATAAATGTGGTGATATTATTTATCATGTGATTTGATTGTATTGATGCCAAGGACAAAATGAGCTTAAGTCATTTTCACTGTTAAAGGAGCAGTCAAATTTCATTTGTGTGGTATATGCTTAGTTTATGAAAACTGATAGGTGAAGTTTGCCATGATATAATTAGCTTGAGTAGAAAAAATCAGTTTGATTAGTCAGCTTCAATCTGTCAATAAAGTAGTTTTGTTCTGTTTGGTTTGTTGGTTAAACACTCAAATGACAAAATCTCCTCACTTGACTCTGATGACATCACCTGCTGTGGTTGTCAAAATGTCTGTCACTATTATTGAAAACAGTCCTTCGCAGGCCTATTGTCACCATGATGATCACACTGTACAATGAACTGACTGTCCTGGGTGCCAATCATTTACTGTTTTGTGGTGTATTTTTTAAGGTGTTCTCCACAGCAACTCTTGCATTTGGAAGAATGCAACCCAGTAAGTGGAAATATTTTGTAGTTTGTTGTGTCAGCTGGGTAATAAATATTAATGAGACCTCTTGAATAAGGTTGTTCATTACAAATTTCCCTTAATAGCTAAAAGTAGACAAGAGTTACTCCTAATTAGCTGAATCTGCAGCTCATTTAATTCAGTTGATTATTTTTGTCCTGCTTGATTAATAATTTTCCTCTTGCTTTGAATATATTTGTATGCTGTATGTGAGTCAACCAGGTACAAGTGAACATCTTGGAAGAGGGAAATGAAGGTAACTTACACCATAAGAGTGAGACTTATGCCTGACATTTGAGAGTCAATTTTTTTTTTCTGCAGTACTTCATTGATGATACTGACCCACTTTGGGAGAGACATTGCTGCAGAGAATTCAAAGGAACAAAACCAAAATCAGGGCAGAGCTGGAGAGAACTGTACATGGTAAGTATTGTGCTGTTACATTATAGTAGCAACAAACCAAACAGTTACAGTGTCTCATTTCTACACTGGTTTCATCTCCATGGTGACACCAGCCTATGAGTTAGCCATCATTAATGCTACCACCTGAACAGTGACACCATGCCTCGGCAGTAATATCAAACCCCTTAAAAAAACATCTATCATGCCCTTGCCCCTTCTATTCCTGCATCAGTGCATGCCTTCAAACAGACAATTTATGGTAACACTGTTTTCCTGACTCTCCTCTGATTGCTGAATCTTAAGAGTTTCACTAGAAGGGTTCTAAAAGTCAGACTGTGTTCACATAATAGAACAGTGTCAACTGAAGGTCTATGTCAAATTTTGTCTCTCCTACAAGCAAAATGAAAGTGAAAGAGAAGTGAGGCTAAAAAAAATACATGCAAAAATAAGTGCCAATCAAGCAGCAAAAACACCTGGTAAGTGAAAATGTTAGCTGTAGGGTAACATGAGGACTTAGCAGAGAAAGACGTAAAACTTTGTTTATGATTATGAAGAAGATCAAAGTTAAAGCACTGGTTACATAGTGAATCACCCAAATCTGTAAATTGAATAGGGCATCAGATGTCTGGTACTACTTGTTGATTGACTACTTTTGGTTGTCTTATAGTTTATGTTAGCCATGAGTTTTACAAAGACATTAGAGTAGAAACCTCAGGGGTCTGGTTGCAGCTGTGTGACAACAATTTTTGGAAAATTTGTCCTTCTTCACAGAACGGCAGATCAAACTTGCCTATGTTGAATCAGAGGCCAAACCTCCTCGGGAGGTGCTAAGAAAGCAGGCTAGATTTGGGACTGGCTCCAGAAATCATGCTGGCAAACATATGGCCCCTCCCATAGCAAGGGCTCCACAGGGACACCAAAGAAACCGCAGTGCTTCACCAACCAAAAAGCATGCATGTATGTATCTGTAATGACAGTATCATATTAACTGAATTCCACTAAATATTTGAAATAAAATCATTATTAATCAACAAATTAAATTACATGATTTTAGTCACACAATTTTGGCGGTTATTACATGTACATGTATGTTAAATAATTTTATTGTGAATGTTCACTTTTAGTACCAGCACCAATGATGAAAAAGACAATGAAACTCTTCAAAAACCAGAGGTTAGTCAATATGTGGAGACATCATGCTTCTGATTTAGACCTACAGGTGTAAAAAAAAAAAGCTTAAGAGACCATCTTGTGATCTTGTGAGACAATAATCTATGTTATACCATGACCACAACAATGATTATTTCATTGTAGACCTCGAAGTGCTAGTATTCCTATGACACTCGTCCTCATGAATTTTCCATAAGGATCTGACCACAAATTGTGTACCCTGGGAGGGGTGGATGGAGACAGGATATTGTGTATTTCTGGGGTATTGGGGGAGTGTTGCAGTGCCCAGTCTTTTTCAGATTTGACATTCAAGAATTAGATTGTAATGAGCTTGTGTCTTAGATTTCAGAGCTTGTATTATTTATTTAAATTCTCTATTTTCCTTTTAGGAGCAGAGCAGCAACCAGCATTAAGCGGAGGTAGCATTTCTGTTACAGTAACAATGATTTCATTTTGATTAGACTGTTTGACTCGTAATCCTCAAACAGTAATAAGGACATTAGATATTTTCTGTGAAATTTTGGTTCTTTTCCTCACTGACTAGCAGTTTAAAGAGAAGTAAGTTCCAGAGGTCATACAATTTCAGTCGCAGCCATTAAGAATTTGATATAATTATTTACCACTAAATGAATATTGAAATTCAAAAGAGTAACTTTACAAGTTCAAAACTGCCTTCGTATGTGCTGAAAGTCTGACTTTGAATTCTGCCTCTGTAAGGTAGGCCTACATAAAGGATTCAGCTTAAGTACTTGTGCTGATTTTTACAGGAAAATCACTATTTGAGTGAGAATGCCACTTTGTGTAGCTTTTTCTTGTTCAATTAGATCCTAAAGAAATGCATTGTGTTGTGCCAAGAAATATTCAAAGTGGCAAGCATTATACTTGGATTTTTAGAACATTTGAGGAAATTTTTGAATGGTTGGCTCAGGTCAGTTGGAATCTAAACATAAAATCAGTGGATTAGTTCCATAAATACTTTTTAAGAGGTGAGATGAAAATGGCTTGGATTCTGGAGCATAAATCCTTCAATAAGGGTGAGGTTATAGACTTAGAAGTAATAAACATGTAACGTCTCCCTATAATATCCATACATTATCCTTCAAACTGGTAATGAGAATATTCAAACTAACCAGATAAAAATTGTTTTCTAGATCTAACACCAAATTTTTATAACTAATTTACAACAAATGTGTAGCAGCTAGTAGGGAAAATTAACAATCAGATCTCTGGAGTTAAATGGTTAAGGTAATTATCATGACATTGAGTATAATTCAGGTATAGGTTAAGCATGTATTGACTGGAGGCAAGTTTAAAATTGTTTTATATTAGTAAACTATTTATTGTTTGCAATTTTGTGTGCAGGGTACGCAATAGTATTTGCCATTTCCTCTATGTTGCTTGTAAAAACTCAGGCAAAGGAAGGGGGAAATTATTGGAAAGAAGGTATTGGGTGACATCAAATACTGAATTCTATCATCAAAGTAGGTGTGAAATAATTTAGTAGGTCCAAATTTTTAATTTATAGGAAGAGAATTGTAAATTCTTGATATAAATTTAAAAAAGGGCAATAGTTTGGTAACAACTCTTAAAAAAGTTGTCAGACAATTCAATTGTGAATTGCATGTCATTAGACTTAGGTGTGATGCAGAATAGTTTACCATGGAATTTGATATGAATCAGCAGATTTAAGAAGATAGGCATTGCTCAAGGCATGTAGGTACTATAGCCTTTTTATGAAATGGTGTAGAATTCCTCTGAATGACCAGATCCATCGTAAAGAATTTAATATTAAAGTCACAAAAAAAAAAACATAGCCTATAGTATTTTGTTAGTGACTCATGTTGTATTTAAGCCTAGTATCCCAATATGACAAGAGTGTGATTTCACCCTCCATCGTTGCCCATTTGTGAAACATTGAAGACATCCCCCAAACAGAGAAACTTCCAACTTCTTGTATCAATTTTGTGTAAGTTTCAAAGTCATACCTATTCTGTGGGCCGAGAAAATCCTCCAAACATATCTAAACAATTCAAAGGATTTGAGGAGTAATTTTCAAAGCGTGATTAGCTGTGCATTGTGGGTAAGTTTTAAAGCTACACCTCTTCCGTAGGCCAAGAAATTCCTCTCTGAATATTAAAACGATGGAATTTTGTTAATGAGGTAGAAAACTCAGTTTAGGTGGTGGACCTGAAAAGGAGTCAAAAGCTCATGAACAAAACTCTCCTTTTCAATATTCACCAGTTTGTGTCTTCCAAATAAAAAGAACAAAATGTGATTTTTCACGTGTTAAGAAGCACGTAATTAACTCTGCTTTGTGTATAAGTTTCAAAGCCACACCTCTTCTGTAGGCCGAGAAAATCCCCTCTCAATATTGAGACAATAGACTTTTGTTAATGAGCTTGAAGAATTGGTTTAAGTCCTGGACCTGAAAAGATGCCAGAAGTTCATTAACAAAATTCTTTTGTTTCAATATTCATACACTGATATCTCAACAACCGTAGGAATTAAAGGAACAATTATTAACGTGTTAGGAAGCACGTGACAGGTTGTGTATTGTGTGCAAAATTAAAGGCCACACCTATTCCAGAGGCTGAGAAAATTCCCTCTGAATATTGAAACAATAGAATTTTGCTAATGAGCTAGAAAACTCGGTTTAGGTCGTGGACCTGATAAAATGCCAGAAGCTCATTTACAAAATTCTTTTGTTTCAATATTCATACACTGATATCTCCGCATTAAATAGGAATTAAGAAATGATTATTAACGTGTTAGAAAGCACGTGATTGGTTGTGTATTGTGTGAAAAATTCAAAGCTACACCTATTCCAGGGGGCCAAGAAAATCTCCTCTGAATATTGAAACAATAGATTTTTTCTTATGAGGTTGAAAAATTGGTTTAGGTCGTTGACCTGATAAGAAGCCAAAGCTCATTAACGAAATTCTTTTGTTTAAATATTTATACGCTTATAACTCAGCATTAAAAAGGAATAAAAGATCAATTAATACCGTGTTAGAAAGAGCGTGTTTAGCTGTGAATGGTGTGTACATTTGAAAGCACCTCCTCCTCCGTGCGCCGAGAAAATCCTCTCTGAATATTGAAACAATACAATTTTGTTAATGAGCTAGAGATATCGGTTTGAGTCGTGGACCTGACAAGATGCAAGAAGCACATTAACAAAATTCTCTTGTTTCAATATTCACCTGCTTATATCTCCCCAATAAAAAGGTATGAAAGAATAATTATTAACGTGTGAGAAAGAGCGTGATAAGCTGTAAATTGTGTGTACGTTTCAAAGTCACATCTCCTCCGTGCGCCTAGAAAATCCTCTTTGAATATTAAAACAAAAGCGTTTTGTTAATGAGCTTGAAAAATCGGTTTGAGTCGTGGACCCGACAAGAGGCCAGAAACTCATTAACAAAATTCTTTTGTTTCAATATTCATACACTGATATCTCAGCAACCGTAGGGATTAGAGGAACAGTTATCTATGTGTTAGAAAGCACGTGATTGGTTGTGTATTGTGTGCTAAATTCAAAGCCACACCTATTCCGGGGACTAAGAAAATCCCCTCTGAATATTGAAACAATAGAATTTTGTTAATGAGCTGGAAAAATCGGTTTAGGTCGTGGACCTGATAAAATTGTTAGAAGCTTATTAACAAAATTCTTTTGTTTCAATATTCATACACTGATATCTCAGCAACTGCAGGGATGAAGGAATAATGATTGACGTGTTAGAAAGCACGTGACTGGTTGTGTATTATGTGCTAAGTTCAAAGCCACACCTATTCCGCGGGAGAGAAAATCCCCTCTGAATATTGAAACAATAGAATTTTGTTAATGAGCTAGAAATATCGGTTTGAGTCGTGGACCCGACATGATACAAGAAGCTCATTGACAAAATTCTTTTGTTTCAATATTCACCTACTTATATCTCCGCGATAAAATTCAACGAAACAATTGATTTTCATGTATTAGGAAGCACTAGATTAGCTGTACTTTGTGTGTAAGTTGCAAAGCCACACCTCTTCTGTAGGCCGAGAAAATCCCCTCTGAATATTAAGACAATAGACTTTTGTTAATGAGCTTGAAAAATTGCTTCAGGTCGTGGACCTGATAACATGCCAGAGGCTCATTAACAAAATTCTTTCGTTTCAATATTCATACGCTGATATATCAGCAGCCATAGGGATTAAAGAAACGATTATTTATTTGTTAGAAAGCACATGATTGGTTGTGAATTGTGTGAAAATTTCAAAGCCCCACCTTTTCCAGGGGCCAAGAAAATTTCCTTTGAATATTAAAACAATAGAATTTTACTGATGAGCTAGAAAATCAGTTTAGGTCGTAGACCTGATTAAATGCCAGAAACTCATTAAAAAAGTTCTTTTGTTTCAATATTCATAGACTGATATCTCAGCAACTGCAGGGATGTAGGAATAATGATTTATGGGTTAGAAAGCACATGATTGGTTGTGTATTGTGTGCAAAATTTAAAGCTACACCTAATCCAGGGGCCGAGAAAATCCCCTCTGAATATTGAAACAATATAATTTTGTTAATGAGCTAGAAAACTCGGTTTAGGTCGTGGACCTGATAAAATGCCAGAAGCTCATTAGCAAAATTCTTTTGTTTAAATATTCATACACTGATATCTCAGCAACTGCAGGGATGTAGGAATAATGATTGATGTGTTAGAAAGCACGTGATTGGTTGTTTATTGTGTGCTAAATTTAAAGCCACACCTATTCATGGGGCCGAGAAAATCTCCTCTGAATATTGAAGCAATAGAATTTTGTAACTGAGGTCCAAAAATTGGTTTAGGTCGTGGACCTGATAAGATGCCAAAAGCTCATTAACGAAATTCTTTTGCTTAAATATTTATACGCCTATAACTCCGCAATAAAAAGGAATGAAAGATTAATTAATAACGTGTTTGGAAAAGCGTGATTAGTTGTGAATGGTGTGAACATTTGAAAGCCACACCTCCTCCGTGCGCCGAGAAAATCCTCTCTGAATATTGAAACAGTAGAACAGTTGTTAATGAGCTAGAAGTATCGGTTTGAGTCATGGACCTGACAAGATGCAAGAGGTCATTAAAAAATTATTTTGTTTCAATATTCGCCCCCTTATATCTTCCCAATAAAAAGGAACGAAACAATGATTTTTTTTTTCATGTGTTAGGAAGCAAGTGATTAGCTGTGCTTTGTATGTAAGTCTCAAAGCCACACCTCTTTTGTGGGCCGAGAAAATCCCCTCTGAATATTAAGAGAATAGACTTTAGTTAATGAGCTTGAAAAATTGGTTTATGTCCTGGACCTGATAAGATGCCAAAATCTCATTAACAAAATTCGTTTATTTCAGTATTCATACACCGATATCTCAGCAACCTTAGGGATTAAAGGAACGATTTTTTATGTATTGGAAAGTACGTGATTGGTTGTGTATTGTGTACTAAATTTATAGCCATACCTTTCCCGGGGGCCAAGAGAATCCCCTCTAAATGTTGAGACAATAGAGTTCTGTCAGGATACTCGGTTTATGTCGCGGACCTGATAAGATGCCAAAAGCTCATTAACGAAATTCTTTCGTTAAAATATTTATACGCTTATAACTCCGCAATAAAAGGAATGAAACAATAATTATTAACGTGTTAGAAAGAGCGTGATTAGCTGTGAATTGTGTGTACGTTTCAAAGCCACATCTCTTCCGTGCGCTAAGAAAATCCTCTTTAAATATTAAAACAAAAGAGTTTTGTTAATGAGCTTAAAAAATCGGTTTAAGCCGTGGACCCGACAAGATGCTAGAAGTTCATTAACAAAATTCTTTTGTTTCGATATTCATACACTGATTCCTCAGCAACTTCAGGGATTTAGGAATAATTATTAATGTGTTAGAAAGCACCTGATTGGTTGTGTATTGTGTGCAAAATTCAAAGCCACACCTATTTCTTGGGTCAAGGAAATCCCCTCTGAGAATTTAGACAACAGATTTTTATTAATGAGGTTGAAAAATTGGTTAAGGTCTTGGACTTGATAAGATGTCAGAAGTTCATCAACAAAATTCTTTTGTTTCAATATTCACAAACTGTTATCTTAGCAACTGCAAGGATTTAGGAATAGTTATTTGTGTTAGAAAGCACGTGATTGCTTGTGCATTGAGTGCAAAATTAAAGCCATACCTGTTCCGGGAGCCGAGAAAATCCCCTCTGAACATTGAAACAATAGAATTTTGTTAATGAGCTGGAAGAATCGGTTTAGGCCGTGGACTTGACAAGATGCCAAAGGCTCATTAACGAAATTCTTTTGTTGAAATATTCATACACGGATATCTACGCATTAAAAAGGAATGAAGAAGTGATGATTTGTGTGTTAGGAAGAGCTTGATTAGCTGTGCATTATGTGTAACTTTGAAAGCCACACCTCTTCTGTGGGCCGAGAAAATCCCCTCTGAATATTGAAACAACAGAATTTTGTTAATGAGCCAGACAACTCGGTTTAGGTCGTGTACCTGATAAGATGCCTTAGGCTCATTTACAAATTTCTTTTGTTTCAATATTCGCAAACTCCTCTCTCCTTAAAAAGGAATATAGGAATGATTATTCGTGTGTTACAAAGCAGGTGATTGCCTGTGCAAGGTGTTTACGTTTCAAATCCACTCCTCTTCTGTGGGCCCAGAAAATCCTTTCTAAATATTAAAACAACATAATTTTTTTAACTAAAAAGCTAGGAAATCATTGAAAAGCTTTCTTGCGCATAGATCTAGATTGCTCTGGGATTCTGTTTCTTTGGTCAAGGAATATTCCCATAACTTCTTTCATTTGATTTAACTTGAAAAAGAAAGGAGGTAAGGGCAGGGATTTTTTCTGTCTTCAGGAGTAAATTTATCAGTCACAACCGTTAAAGGAGTCAAGAATTCAATACTATTTGCTCCAAATAATCGTTTTATGAAAAACATACTTTAATGTATATGATATATTTATTTACATAAATTTTGAAATAAACTCCTAGTAAATACTGTTCACTGGAATGTCTATTGTTATTACACAACAATAAACCTATGACATTTTAATATTGGACAGTAAGTGCTCAATCATTTGCTAAAATGCTAAATTCAACATCAGAGCAGAAAACACCTGCCTGGAACTTCTATTTTGTCAAGAGGATATTGCTCATAGATTATCAAACAGAGTCTCCCAATTCTGTTTGATACTATAAGATACCAAATAGTAAATTGAATGTCTCCCCTCTGAGAAGGTTATTAAGTCTTTATTGTAATTTACTGTATCGTCATTAATACTACTTTATCTCTTTGGGTCCAATAATTCCAAACTTGCTAGTAAAGTAACATGTTTGTCATTTATTTACTCTCTTCATGTTCCACTTGAACTAATTCAAATTGATTTGATTCTAACTGCTTTGTATGCAATCCAGGTAACTTCCCTAAACAGAGTTGTCTTTGTTTTAGGTAATCTTCTTGTAAAAATGAACATTTAATTTTAGAAAAATACAGAGTGATCTTATCACCTTGGACTTTTTGCCTGACTGATTCTTACTTACTGTAAAGGCTCCTAAACATAACATAATAATCATAACAAGAACAAAAAATTGGGATTATCAATCCACAGGGTTTAAGTTCATCTAAAATAAATAAAAAAAGTTTGGCAAGTCAATTTGCCTTCCTGGCTCAAAAAAATAATTAAAACTACATAAGCATCTTTTATTAGGGGGTTTGCAGAGAGTTTCATTGCATGGACATTCATACAGCAGCAAGGTACAGCACACATTTGTCTACCTGGTCCAAAAGAAAGGAAGCTCAAGTTTCTATACACATAATTAACAATTGGTTCATACATCAGCGTGCATTCATCAAGATATGAAGCACACAGAAAGTTTGGAGAGCACGAAAGATGCATGAGAGTTGCTTGAGGTAAAGCTGAGAGCAACTCTAGCTTCTTGAGTGCTCTCTAAACTTCCCAAGTGCTTCATATCTCAATGAATGCACAGCTGATGTATGAACCAATTGATTTATAACATTTTCAACCCAATGGAAAATTTTTTCTTGAGGGATATGTTTGCTGACGTCATGACCATGCACAATAGGAATATGAAGCACGCTCCCATAATTGAATTTGATAAACAAATTTACTAGCTATGTTATCAAAATGATTATTAAATGCAACATCAAATCCTATGTCTTAATCCTTTTCCAAGTGATGATATGTGAGAAAAAGAGTCAGTTCTTGTCTTCTTATTGAAGTGTGATTTGTTGAAATCCATTTCTGGAGAGTATGTTACTCAAAAACTGTTGTCAAAAGAGAAGTTTGGATCAACTTGTGCAACTTTTGCAGCGTAGAATGCGTGCATCACTGTCAAAACCTGTTGCATATTAGTGAACTCTAACTCCTGAAACAAAATAAGAAGTAAACTTTTGGTTAACCAAAATCTTAAAAAATCATAATAGTTTTTTTTATAGAAATTTAAGAAAACCAAAGATGAAAGGACACACTAAAAACATAATCATAATCATTTACAATTTAACCATTTCTATTTTAAAAGCTAAAATACACATATTCCTATTATTCATCTCTGGTAGCACCAGAAAACACCTAC